CAGGAGCATCTAGATACAAACCATATCAATACTTACTTTCCACCATTTCATCATGCAATTGGGATTGATTGCTCCATCTTTGAGCACCGGTAATAGGGGATGATTGCCTTTCAAGTACCTCTTAAGCTCATCTTTGCGCTCAGTCTGAGGATTGTGGGTGAAGAGTTGATAACAGATGAAACCACACTGGTTGAACTTGATGAGGTAGGTTGCTTGTTGTGCAACAATCACTGAGAGTTGAAGAGTCTGAGTGCAAAGTGAATTGGGAGCCGGATCTCAATGCCAAGGACAGTTTAGCTATTTCATAGAGAGTTCATAAAGACCTTCTACAACCCAAATGTTGACTTATTGTAGTGATATTACAAATAAACTCCTGGATTACAAAGTTGGGTGTATTTGTGTGGGTGGAGGAGTTAGTGTGTCCAAGAGAATGAGTGAAATCTACAATGTGGCACACAGAAAGGACAATGCACATATTTGGTGACCATGGCCTGTTGGGTCTTGATCAGGGATGCAGGTATGAGTAGACTCCGACTCACCCGCTCGGGTCCCCCCGGCGGATACTCCCTCATTGTACTCAAACTGTAAGTTACAGTGCGAGTACAATACTCGAAAGGTATCTGAGGTTGTGAGCGGCGTGATCCCGGAACTCAGAATGGCCCGTAGTTCAAGTACGACACAGAGTGAGTCTACTCACTCAGAGTAGACTCACGTCCCATTACATAATGAGTATACTCAATACTCATTGAGTATGCTCTCTGAAGTTAGACCTTTGAGGACGCGGCACGGAGGATCAGGGAGACAAACCCCGATTGGGGTATGTCGGTATTTCACCTCTAAATTGACCCATGCCACACCGGGTAGCCATAATTCCAGGCGCCCACCAGAAGATTCTTGACTCATTTGATAGATCAATTGAAGACGTAGTATATAGATAAATTGATAGGATCACGAAGCAGCCACAAGAACGAAAGGGGTTGAACGATCCGGATACGATGGCCCAATGATGGTAGGACTGAGTGTGACGAGAGAATCTGAAAGGTGGACAAGGTCCTATATCAAATATGATCTTGTTTGTGGCGGGATCCTAAGCACTATAATGAGTCAATATCCTAGGGCGTGGTGAACTTGAACGATGATATCCTAGATCGAAAGTGGGATTGTTATTGCGAATCGAGATAATGTGGATGGGTTGTTTGGATGAGTCCTCCCTGAGTGGAGGACTCATCCAAACAACTTGCAGGGCGAGAGGCGAGTTTTGGGTATGGGGCAGGGCGAGAGGGCTTGCTTGAGTATGCGTAATCAATTTACGCATCCAAGTGGGTAACCCGATGTGGAGTAGAACTCATACTGGCCACATCGGGAGTACCTGTAATGTGGTACCGGGCAAATACCCGTGCAGAGTGGGTATGAGTAGAGTACACTCAGACTCATACCTGCATCCCTGGTCTTGATTAAACCATTAACAAGGAATCTAAGGACAAAACTAAAAGAACTCTGGTATGGACTGCTGAAAACATCACCAAAAATAAGGTAGCCAACTGGGAAAAATAATTGAAAGATGTAGATGAGTGGGTAGCCGCCAAAGCCCCACAAAATGTCAAGACCAAAATTCTGGTGCACCAACACCAAAGCCATTAACCAGATGCGCAAAACCGTGCAATCATACCACAACCCCATACTGCTTCTGCTGGCTTGTACCTCACTGGCCTTATGCCACACAAGATTCAAACAACATTCACAGGAGCAGGAAGCCATGGATTCCAGCCAATCACCTCAGTGCCATGAAGTGATAGAAGGTGTTAAATGGCAATTGGAACATTTGGGTGCAATTACTGGGACTTTACCAGATGGACAAAGGTCACAAGAGCTTGTAACAGTGGCTATGCTCAGAGCTTAAACACTCAAAGCTCAAACGGTAGCATCTGATGTTAACAATATGGTGATTGATTGTAAATTGATAGATCGTGAAAGTTGAGATTGTTGCTAATTTCAACCTCAGTACAATTCAGTTGAATTTCTCCTACCTTGTTTGCCTTAGCCATTGTCTCTTCTTCATACTCTTTTTGATTTGTTGAGTTGGGTGTTTCAATACTTTTAGATTTTATGTGTTCTTATCATTCATCTTACATTCTTTTGGTTGGCTTGTCAGCTTTTTTGTGCCAATAATTTTGCAAGCTTTCTTAAGTTTGTATCATTTCTCACATGCTCCTTTGGCTCAGTAATATGTAGCACAGACTTATGTGTCATTTCTCAGCTGCCATATATAGGCTGCTGTGCCATGTGTAATGTCTCCATCCACTGTCATCTTGGTGTGTTTGTGTGAACATGCAAGTTGACTGATTTTCAAAGTGAGGATCAAAGTGAGCTGTGAAGTTTTTTGTATTAGGATGAGTTCACAGTTCCAAATTTCACAATCCTGCATTTTATTTCACTGCACAAAAATTAATATTTTCCGTGGGAAAAAGAAAAATAAAGGCAGATTTGCCTGTAGAAAACTCCCAACAAGACAAAAAAATGGTAAATATATACAAAGAGGGCCATAATATTTCTACTTGCTTCTTTCTGTTTCTGTGATCTTTTCATAATTTTTGTTACAACACCCCTTTTGTGTACTAATGAAACAATATTGTTGGCTCCAGATTGTGACCTGTAAATCCCTGGCCTAGGTCAGCTCAGAAATTTAAGACTGGTCCAAAACCCTATGATCTGGTGGTTCTGGGCAAAATTTGAGTTTCTGACACACACCCGCAATGGTTCTTACAGGTCACACTCTGGAGCCTGAAAACATGTTTTGTTAGTACAACAAAGAGTTCTTTCACTGAAAAATATGAAAAAATCAAAGGAGCACAGATGATCAAGCAGAAATCTAAGGCACCTTTCTACTCATTTTTAACTTTTTTTGTGCTGGTGAGAGTTTTCTACAGGAAAACATGCCTGTACTTTTCTCTTCTGGACGGAAGATATTATTTTTGAGGTAGTGTTTACCTATGTGTCTGCAATCTCCCCTTCTGCTTCCTTTGCAAATCATCTGGCAGATATTTTTGAAGGCATCATACTCCTGTGATAAATGGTATGCCTCCATCAGTGGATTATTCAAGTTGAAATCAAGAGATAAATGATTGATATGATGGTTCAAGAAAGCGCTCAGACAAGGCCAAAAACCTGTGGCTGATTGGTCTTCCGGACATATGTGCTTCTCTGAGGGCAGACATATTTGACAGACTTTTGAATATAAGGACTTCTTTGCTATGTTTCACAAGGTTATCTGAAAGTTCAACTCACTTTATGGCGTGTATCACATTTTTTGTTGCATATTGGTGTTTGGGAATATAACTAGACAAGAAATCCTGCAGTTGAACTTGATGCAACACATGTGCCAGCTCACCCAGATCTCATACATTGACAGTGTATGTCATATGGATGGTGTGGAATGGCTTGCACTCTTTGCAAGAATCTTTGCAAGAAGGATGGTGCAAAGTTTGACATGAGCAATATTCCATCAAGTTTTACAGACCAAAGGCTAAACCAACACATGCAAAAAAAATCTCTGAATCTTGATTGTCAATCCATTGGTATTTACAATGAACCTTAAACTCCCAATTTCAACCATCATGAGGGGTTTACTACTTTTTTACATAAACCAATCTTTGGATTTTTTGTGAGTGCAGGGCAAATTAGGACAGGACCCTGGATAACCTCAGCTAAGCCCCATTGTCTTGCCGCAGCCAAAATGTGACTTTTTTGAAAAAATGTTTATTGTGAAACCTGGAGCCAAAACACCATTTCTGGTCAAATTGGCTTCATTTTTTGGCATGTTGCTTGTGACCTTGGAGCCAAGACTTACCCAAAAATATTGTGTATTGTGATTCTACAGACCAAATCCACCTTCATAATATCTTTAACTGATGCTAGACTCACCACAATCTCAGAGAATCACCTAGGATTGATCACACAATGCTCTTCAGTGTGATCTATCAAAAGAAGCTGTTGTGGTTTGTAAGGTTCTATGTGCAAAAAAAAAGATCTTGACATTTGTTGTCTACTTGGAGCCAAATTGGCCAAAATATTGAGCCTTTGGGAATTGTTTGATGTGAAATTGGAGCCCAAACCTGTTCTGGGGCCAAAAACCACACATGTGCTTGGAGCCAAAGGTTCAAAAATCAACTTTTGACACAATGGAGCCTACTAGGACTCCGAGAGCAAATCTGATAGCATGGTCCAAGATGGAAAGATGCCTGAAATACCAATGTCCCTACATCAAAATTCTGCTTAAAGAATCTAAATTTTGAAAATAATACTGGAAAGCCCCACCTGAGAAACACATTCCTAGCCATTTTAATTCTCAAAAGAACAAATTCTGAATGCCTGGGAGGCCAAAGTGCATGGCACTTGTTGGCCAACTTGAACCCCGCATGTCCCAGCGCCTATCCACTTTGCGCCCACGATTTGGCTGTTGTTTCATTTGCGAGAACAAAAAGTTGAAATCTGCCTTTCGTACTTGGTCACAACAACATCCTTACGCGTGAGAAAAAGCTACTGTAGAAATTTACTAGGCGGTAAGTTTCAATTATTCCCATTACTCTTCAGCGCTCCAATAACGTACTCTGCTGCAATTCAAACGTGGACAATCCTGCTTACGAAATGGAAGAAAATCAACCACACAGCTACCCTTCTTTGCGACATGGAATTCATGCGCCCAAACCCTCGAGCATACTTTGGGTCCAAATCTCGTCCGTCGTTTTTTGAAAGCGGGGGCCGTAAGCTCTCCGGAGTCCTGCTCATGAGCATAAATATGTATTTTCGATATACAAATTGTAATGAAGGTTTCACTGAATCGATCCGACCAAGTTTGAGGAGAAGTTTGAGACATGTCACCATGTGTGATTTGAAATGTGTGATAGCTGCGGTTGACATTTGATAGTTACATACGATTGTTGAGCTCTGGTATATGTAAATGAGATTCTTCCACATCTTCAACTTGACTCAGCCAACTGCAACATTTCTAAACTTCATTCAACTTCTCAACGTCAACATCAGCACCAGCACCAGCACCAATATCATATATATTTCTAAAAGATAATCTCCCCTTTATGCCATCACCTCTATCACGACTATCAAGAACTTATGAGCGTTCATTCAAGAAAAATCCATCACTCACATTGGCTATAACTAATGGGTGCTTAAAGGTACTTTCAATACCATCTACTAGTACCACCATTAATTTTATACTAATCCATGTCTTCTTTCATCTGATTTCCCCTAGTGTCTTGGAGACTTTTTGGCCCAACTTTTGCCTTCTTTGGTTAGTATAATTATATCATTTGGGTAGGCAGAGAATGAGCTTATTTGACATGATGTCCTGACTATGATCCTTGAACACCATTTCCTCTCCACCTACAGCTCGATGGAACATCTTTTACGATTGATATTCATCGTTCAATGAGATTTATGTTATTCGGATTGCTTCATGGTTCGATTCTCTTCAACTTCATCTCCCAAATTCCTTGGATTAGCTACAGCCAGACTGATCTGAAATTTATTTATGCATCTCGTCACAATATCTTCTCTGATGAATGTAGGACCATGCATAGGCAAATGGCATGAGGTATAATATAATCATTTTTCTCCCGTGAATTACGTTATGATGGCAGGTACTGATGCTGGAATTGAATTTGACCATATCCTGGGTCTGCTAAATTACCAGTTCCTCGAGCATCGCATCCCACTCACCCTCACCACAGGTTCTCGATCTCAGCCCTCTCATATGTCCCTCACTCAATTGGAGACCGAGAAATCGCCATTAAGTGCCTCTCAATCTAGTGCCCTTCACAGCATACGCAATCGAGCTCAATCCTTGTCCGAAGAAACCAGCCATGTCCGACAATTCATGGCATCTGACCCAACCTTGGATGCTGGATCGAGAATCAAGCCAAGTCGAAGTCGGAGAATGTGGGGTGTGGCGAAGAGATTAATGCTCGATCAACTAATAATGTCAATTGCCAAGATGAATGTCTTGAAGCTGCTCACGAAATACCCGCTTGCTGACTTGTTCGATTTTGTCTCAAATTTCTATTTTACAGGGCTCCTTTGTTTGTCTTTGGTGAGTTCATGCCCATGCAGCGGGTAGATATGTAGGCCATCCAATTGACCATGTGGTGTTTTTTCTTTACCTCTCGAATTGCAGTATTCATCTCCTTCACAGCCTGGTTAGAAGGATTATCCATGACCGAGATCAAATTGCGATTGGATGATCTTTATTGGCACATCCTCACTGCGAACTGGAAGGTCAGTCCCCCTTGCTTTCTTTACATCTTGCGTCACTTCATGTCCTGCATTCTCTTCGTGTCTCCTTGATTGATGATTTTGACATTATGGTATTGTTTTGCTGTAATTGTATGCGACGGCTCATAATAGATTTGGCCCCTCATACAAATCATCAATTTCAACTTTATGCCCTTACAGTGCGTTCAAATTTATATCATCTCCCTCAATATCTATAACTCAATCTGATATTTCTGCGTTCCACCAATACGAATTTTACAATCAGGTATCGAGTGTAAGCGTGCTTATCTAAATCATCTCCTTGAGTCTGTGCGCTCATCTACTCCCTGGTTTGAATGTAGACCATGGCAATCATCTTGTGGAATCGTGTGGACGGTCTTCCTTAGTCTGAGTACCCACTCCCACTCTGCAACCACAACAATAACGCCGTCTGAGGCTGTGGCGACAGCTGCTGCACCAAGCCTTGTCTCGTCTGCCGTCTCTAACCTGTTCAACAAGAAACCAAACCAGGAGGAAGCTCCGTTATTGATGGAGGATTCACTGGCTCGGATCGGCTTGGGCAAGCTCCAAAGAATCAAACAGGCTGTCGTCATGGGTTCCGGAGATGGGTCATCGAAAGAGGCTCGTCTTCGGCGTGCTCTGCACCTTGCTTCTGATCAACAAGGCATCCGGTGATCACCGTTACTCTTTCTCATCTATGCATCCACGCTTCTCTTGTGATGTTATAAGTTCACACTTGGGATTGTCTTTTACTCATGTCTCTAGATAAAGATACCAAGTGTGTACGGTACAGCTCTAGCTTTCATTTAAGACGCGGAAAATGTAGGCCTTGAGATTAGATTTTTCCTACTTTCTTGTTCTTGGGTCCTCGATTAGTCAGTATAGTGTGTATATGGAATGACGTTGAGTTCTCTCCTTTTGAATCAAATTGTGTTGTTTATATTCTTTGGAATTTTTGTCTTCGCATGTATGATTTTTATCATTTACGAGATTAGTTTTCAAAATCACATGCATTGCTTTGCTCGTCTCTCTTCACATCATCAGTTTTGTTTCCTTTCTCCTCTGTCTTGCTGACCTTTACCCTTTTGCTATCGCTTTTCTTCATACCCTGCATATTAAGCCTTCTTCATTTCTAACTCATTGGTACAATTCTATCCTCTGTCAATGAGGGCACATTACAAAAGAGTCTTTTTGTGCATGTATCTGTGAGAAAGACACCGGATTGTGAACTGGTATACAGCTAGTGAGCCTGTGGGGGCTCTAGCTCAATCATACAGGGTCATCAAGCTCACTTTCTGTAACTTGACTAATTGCAGGTGCTGAACAGCTTTCCAATCAGCCCATCATAGTAATATATGCAAACATGATAGGTACATTTCTCATTCATCTGATCTTGTTGATAGCCTCTGGTTTTAACTCTTAATCAACCATGTTGCCTTTATTCATATCCTCTCAAAACTTAACAAACAAAAACTGACAACTTATTCCACATTCCATCGTGCAGTTTTCCTTGGCCTTGTCATACCAGACATATTGTCCTTTGCATGTTCCAATTTATCTTGCATTAACCACTTCAATCTTGGTCAGATATGGTGAAAGCTGGTCCCCTTGACATCTCTTGCAATGATTTACTCTCTGCTTCATGCCATGTATGTGACCCACCTCCTCAAAGAAATTGAGGCATAGCACTCTGTCATCTTACCAGCATGAGCACAGGTTATTGACTCTACGGGGGACTTGTGCTCGACTAGGTCACACCTTGCGTACTTCACACCGCTTGGTATCCCAATTCAAAATACCTGACCGTGATTTTATTTTTTTATTTTTTTCCTTCCTTCTTGATGGCATCACAGTGGGTGCATGTGTCTAACAAAATCTCGACAAACTTGATTCCATCTGTACAACTCAGCTCGGAGTAGTCTCCCGTGCTGGTGCAGGACCGTGCGCAAAACTCAACAGCCTCCTGTGTAGTACATAAGTTGAGGATTTCCGAACATTCACGCTGAAGCAGGCTGAAGGCTAAGCACATATCTTGCTGAGCGCGGTGAAGTAGGGTGAAGTTGCTGTGCATCGAAATCAGTCAAATTCAACCAAAGTGGGATATCTGAATTCGGCCGAAGCTTCGACCAATGACAGCTCAAAAGCATACCTCCTCTATTGAAGAGTTGCCACAAATATGCCGCATCAAATCAAACATCCATCATTGAAGGCCATTATGGATTCTGAAAGCTTTGATGAAGACTCATTTTCTTCTATTGCCCACACCACAGCTCTTGAAGATACTTCCACCACCATAGAGTTACACCCTTTGAAGAGTAAAGACGCGCAGAACATTCATCTCCCAAATTCGATGGAAGCAGACGTCGGCCACAGCCCAAGAAGCTTTTCACTGTCAAGCAAAGATGACGATGACAAATCGGAATCAGATGCAAGGTAACTTGAATGATTGCACTCATTCTAACAGCCTTTTGCTAATTTGATTAATCGTACATCAGATCCTCGAGACTGAAATCATACTGACATATTTTCTTTCCTCCTTTTGCACAGCCCAGACCCCGATCCAAGATATATCCACCCAAAACTTCTCTCGCTGTATGCATGGTCAATCGTATTGGGAGAATTATGTGTTATGATCTTTGTTACTGGTTTCATTATTGTCACAAATCTGCGTCCAACACCATTACCACCAAGTGTAGCACAATGGGCAAAGGATTCTCCAAAAATGATGGCTTTTTGTGTCACGGCGATTTCAACATCTCTTTTGGTATTATGCTCATTGTAAGTTGATATTTGTTTTTGTGAAGATATTAAATATGAAGAAAGTAACGTGGTAGCATCTGTAGAGGGTTTTCCAAGGCAGTACTTTTGTATACAACCAATACTTTGACTTGGAGTCCTACTTCACTCTTTGAACTTTCAGCCATCATTGATGTTTCAAGAGCGTCATTTGTTTTTCGGAAATCTCATTTAACGATCTCGATAATGACCGTAGCTATAACTATCATACTAAAATCGATGACCGCCAGGTGATTAGGAATACTTGTCAACCAACTCATACCACAGAGCTGATGAATTTTTCTTTTATCTCGCCATAATAGCTTTGTCACTCTTCTGACACCAACACCCATCATGTTAAGCTATCATATGTCAGGCCAAGAAATTGATTTAAGTGCAGCAGAGTTTGGAAATATGTTACGCAAAGAGATAGGCTGGGATGATGGAGGTAAGTTTTTCTTATTGAATGTTTTTGATATCTCATTCTGATTCCACTTTTGTGGAACTTAGAACGCAGCAAGCCTAAGGGCAGGATACTATTTGGATATATAGCAGTATATAGTGGTATGTCAGCGGCTTCCTCTCACATCGGATATCCCAGTGTGTTCATGTACAACGGAGCAACATATTTGATCCCTACTGGTGAGCATCTTTTCAATATGTTTTTTTCACAAGTTTGAACAATTTTATATGGTTTAATAGGGGGAATCCTGGCCGTTGGTCCAATGCGCTCAGTAAATCACGATCCACGTAATGATGGACACTTGGTCATAAAGGACGTTGGATGTCAAATGAAAAAGCTTTATCATGTTGATGGAGTAGCAGATGACACTGTCTTTAGCACTTCAATAAACTATACAACTCTTCAAATGGGATTGCGGGGAGGGGTCTCATGTAAAGCTATAGGTTCATCTGGTTTAGCAAGTTCTCGAGCTAGAATTCAAGTAAATCTGGTCAAACATTGGAATTCACCATTGCCTCATAATCAAAGTTTCTCTGATTGGGTTTGGAGCGGAGCTTGCCCGAATGGAACACAAATTGGTGAGCGGCCACCCTCTAGTGGAATTTGCATCAACCCACTAAATGTCTCCTTATGTCAGATGTGCCTATGACTACCTCCCACTACCTCCCGGGACTGAGAAACAAGACAGTAGAGATTATGGGCCAAGTTGTCGCGCATGTTTGCTTCGATCAAGATTTGACTGGTGCTAAATCAACTGGAAATCATGGTGCGCAGCATTCAATTCGAATCAATTTGTTCTGTGGACCCTGAAGTATGTTCTTCAGTTCTCATTTTAGCTGGAAACGGATCAGAATACAATTTCTTGAGGCCAACTGTGTGTGAAATCCAACCGACGATTGGCACTTATCAAGTTTTGTACAATTACCCAAGTGTTACAATTAACCATACTAGTTTCAAACCAGCCCGTAAGATGTCAGAAGATACTCGGTTTCTTTCAATGTACCTTGCCATGTTAGCAAAGGCAATGGTTTCTACCACTCAATCTATGTGGGCAAATACCTTTGGCGATGATATCTCTACAGTTTACAATGCTACTGAGGGGCTCGAGGAGGACAAATTGGACGCAATTCTTGTATGTTTCTTGTCAAAAAAAATGGTTGATGTTGATAAGATCTGTTTGATGGGGTTCTTCTTTGGGACTGCTGATTTCTTTCCCTCACCTCGATCAGGACCATTACTTCAATGGTGTTGTAGAATTTGGGACAACAGTGAGTCATATTTCATCCAAGATCGCATGGCGGGACGTGTTCATAAATGCTCTCAAGTCCAAGAACAACATATTGATTTCTAATGTATCTCAAAAGTATTTTCGAACCCACTTTTCTACAGTCGAGCATATTGAACCAGATCAAAACCACTTACCAAGCAACATCTCATGCAACTTTAATGGTACTTGGATGATCTCGACAATGGGATGGGATGCCAAAAGCCGTATTTTTGCACCTATCTTTCTTTCGATGGTTCCTATCATTCTGGTTTCATTTTTTTCAATCTGTGCTGTCTTATTCGGATCTTATAAAAGGTTTATCTCATTACCTCTTCATTCAAATGAACCTATTCAATTTGATCCAAATGATATGACACAGATCATTCGTGTTGCTTGTGCTGGTAATCTTTCTGAAAAGTTTTCTCAAATGTCTGATGATCAAGTAGGAAAAAGTTGTACAGCGAAAGATTATGATAAAATTCATGTTCAGTTAAATTATGATGATGATGTTCATGGTAAATTGATATGGATCGAACCTCAAAGAAGTTTGACCTCTTGAAAGATTTGATTTGTATAGTAGAAGCATATTCATAACCGTAAAAATTTAGGATACTCTCATAAAACTTGTTTCTCTTCTCTTCCTTTCTTGTCTCCAATCTTTTTCAATCAACTTTGTATAATGATTTTGAGTCTTTGACCAAACATTCCACGCCAATAAATTGACAATTGCAATTCTCGATAATAACCCATTAAGCTGGGTCTTTGCTCTCGCAGAAAGCGCGGATTCTGTCATCCGAAGTTGCCTAGATCCCAGGACATGAGGCAATTTTACATGCAGGAAGTCCCAAACAAGCTGCTGGGGGCTTATTGGGTGTTTTGAGACAACTGGATGCCTCTACGACAACGCGTACTGCAGTAATCAGAATAGAATCGATCATTCAGTGCTTCCGAAAGAAAGTGAATCAGAGACACCCCTGAGCTGTCGTCATAGATTTACACTTTGTACGGCAGTCATCGAAGATAACCAAGGCAAGGGACTCAACGCAAGGTGAGTAACTGAACCTTACCGACGTTTCGAGCGTCTCATGGGATTGGGAGTAAGCCGAAGTTCTCAGCATTTACATAGAACCCCGACTTCTAAAATCATCCTCATGTCAACTATTGGAATTGTCTCGAATCCTACCTTCAATGCTGCAACAATCGTCAGTGATGATACATATGTCGCCTTGAAGCCCTATGCCAGGTACAACTTCAAACTTGGAGGTGGCTGAATAAAATTTGAGAATTGAATCAAAACCCATGATGACGATTGATTTCCCTGTTTCTTGCGGTCAAGCAAGCAATCCTGATTGGTAACAATTCCTCACCATTTCTGATCCCGGCATGACCCTTTCGTGGAGTAAATCCTTAACAGATGCCGAACGCCTCTATGTAGTGCTTTAAATACCAACTATTGTGCTTTGTCGCAATATCTGCCCAACTTCCTCATCATCCTCTCGCTCATTTACTTCTACATACTCTTCTCTTCTCAACTTACTCCCTCAAGTTGAGCATTTGTATATAACCTCAAAGCCCATCCTATTTCCACGGCGTACTTTCTTTTCGTCCTTGCTCCACCATTGAACTGGTATTACACAGTACATTCCTCGCACAAACTTATAGTTTTCTCAAACTTTTCTACCCTTTATATATACAGGCTTATATTTTTGTTATAGCTATCTTTCATTCGATTTTCATCTACTTCACTTCATCCTACAACTTTTCACCTCATCACTATGAGATTCATCACTTCTACTTACGTTTTTGCTTGTGCTATGCTGGCCAATTTAGTAGCGTCTATTCCTTCTGCCCAAGACTTTCCTATGACTTCCTTGACTCATACCTTGAAGACTCGTGATGCAAACGGACCTTCCATTGGAAAGAAATTCAAAAATTCTCAAGGTACTTATTGGAATGGTTCTAAATGGGTTGGACAGTAAGTCTTTGACTTCCTATCATCTATAATCCCTCCATTCTCATCAACATGTTTTATTTTGCGGTTCAGTTGTCTATTTCAAGATTGGCCTCAACCTGCTGGTTTACCATACGCCGCAGTAGCCACCAACCTTTATGGAAATGCAGCATATTGTGGTTCTTGTATCAAGGTCACTCCAGCCGGAAAAACGGGACCATCAAAGATTGCCATGATCAATGACCAATGTCCTGATGTCAGTTGCATCATCTCTCTCGCCAGAGTGTTTTAGAAATATTTTTTTAACGAGCATCACTTTTCATTTTTTTTAGTGTCCAAACAACGCATTAGACATGTCACCTGACCTCTACAATGCAGTCATGGGTAACGCACCTGGACGCACAGGAATTTCACATTTTGACTGGTGAGTGCATGTCAATTCACATTAAGAGCTTGTGCTTTATGTATCTTGCTAATTCATTTTATGATTTCATCACGCTTCTGATAGGGAAATTGTCCAATGCCCAATTCCCCCTTCCAATATGAAACTAATCAGTAAGGACGGTGCATCTAAATGGCATTTATCTTTACAAATCGCCGGTACTATCACACCGGTTGTTAACGTATCGATCAAACCTGAAGGTAAAGATTGGCAAGTGGCTAGCCGAAGAGATTATAATTATTGGGAACTCTCAGAAGGAGCAGCAGGAGAACAACCTGATGTTAGAGTGACTTGTGCTAGTGGGAAAACAGTTTTGGTTAACAAAGTGAAGATCACTTCTAGAAACATTGTCAATGCAAATGGCAATTGTTAAAATTCATTTCTCATGATCAAAACCTTTCATCAAAAATTACTTCTTTCTTTTTTTTTTAAAAAAAAATCAACCACAAAAAAAATACTTTCATTCGCTTGTCTGGAAACAGGGCCTCTTTTGTTTTTTTCAATTCTTCTTTTCACTCCTTTGTGACGATTGAATTTACTATGTTTTACAAGATATCCAGTTGGTCTTGATTTTTCTTCTTCAAGATCTCGTTCATCATGATCACTCTAGATTGTTTTCTTTGTGTGCTTCTCTTTGTTTACCTCATCGATGAGAGATTATCTGTTGTTTTTAGTCTTTCTTCTAGCGGTATTGCAAGGATAAATACCATTTGATTTAAAGTGATTCTCGGATGTTTCTTTTTCAGAAATGTCTTGACAGTGAGACTTTTTTGATTCTCATCTGGAAGTGTATGTAAATTTCTCAACACAATGAGGGCTTTTAATCATTTCATCTCTCGAATGCCTCCTTTGCCTATCTATTCCTCAGGTCAGAGTCAGACTGATAAAGTGTCCTTGATCAGATTTGAATGTTGTTAAGATAGACATGTAATGATTGTGATATGTATGTGATGTGGATCGAAAGAGATGTCAAAGATGTGAAAGGTTGGTATGAATGATCGCGAACCGTTGAAGTCCGAAATCGATTGAGTCAAGTTCGACCAATCAACTTCAACTTGATAGTTTACCATCAACTAACCATTCTCATCCCATCCAAGATGTTATCAAGACCCATCATCCAACATCAAATCATCAAATCACTATTCAATTCAAAGCGAACAAGTACTTTACTCAAATCTAACTTTTCTTCAAAATCTCAAATCATTTCATCTCCAATCCCACCGACTTCTACTTCAAATCCTAATTTACCTATCATCGTAGAGGATTATCATGGTGTATCAGCTCAATCTATCTTGGAAGAAAACCAAACTCAAAAACATGGTACTATGCGTCATTTCACAGGTATGCTTGCTTTTCATTTACACATCTTATCAATCAAATTTCTCCTTATTCTGACTCTCTTCTGTTTTTACAGTCAACTTCGGACCTCAACATCCTGCAGCGCACGGTGTTTTACGTTTGATTTTAGAAATGAATGGTGAAGAAATCTTAAGAGCTGATCCTCATGTAGGACTTCTTCATAGAGGTACAGAGAAATTGATTGAATATAAGGTTCTCAAAACTTAATCCATTCATTCCATCATTCCATCATCCTAATCTAAAACTCTATACTTATTCAAATTCTGATTTGATGATTTTTTTAGAATTACACTCAAGCTTTACCTTACTTTGATCGTTTGGATTATGTTTCGATGATGACCAACGAATTATGTTATTCAAGAGCGGTCGAGAAACTTTTGAACATTGAAGTTCCTGATCGTGCTAAATGGATTCGTACTCTTTTTGGAGAAATCACACGAGTACTTAATCATCTGATGGCTGTTCTTACTCATGCTATGGGTCAATTACTTTTCCAATCACCCTCAAAATCAAACCAATCAAAACTTAAACATTAATCAAAACTGTTTCTTTTTACAGATGTTGGGGCTTTGACTCCTTTTCTTTGGGGTTTTGAAGAACGTGAAAAATTAATGGAATTCTATGAAAGAGTGTCAGGTGCAAGACTTCATGCAGCTTATGTTAGACCAGGTGGTGTAGCCTTTGATCTGCCACATGGATTATTAGATGATATCTTCACTTGGGCTACTGCTTTCTCTCATCGAATTGATGAATTTGAAGAAGTCTTAACTGAAAATCGAATTTGGAAACAACGTACGATCGGTATTGGTAAAGTAACTGTAGCAGATGCTTTGAATTATGGATTCAGTGGTGTGATGTTGAGAGGTAGTGGTGTTCCTTGGGATATTCGAAAATCGGAACCTTATGATGCTTATGATCAAGTTGAATTTGATATTCCGGTGGGTAAAAATGGAGATTGCTATGATCGTTATCTATGTCGAATTGAAGAATTCCGACAATCTTTGAGGATTATCCAGTATGTCATCGTTGATCATCTTTTGATCTCTATATGCTTTTTGAGGGTGACTGATTTCTATCTCATTTCAAAAGTCAATGTCTTAACAAGATGCCAGCAGGACAGATCAAAGTAGATGATTATAAACTAACTCCACCACCTCGTGCATCGATGAAAGAATCAATGGAAGCTTTGATTCATCACTTCAAACTTTTCTCCGAAGGTTACAATGTGCCACCTGGTGAAACTTACTCTGCCATTGAAGCACCAAAGGGTGAGATGGGAGTCTATTTAGTTAGTGATGGATCAAATCGACCTTACCGATGTCGTAAGTAGTTTTTGCTCCTTCCTCCTGTCATCAGAGTTGATGTATTGACCCTTGGGTTCGTTTAGGCATCCGTGCACCTGGATTTGCCCATTTGGCAGGCGCCGATTTTATGTCCCGACATCACTTCTTACCCGAGTTGGTTTTCGTTTCCTCTTTACTTGCTCTCACTTATAACCCTGGACCTTACTTAGCTAACGTTGTGATATGCTCCATCTATTTAATAGTATGGTTGCAATTATTGGAACAATGGACTTGGTGTTTGGAGAGGTAAAGATCACCCATCCTTTTTTTGCTTGAATGGGTCCATCAGACCTAGATAGAGAGAGAGAAAGATAAATTGACATCCAATTGATTGTTGTTCTTGGGTACAGGTCGATCGATAATGCAAAATGATAAAACAAAGGATAAAAATGAAACTAAGGTTTCGAGAATCTACTTCCAATAAACTCTCTTCTATCCATTAGAATTCAAGTTTAAGAATTGTTTAGATAAATTGAAAGTTTGGAAAACCCCAAAGTCTAACGATTTATAACCTTTTTGTTTTGTTTTCTTCATGAGCGTATCTATTTCAATCAAATTGTGTTTTCTGATTTTGTACACATACAAAAAAAATGAAATTGTGCTTTCATTGATTTTGATTTTTTTCCTTCAAGTATTTTTTTTTGATTTGATTTGGTTTGAAGTTTATGAGGAGTTAGAATAAAACTAAGAATAAGAATTAGAATTACGTAGTAGATTTTTTTTATTCAGATTTCAAGGTAAGATTAAATTGGATCAAAAGGATTTTGGTATTGATTCTTATTCGATTATTGGGACTTAAAATTCTGCTCATGTGAATTGTGGTTGAATTCTTTGATGGGTTGAAAAGCAGTGATCATTCTGGTTGTGGTTTATCACAGTGTAAAGATTCACTTGAAGTTCACATCTGATTCAGGCTCACTGGATCTATGGGATGTGCTCCGTGATGACTGAAAATCGTTCTTTCCTACCTATTTATCACTTCTGCATCCATTCAAAAAACTTCCCCTGGAAGACCAAACCTTTGAATTTTTGACGGTTGTGCATGAGTGCGGATATGCATCAGCGCTGGTTAGACTGTACTGCCTGCAGAGTACATATGTGTTGCTTTGTGTCGTTTCTTTTCGAGGGCTTTGGTTTCCCCTCAATGTTTCTTAATTCTCTTCATGAAAACATATCATAACGACACTTCGAAAGAGCGGTTCATTCGATTGAAATCTCTCAGAGAGCGAGGAGAGAATTTTGTTCATGTCGATGTCCGGCCCTACATCGATGAAGATAATCCGGCAAACCAAACTCAGCACAGAGGCAGTGCCGACAGTAAAGCGGTCTTTTGGGAGGCATAGGGAAGAATGTCAAGTGGATATATGTAAGAGGATAAAACGTCTGATTCCGATGTTGCGATGTGAGTACGATCACTAACTTAACTAAGTCCCTCTCGGACGAACGAGTAGTCGAGAGAGGTTCGTCCGAGAGGGACTTAGTTAAGTTAGGTACGATCAACTGTTATGAATACCCGGGCTTCGTATCTGCACTACAGCCATTGTCAATGTAGGTGTGGTGATAAACTTATCAGATCAATGAGATGTTCTTGACGCCGAGATGACTGACTTGCAAGTTGCAACTCGATTGAAATTCGACTCTCGGTCTCCTCCTGGGCATCGGCTTCCACATCATCATCCAAACTTAACTCGTCACAGCGTATCTATCTTACCAGACACCCACGTGCTGGACGCACGAAAATGCTCGAGGACCATATTTTTCGAGGAAGAGAAAAGCTCTGTTTATTTGCACAGCCAGCAAGTTCATCTGTTTATTTGCACAGCCAGCAAGTTCAACACGATACCATACTACCAACACGTTTTTTAACTCGGGCGTCAAACAAAGTCGGTGACACTAGATTCGTCCGACATCGACTGATAAGCTGAAGTTCACACCGCCGCGATCTGTCCTCAGAATTGATTTAGAGCGTCGGCAATGGCTCTGAAGGCTATATAAGATATAAGAAGCCCTGAACAAACGAAGAATTCTGATTACAACTTCGATTCTCATTCACCGTATATCACGCTTGAAATTGTGTTGAACTCTTGAAATGCTCTTCTTTATTCGTAGCCACATTCTCATCGCCTTTAGTCTTTTGACATTGGGTGGATTTGGGTATAGCAAGTTTTGCAACAGAGCTTTTTTCACAAATACCTACACTGGACTCAGTGGTAAGCCAATTCTCTCCGAAGAATTATGGAAAGGGGTTTTTTAACAGTCTTGGGGTGAAATTCCCAGCTTGCACGGATACAGACAACACATGGCAATATCCAATTGATGATTGCGATTATAAGGTAACAAGTAAGTAGATAATCAAAGAGGAATCTTTCAAAACTTTACAATGTTTATGAAGACTACATACTGATTCTAGCTGAATGCAGGCGGGAAGCAACCTAAAGGCACACAATGTGCCAAACCTTTTGAAAAGCTCTCCATAAACTGTGCCAGTTACTCATTTGATGGGGCCTACAGTGAGCATCAAGCACTTCTTCTTGCGGGTAAAAAAGAGTTTCAATCAATCTTGATTGTTGATAAATCAAATCTCTTTTCTTTTTCCATTCTCAAGAATGTAATTTCAAAAACAGTAGAGGGGAGCCTCAAATAGCATCATGTGCCGCCATGCAATACATGCCCCGTAAGTCCGCCACACTTCCAAGCTTTTGATTCATATTGAGTTATCCTGATTTGCAATTGATCTCACGTCACTTGTTAGATTGTAAGGAAGGGAGGGGAAGAATGATAAGTTGAAATCCTCCCAGATGCAACATGTCAGTTCTCTGGAATGAGGTGCAATTGTGTCCAAACACAGGATCCAATCAGTATTTCCAATCACACAGCTCACACAGCCCAAGTTCAACAGCTGGATTGTTGAAGTTCACATTCCTTATTCAAAGGATTAAAGTGTGATGGGCTTTTATTCTACAAGTTTTGTTGTATTATTCCATTTGAACATCTTTTTTGAGCATTCTGTAAGGAATGCAATATGTATTGTTTTTTCTAAAAACACCTTCTGGAAAATGCCGAGGAATATCCTTTGGATTCTTGGTTGGTACTGAGATTTAACTCCTGCACACAAGGCCAGAGTTTGTTACAGCTTTAGAGAGTTTAGGGATCATGGACTCACTGTCCAATTACAAGAGATAGTTTAAGTTCAAATTTATGATCAACGCCCACGCCGCTCCGCCCAGGATAGCGGCAGCAGAGCGGTAGTGGTGCGGATTTTTGGACCCGCTATATTGGGCCTCAGCCATAGCGGTTTTGAACCCCTGCTACCACTCGGTCCCACAGCCCAAAACACAGAGCGGTTTTTAGCCACCCTGTATAGCAGAAAACCGCCCCGCTCAGACCTTCCGTAGCGCCTGGCAGCGCGCCAGGGCATCATAGCGCCATATTAGTCTGATAGCGCCATATAGCGCCTATATGGTTGCAGGGCTCAATTCATCATCATACCCTCATACATACAACTCGCCACCTTCCATTCAATCCGATTCAAATCTCTTGGTTACACTTCCGGTTGGATAGGCTGATCTTCAATCAATCTATCCATGGAAGTACTGTCTCTTGCAGAAAGGATGAAAAAATCCAAAAAACTATTTGGCCTTGAGCACCGTGCGCATGGTGGACCAGGGCGGATACTGGCCAATACTGAAAGCCACGTACCGCCTATATGGCTGAACATCTGTACACTACAATATGGAGTCGAAGAAGGGCGAACCTTGATGCCCTATCTGTTTTACTGCCCAAAAAATGGGTGTCCCGTTCTTGGAATACCTCGATCCACCCTCGATCCAATCCAATAGCAACCGCCTGGACACCCACTATCTTTGTTTGACCAACACTTTCCAACCATTTGACTATACCAATTCTAAAGCTATGAACAAATTCAACTCTTTAACTCAAATCGCCAAAGATGACACCCCCCATTGGAGAACGGACATACCCTACTGCTCCTCAGTGAGCTTTCTTTCAATTTTTATTTTGTCATCAGTCACATTATTGCTTTTTTTTGCTTCAGGGCTTGCTGACACCTCCAATTATTTCCCACAGGAACCACAATAACTATTGGCTACCCTCACCTGCAGATAGGATGCTTGCCTCCCCTGCGTGGCATCATGCTAGTGCTCATAATCAGTGAGCTTTAATCAAAAGATTAATCTGGAATCCTTTTTTCATTTGTTTCCTTCAGGGTTTGCTGAAACCTCCGATCTTTCCCTTTAGTTACAGGTTTGACGTCCATTGCTTGTTCCCTGAAGATCAAAACCAAGTTCCAGGTTGGACTATGATCTTTTCTTTTAAGCTTTCAAGAACGTCAACAACCTTATTGTAATATCTCGATATAGTTTTGCCTGAATGAGGCCATTGTTCACCAGCAGTAGCATTGGTAGATGCATTCACAGCCCCCAATCACAAGTCACTGGCAGGCCAGTGCATCCCACTGACCCTAGCAAGTTATGAGCAAGTTATGAGAAAGTTATGAAATGGATATCAAATGGATAACATCCATCAATTGAGAATTTCTTGAGAAGTGGTTGGGATACCATCAAAATTGAGATGATGTCATACAGCATCATAAATCTGTACAAACCTGCTCCTGTATTTCCTCACCAAGAATATATAGTTTATTAACCTTTGTGACATATATCAACTGAGTTATTGAGGTTTGAAAAAAAAATCACGGACAATTTTGTCCCCTAAAGCCTTCCTATATGGGCAGTATTTCTATATGTAATTGTGGTGTGTACATGGAGCAGTCAACATTTTGATTGATTCTTTGATTCTGGCAGAATATGGCAAAGTTTATGGCAGAAATTTTTGTAGAATACCATTTACATGTATATCAATCAAATTCAGAATGATTTTGGCAATATGTTTGCTCAAAATTTGTCTTGGAGCAGAGAACCAACACACAAACCGTCCCGTAGCGAAGTGTACTACGGTCACGACGGCGGTACGGTGAGGTTTATTCTGTAAACCTCACCGTTGACGTAGTGAAGTCAATACTATTATTAGACCCAACCCGTAACTACGGTGAGGTTGGGCCGTAGTGGACCGCGCCGTAGCCACCGTAGTAGCCGTAGTCTACGGGCAGCTACGGTCAAAAAAGAGAAAAACAATTTTTTTTATTGTGGAGTAGAAATAGGACAAATTCATGTAAAATAGTTGTGGTTACAAAGTAAAAAGTTTATACCAAACATGGAGAGAAAGAATATTAATGATAGTAAAGAAAGAAAAGACATTATAATAGAAGGATGTTTAAGAAAGAAAGAAACATAGTATAACTCGTATAACTCAAACCTCCTTATTCTTCTTCTTTCCCTCGCGCAACTCATGATCTAAGAGGTATGTGACTGCATCTTGAAATTTACCTGCAGGCACTTGCTTATTCTTCAACCACTCTCGGCAAGCGACAGCCTGTGAGACGGTTGAAGGCTTCATTGAGCCTCGACTTGAGATGGCGATGTCGGCCGCCGAAGAGAACGTGCGCTCCACCGCGCACGAAGTGGCAGGGAGGGCCAGGTAATCCTGAGCCATGGTGGCCAAGACTGGGAAGTTCTTCTCGTTTGCCTAGATCACCTCACCTTGATATCAGTAAAGAGTAAAGAAAATGACAAAAATAAAAGGGAAAGCAGTACTTACTGCCCACCAGTCAAGAGGACTGGTACCTTTGCCAATGGGATGGGCACCCTCCAAATAGCGCTTCAGCTCGAGTTGGTAGTCCAGAGGAGCCTCATTTGCCGGTGCAGCCGGAAACAAGTTGTCTTCTTCATCTTCACTAACATCCGCTGGGTTCGAAATAACTTCCACTGAAACAGCTCGAGGTTTGGGCATACTGTCAGAGTAAGCAGAAAACATATACTCCAACGAGCTTTCCGCTTGAACTTCAACGTTGGAGTAAAACTTCTTGATATAATTCAACCGATGTCGTGGGTTGAGAATGGTCGCGATCTGGACAACCTGGCTTTTGGCAGCCTCCTCGGCGTAATGTTGGAGGTGCTTGAGCATCTCGGTGATCATGACATCGAGGCTGGGGTATGTGCTGTCCTTCTTGAGTACCTGCAACTCACTCTGAACCTTGCGATATTCAGAAAGGACTTTGCATCCGGATGCAAAGTCTCCTTCCATCCGTTTCATGGCACGCTCGAACACCTGTTTGAAGTGAAGGTCAATCAAAATGGTTCACTGGGACAAAGACCAAAATAACTCACCTCAAGGACATTGTTTACCTCACGCACTGCATTCCACTCTTCCTCGGAGATGGTCAATCCTCGGAAGAATCGATTGGTTTTGGAATCGGTGTGTAGCATCCCGTTTATAATCTATAAGAACAGAAGTGTAAGAGTAACTTCCAAAAGTAGACAGATGTCGAGAGTGTAACTAACCTCATGTCCAGCCGCTGCACGCCTTCGGCTATCGGCCTTGGCATTCCACCGGACACCCCATCCGTGAATGATACTCTTGAGACCTTGAGCTTTGGCGCGTGTGTTGAACCACTGTCGACGTGATGAACTTGAACAGATCAATGATACGACCTTGTCGCACTGGAAATTAGAAGATAAATTTAGTTTCTTATACTGTTCAGGTTAAGACAGTAGTGTGATGAGATAATCACCTTCAGTAGAGCCCGTTTAACCAGCTCGGTCGTGTCGACTGGTTCCTGTGGTGCTGAATCGTCATCTTCACCATCGGGATCGCCATTTGTTGGTGTTAAACCTGCATCATCCTCATCAGATGATGAGGGTACATCAATGTCATCGTCACCAGTATTGAGGACAATAGTGGGAACTGGGATTGTTGCTCCTGGTCGAGTTGTGGGCTTCACATGACCTACTGAGATGTTCATCGTCTTGAGGCCATGTTTTACCACAAGTGCGAGCTTATGACAGTAGCAACGGACATGATTCGATGCGGAATCCCAGTAAACGGAATCGTTGGTGTTCTTGAACATCTTCTCGAGTTCTTCGGCCATAGTATTGTTGTTGGAGCCTGAATCCGTGGTTTGTGCCAATACCTAGAGGAGAGCATTAATGAGAAAGATGTTATGATTGTTCAGAAAATGCAAAAGTATGGAAAAAGGTGACAAACAAGACATACCTTCTTGTGAAGTCCATGTTTAATCAGAAACTTACCAACTGGTCTGGCAAGAAGAGCGCCACAGTGGTGCCAAGTTGCCAACTTCAAAGTGAGATGGCTCGTTTGGTACTTCCAGTTTGAATCAATCCAAGTGGCGGTGACCCCAATGAAAGCAAGTTGGTTCCCTTTAGTTGTCCATCCGTCATGTACAAGACATATCTTACTTTGGTTATCCTGCAGCGAAACAAATGAAGGGACAAAAGGTACAATTAGATACCAGATGATGTCATGAAATCGAAGATGAAACCTATCAAACCTTGATGTTGCTGATTAGCTGCTCATATAAAGAGCTATACAACTCTTTCGCGGTAGAGGCTGCCCAAGTTGGGCTCCTGATGTTGGCCTTGGGATGGGTGAGATGGAAAGCTGCCCTGAGAGTCGGGTCTTGAAATCAAACCCATGGGAGGGCATGTCTTAATAGCCAGATGACTAATAAGACATTGAGGATATCAATATCGAACGGTGGTCGGTTGACAAAGCTTTTCATCAATTCAGCCGATGATGATTCGGTTGCACTGGTCTTGTTTCGTTCTTGGTATGTAGGAGGAAGACCATGATCTTTCTCCTTCATCGCTTTGCTTCGTCCCAGACATGGAGCCCGATTTTTGTCGCCGTCTCGATGGCCATATAGGTTGCTGTTCCCATCAATACCCCGAGCACATGTCTCAGGACAAAACCTGCACTCGTATCCGCGTAATACACCGATTGGCTGTTATAAAAATGTTGGTGAGTTCAAATCAAACTGAGGTAATTATAAGTATCAAAACAAGCTTACATCTTGTTTGAGCTGGACCGGAATGGGTTTGTAATACGACAAAAGATGCATAACTCTTTTGGATTGAGCTCGGAAGGCCTTTGCAGGAGGCACCGTGGGGCTTACTTGATCAACATCAATCTCTTTAGGGACAGTAAAGTCCTGAGAAAGAACGGAGAACGGAGGAATATGTGAAATTAACAGGAAATAAAACATTGATCTAGGCAAAGGTACTTACAGTTACTGTTGACCGAGTACCTTTGCCTTTGCCTTTGGCAGCAATCTTTCGAGGCTTTTTGGATTGCTGAGGTTCGACTTGGGATTCGGCAGTTCGCTTCTTAGGTCGAGGGGCAAGAGCAGTAGGTCGTGTTGGGGTTTGAGGTTCTCCAGCTCCAGAGTCCATGATTGCATCCTCTTCTGGATCATCCTCTGGGTCTTTGTCGTCACCGCTTTCGTCTTCTTCATCGGGTGCATATAACGACCTACGAGAGTCGGCCGAAGTTGGGACAAAAGTAGAATCACGGCGAAGAGGGCTAACACGACTAGAGCGACAAGAACAAGACTGAGATTGGGAGGCTTGGGAATTTGAACTCTGAGTTTTGGGAGCAGATAATAAAGATGACATGGTTCAGCGTCAAACTCAAAGAAGAATTATTGAAGGTAAAGGATAAAAGTTAAAAAGAAACTGTGAAGGAAGGGAAACGATGGAGAAAAGTGGGAAGAGAAAAGAAAAATGACAAAAAAGAAACGAACGAACCCAAATTAAAACATCCCTTGCTTGTCTTTTGAATCTATCCCTTGCTGTTAAGGATCTTGATCGGGATGAACCATATCGGGATTCTGGAACTTGAGGCTGAAGGGATTCTGGAACTTGAGGCTGAAGAAACGGTGGTGATAACTCCAGAAGACGGATACAGCGGTACGGCTACACCCCCTTACTATCCGGGTATTCCCAGACTACGGTACGGTTTGACCGTAGCGGGCCGGACCGCAGTCTACGGTGTCTAGACCGTACCGCGCCGTACCGTAGGCCGTTTTTCCCCGCGGTCCGGTTTGTGTGTTGCTCCGAGCAACACTAAGAAGAGTAAACCACGTAGTCCAAAACCTGCAAGACGTAAATGCTATGATCTGGCTTTCAAGAGTGAAGTTATTGCATGGCATAACACTCATGGGCGTAAAATTCAACGAGAGACTGCTCGTCATTTTCAGATCAAGCAGTCCGTAATCAGTCGCTGGCTCCGAGACGAAGAGAAGATATGCAACAATGCTGCAACAAACGGAGGTGGAATTCGTATTAAACAGCGGTTGGCCAAGTATCCACATCTTGAGGTAGCCCTCTACCACTGGGTCATCGAGGCTCGTGAACGAGATCTTCCAGTAAACAACGATATTCTACGCAAAAAAGCTCAGCACTTTTCATCAATCCTAAACATTGAGATGAAGTGCTCTGATGGATGGTTGACTAAGTTCAAAAAACGATACAACCTTCAAAAGGTTACACTCCACGGTGAAGCATCTTCCGTCAACCCCGAAGATGTTGAGTCTGCTCGCGCTGAGCTACTTGAGGAGACGAAGAAGTACCAGCCTTGTGATATCTACAATGGAGATGAGACAGGTCTATGCTATCGGTATGTATCCTTCCAGCTCATTCTGACTGCTTAAGTTCTAGAAACTCAGCTGATGTTGGTTTCACAAAATTTTCCTTCAGAATGCCACCAAATAAGACCTTAGCCGATAAACAAAAGCCGGGTGTGAAGGGGGACAAATCAAGGATCTCAGTCCTTGTCTGTACAAATTCTGACGGTAGCAACAAACTTCCAGCACTTTTCATTGGTAGTTCAGCTCAACCAACCTCATTCAGGCGCAAAAAGGCACACGATTATGGTCTTCAATACACCCACAACAAGAATGCATGGATGACTGGCACAATCTTTGGTGACTGGCTTCAGAGAATTGACACCGATTTCCGCAAACAAGAACACCATATCCTCCTTCTGTTAGACAACTTTTCAGGTCATCGATCAGCTGTCAAAACAATCAACTTGACAAACATAAAGGTCCATTTCCTTCCTCCAAACCTCACAAGTGTTCTCCAGCCATGCGACGCTGGCATCATCGCAGCATTCAAAGCCTACTACCGCCGCGACTTCATCTCACTCATCATCGGGCGATATGAAGATAATCCAGGGAAGTCGGCAACTGAAATTTATCGGATACCCCTCCTCGAAGCAATGCAGATGGCGAATGTAGCATGGAATTCAGTGACATCTGAAACCATTACAAACTGTTGGCGGCATACTGGAATAGTTGCTGAACTAAAAGCAGATGTATCTCACTTGATCCGCCCAAATGACCATGGTTTTGAAAACCTCGCCGACGACACCGATCTACAAGAGATCATCGAACAAACTTCGTGTGTTCTTAAGCAGCTTGATCACTGTCCAGGTTTAGATGAATGCCGATCCGACCATCGGCTCAGCATTAAAAATCTTTTGAATCCTCAGATTGAAAATCAACTACCCAATCACGAGTTGGTTATGCCAACAGATAAAGAAATCATTCAAGCTAGTGCATCCGATACACCTGTAGGCGCCGACGATCCCGAGGACGATGATGATCAAAGTGCTCTCACACTCCCGCCGATGCCACTTTCTCAAGTCTCTGCTGCCATCAACAGTATCATTCACGCGCTGAACCATCAACCATGCGACTTGGATGATCATGGACCCGACTGGAGAAAGCACATCACAGCCTTACACTCGCTTCGAAATGATGTTAGTACTGCCCGCTTCAAATTTGTGAATCAAAAATGTATCACCGACTTCTTTGCCCCAAGCCTATTCCATGAAGGTGAATAAAACCAGATGTCTTAAATGTTTGTGTCGTTGTCCTAGACATACACTCTTATGCTTTGTATGCCCTCTTATGCTTTGTATGCTTTTTTATTATCTATGATGTATCTATGCCAATTACAATAAAAATCGTATGCAATTTTGACTTTGATGAAATAAGCATTAGGGTCAATTTCTTCCCAAATATGCTTTTATGCTTACTTCGAAGTGATGCATTGCTCCCTTTAAGCATCAGGTATTCTGCATTTAAAAGGTTGCTTATATCGAGCGGCGACTGTACCATAAAGGCCTGAATTGAAGTGTAAGCGCGTGCGAGCCGAAGGTCGGACCAGTTCAATTGGGAGTTCGACAGCTGTCAATACAGCTGGCTTGTATACGCAATGAACATCAACAAAGTTTGAGTCAGACACCGAGTTTTGAACGAGTTTTGGCCTGGCAAGTTAAAATCGGGCATCACACATACATCGAAAAATTGCCGATAGTTCTCACAACGGCTGTAATGCAATTTTGTGAAGCGGATGTGATAAATTGTGAAAACCGAGTGATTTGAACTCTGTTGAATATGATAACTTCAGATTTTGAATACTGAAATTGGAATACATATTTGACTTTCAGGAATCGGATCTTAAGTTTAAAAAGTTTCAAAATCTCAGACATAGATATCATTTTTCCATTTCACCCGCCTTCATTTGTTGTTCGAGGTCTCAAATTCTTCACTTGCCCATCATCGAACTTTACAATGGAGACAGGTCACTCCACCTTGTCGAACCGAATGACCTCAGGAGATCTTCAACAAAAGTCATCATCTCTATTTGCTTGGTGCGACTTTCGACCGGCTCCTCTGCTGCAAAACACATCCAGTACTGCTAGGTAAGATACCCTAGATGTATCGAATCTACCTCTCAAACTGGATTGAAAATTTACATCGCGTGTCTTCATTACTTCACTCGACTCCTCGATCCGTTTGTTTGAACATTTTGTTGATACTCAGAGATCATCTCGCCAATGAAAGAACCTATTTGGCTTGGATGCGAACCTCTCTGGGATTTACTACTGTCGGGATCGGTAAGAAGACGATCTCATTGACTATTGCCTCAGCCGAATCAATTTGACTGGATCGTCGATTGAGATGAATCTTTCTAGCAATCACCCAAATATTTAAAACCCCTCAACCTGCCCAACCCGGGAGTGAAGCCATCACTATTTCTCCACCTGTGCTTAACAATACTCGCGGTCTCACTACGGATCAAATCTTAGAGCAATTAGTACTACAGGTTCAACAACAAGCTCTAGCACTTGATAGCTACGCAAGAACCGGAACCAGTAGCGATGATTCTCAGGTCGGCATTGGCATTGGAGTGACCTTTATGTGTATTGGAATACTGTTCTTAGTAGTAGGTACGAAATGCGAAGCCAGCAGTGGTTTCGACTTTTCAATTACTCATCATTCTTTCATAGCATACATCTTACACAGCACTCTACTCACCGCTTTCCATATTTCCAAAAATTAGGTACTCATCGTTATTTTCGAGTTCAGACTGTCTTGCAAACAGGACAATTCCCTCACAGTCGCCGTTCGGTCACATTCTTGTCTTTTTTCGTTCTCGGTTTACTTACCTCAACAATGGCCTGTATAATACGTTTTCACGGAAATCCCAAATGAATGTGAGGACAAGGAAAAGGCAGCGATGTATACAGATCAAATTATGTTACGATGTGATAGTATGGATGTTGTGTGTTACAAGGTTATGACATCATAGTGTTATGCTAATACATGTTTCTCTCTTATAATATGTTTATAACCAAATTGTTGTTAGGTATATATATTATAGATTGGTTGTCATGATGGATTGGTTTCTTCTTCACCTTTCCTATTCATTCTAATCTTTCTATTCTAGGTAAGTTTATCACTACTATGAAATACTACCTTTCCCATTCATTCTAATCTTTCTATTCTAGTCCGTGATCCATCTTAGGTTATGAGCCCATCTCGTGAAGATTATAAGATAATCACACTTTGAATAGTCGGTTTCGAAGACTATCAAATCTCCGATACGTCTAGAAAACCGTTCTAGAAAACCTTGGAAAGGTCCGTCAACAATACAGACGATAAAGTTCTAATCGATCGACATAATACAAACTCCGAACTGTACTACTGCATTCATCTTCAAATACATGCAGTGTTATAAGGTTCTTCTCATCTTAATCTTATTCGTATTCAATCAATTCTTCTTCATGTCTAATCCTAGTGCTACAGCTGGTGATAAGACCACTTCGACTTCATCTAAATCTCCTGGAACGACTCAACAACAAACCGGTCAACAGCAAACCGGTCGGTCTGAGTTAAAACCACCGATCACCATGACTTACAACAATGAAAAGTTGGAAGCCACTGGTGTGAAACCGTTGGAAGCTCCCGGTGAATCTTCGAACTATCATTATTGGCAATTCGTCATTGGTACAGTTATTAGAGGTTCCTCTTTTGGTTATGTCATACGCGATGTTCAACCTAATCCATTACCGGCGTCTAATGAACACGATCGATGTAAAGTTTTGGCATTAATCTTGAGATATGTAACCAAAGCGAACATCGAATTTCTTTCGCCATATCCGGATGATCCATTAAATCAATGGAAAGCATTGCGTGAAGCGCATCAAGATGCTTCATCAGGATCGGTCATGTTCTGGTTAAAAAAGCTTGTCACCGCTAAAATGGGTGATTCGTCCATGACGTCTCATCTCGAAACCATGGCTGCCGATTACCAACGTTTCAAATCTTTGGTTACTCCTGAAAGACCTCTTACTGCCGATACAATCTTCGCAACGGCAGTTAGTCTTTCATTAACTGCGGACTGGCAACCGGTATTACATCCTCTCCTTCAACGAGACTCGGTTACTTCTACTACGATCTTAAAGGTCCTGAGAGAAGAAGCTACTCGTCGATCTATCTCTTCAGATTCTGTTGAAGAAATTTCATCTGCTAGAAATGAAGAAAAGAACAAGGAAAAGGAAGTAATTTGTTCTCATTGCAAGAAGCCTAATCATAAGATGGAGGACTGCAGATTTTTGAAATCGTTAATTGAAAAATACAAGATCTTAAAAGCTGAAAAGAATGAAAATGATCAAGTTAAATCAAAACCTTCTAAAAATCAAGTGAAACGATCAAAAGCTAAGGCTAAAGCGGCGCAAATTTCCTCTGACTCGGATGTTTCGATTGATATCAACTCTGAAATATCGGCATCCGCGACTGTGAAAGCTTCTGCTGTCAAATCAGACAGCTGGTTGGTTGATTCTGGTACGAGTCAAATCATGACACCATTTTCACAAACTCTCTCTAATCGAAAGTCAGATGGTACCATGATCAGTCTTGCGAATGGCTCTACTGTCAATGCAGTCTCAAAAGGTTTAGTGGAATTACCATTCACTAACTTTAAAGACATCAAATCATTATATGTCCCGACTCTATCCGAACCTCTTCTTTCGGTTTCAAAATTGGCTGACAAGAAAATCTCAACTGTTTTTGATGCTTCAACTGTTTCATTTGTTAAAAATTTAAAATTTACCGGTGAAACTGTTGGAACTGGAGAACGAAGCGGAAATTTATATTATCTTAATCAAAAAGTAGGTAATTTGAATTCTACCAATCATACTTCGAAAGCTTCGGTTTCTGACGTTGAACTCTGGCATCGTCGTTTCAATCATCCCGGATATGCAGCTTTGAAAAGAAAATTATCATTGTTGAAAATCAAAGTTGATGAATCTGAGTTGCGAAAATTACATTCTTGTAAGATTTGTATACAAGGAAAAATGAGGCGTAGAAATATGTCCAGTCGAGCTGGGTGGAGATCTAAGAAACCTCTAAGTGTGATTCATTCCGACGTGTCTTCTTATTCTGTTGTATCAAGAAAAGGCTATAAATACTTTGTTACATTTATTGATGACTATACAAAGTATACTAAAGTTTATTTGATGCAATCAAAAGATCAAGTTTTATCAAAATTCAAATTGTTCTATAATGAGATGACAAATAAGGTTGATGGAATTATTGCTGAGTTAAGAACAGATAATGGCACTGAGTACATCAATTCAGAATTTTCAAAGTATTGTGCGGAAAAAGGCATTCTACAAACAACCGGTCCTCCTGATTCACCACAACTTAACGGTGTATCTGAAAGGTGGAACAGAACGATTAAAGAAAAAGTTTGTTGTTGTTTAATCGAAGCACATTTGCCTGATCAATTCTGGGGGGATGCTTTGGAATATGCAACAGAGACGCTGAACAATATGCCAACTAGGACGAATGATAAGTTTCAAACACCAATTTCTTTAATGGGTATTCGTGAACGTCAAGAACATACTTTTCATGCATTTGGTTGTCAAGTATGGTATCACGTTATAAAACCAATGTCGACACTTAAGCCAAGAGCTAAATCTGCTATTTTTCTCTCATATTTAATCAACAATGAGGGTGCTATAGTTTGGGATGTTGAAAAGAAATGTGCTCTCAAAGCAACTTCTTTGATATTCCTCGATAAAGTTTTTCCTGGATTAGATTCAGATTCTTTATTACCAGTGCCTAGTGAAGAAAGTTCACTTCCTTGGCCAACACTAGAAGAACATTCGATTCCTACTGAAGACTTGATTCCTTCTAATGATCCTTCTCAAGAACCTTCACCACTTCAACAAATCTATACTCGACCAGTTCGCTCACGCAAACAACCTGTTCGTTATGGAGAATTCGGAAGGGCTGCATTCATTGAATGTGAGAAAGATCCGACGACTTACAAGCAAGCCAAAAGGTCAGCTAACTGGGATCTTTGGAAGTTAGCTGCTGAGGCAGAAATGAGGTCACTAGTTGGTAAGGAAACATGGAAATTGGTTCCTAGACCAGCGAGGAGAAAAATCATACGTTGTAAATGGATTTTCAAAACGAAACGCAACATTGATATGTCGATTGATAAGCTAAAAGCTCGATTAGTAGCTTTGGGTTTCTCTCAAATCAAAGGCATAGATTTCTCTGAAGTGTTTTCACCGACAAGTCGTCAAGAATCAGTAAGACTATTTTTATCAACCATGGCGAAAAATGGTTGGAAAGGCGTTTCTTTAGACATTAAAACTGCTTTTCTTAACGGTGATCTGGATGAAGAGATATATATGGAACAAGCTGAAGGTTTTATTGACTCTGAACATCCTGATTGGGTATATAAAATTATGAGATCATTGTACGGTTTAAAACAATCACCGAGACAATGGAATATTAAATTACATCAATTTTTAATATCAATTGGTTTTATTCGCTCAAAACACGACCCTTCAATTTATTACAAGATGAATGATGAAGGAAACATCAAATGTTTACTGTGCACCCACGTAGATGATATAGCAGTAACTGGTGAAAATGCTGAAATTCAAGATTTTCGATCTCTTATCAAGAAACGTTTTGAAATCTCGTCAGACAAACCACTATCACATTTTTTATCTCTCAAAATCTCTGAAGTTAAAAATAATATGGTATCAGTTGATCAGTCTCATTACATAACAAATCTTCAAAAGGAATTTATGAAAAACAAAGTCAAATTATTCAACACGCCGAATGATGACAATTTCAAAACGTTAGTTCCTTTCAAAGATGAAGACGAAATTACTGAAAATTCATATTCAAGCTTAATCGGGGGTCTGTTGTGGGTAGCCCAGTGCACCCAACCAGATATAGCTTTTGTTGTAAATTGACTTTCTCAATTTTTAAAGAAACCATCGACAGTTCATTGGGATGCAGCTTTAAGGGTATTAGGTTATTTAGTAAGGACAAAGGATTTGAGGTTAAATTTAGGTGGCAAGGAACTTTCTCCAACGGCGTTTTCAGATGCAGACTGGGCAGAAGACAGACATGAAAGAAAGTCGACGACTGGATACGTTTTTATGTTGGGAAACGGTCCAATCTCGTGGAGATCAAGAAAGCAAAGAACGGTTTCTTTATCTAGTACTGAGTCAGAGTATATGGCTATGAGTGACTCGTGTAGGGAAGCGAGGTGGTTGGTTTCTTTGTTGAATGAGCTGAATGTTTCGAAAGAGAAGATGTTTAGGTTATGTGTGGACAATGAAGGAGCAGAGGCTTTGGCACTTAATCCATCTCACCATTCAAGAACAAAACATATTCATACTCGTTTTCATTTCGTACGTCAATGTGTGGAGGATGGTATAGTGAAATTAATTCATGTATCTTCATCAAAAATGTTAGCGGACATGCTAACTAAAGGACTTTCAAGGGTTTTATTAATCAAACATAGGTTATCTCTCAGCATATATTAAAAACATGTTATCAGCAAGGGGGGATGTTATGATGTGATAGTATGGATGTTGTGTGTTACAAGGTTATGACATCATAGTGTTATGCTAATACATGTTTCTCTCTTATAATATGTTTATAACCAAATTGTTGTTAGGTATATATATTATAGATTGGTTGTCATGATGGATTGGTTTCTTCTTCACCTTTCCTATTCATTCTAATCTTTCTATTCTAGGTAAGTTTATCACTACTATGAAATACTACCTTTCCTATTCATTCTAATCTTTCTATTCTAGTCCGTGATCCATCTTATCAAATTATCATTCTCAAGCATGACGCGTCTGCGTCGATACTGATTGTTATTCTCATCCCATATATTTCTTTTTGTATTCGACTATAAAGTATGTTTTAAACTTACAGTTTCTTTTTTCGGATGTTTATACTTCTTGTTATTCTTCCCCAACAGCATTTCTTGTAATTGTGATAGATCAAGCATTCATTATCTTCCATGATAGATGTGAAATATGCGCGTAGTAGCCAATGAAGTCATTCATCAAACCTCATGAACCAGTTATATCCATTCAGAGCTGAATGAGGCTGCATACGTTGGAGAGGTTCTGACAGCAGATACAGCGATTCCTAACAATGTATTCCATCCAAATCATCAGGCAATCATCATTCAATGACCCTCACAAAGATTCACATGTCTGTATAGTCATTTTCAACAAGGATGCCTTGGAGGTGATGTTCTAGCAATCGATCACATGCTCCCTTTAGGGTCAAAGGAAGGTATTGGACGGTCTGATGCCAGCCATGCCCACGATTTATAATACCATTCTAATCATAGAATCCTTTCTTTTATGTGACACAATCTCTCTGCCTCTAGGATGAGATGCTTATGTATCATCAGACGACCCTCACAAATAGTACTGCTCAATAATGATGCCCATCCTCTTCAGAGGCATGTTCACTGAGATGTTTGCAAGTTTGTTTTTTGATGATCAAAGAGCTTAGTCAAGGGAGGAGGAGTTTGGGTACCTTTTGGGTTAGCTATTCAACTCATTCAGTATTTGCTACTCATGTGATGATAAAGTATACCTCCGTATGGAGATCATGATTTTTAGACTCAAAAATGGGTTCAGAAACTGAGCTTGTAGTGGCATTGGCAAGTTTTATTTTGTTTTGTATGCTTTGACAATCTGGGCTAGTCCTCAGAGCAGCCACGTCTAGTATAGAGACCTGAGTTATGATCATCAATGAAGATTTTTCACACATGTGATTCATACAGGAGTCCAATGAAGCTTGTTCTTCTTGTGTACCACTCAGGCATGATCAGGAAAAGATTATCAAGCCAGATTAACATAAGCATTTAATATATATATTGCAAAACTTCTCGTCTTTGATCCAAATTTTCATACATAACACTGACAGGTCACACCAGCTCGATACAAAACAATATAAATAACTTGTGTAACTTACACCTTCATCATCTTCTTCAAGCCCCGAGTACTTGGCAAAAGTTTTTATTTTATCAAAGCTTTACTGGGCTGATTGGACTGGCCATCTATTGATGTTTTTATAAGATCAATTCACTCGGATTAGAAATCTAGATTTTTCATGTTGCCAAGTCTCGATTAGATATTCAGAAACTGACTTGCCTATAGCCTTGTGTGAAGCGTTTGTACCCGACATCTGTAGACGCACGTATAGAGATATTACAGTGAGTATACCTTCGCTGAATGGACCTTGTAGGCTCCTGGATACTAACGTTTTGTAATAAAGTCATCTAATGTGGCCGGTCCACGAGAGCCGTACTCGTAAGACTCTGGTTTCGGCTTTTGTTCTGGGAAACATATATACCGATTAGTCTATTGGTGCAGTTTCAAAGCAGCTGATCATCAAAGGTAAACGAAGGGAACAAACCATCGATGTAATGCAGTAGCGGCCTGTGTTGGTCCCAAAGGAGTCAGCTCGAGCTGAATAACAACATCCCAACACAATGGAAAGCAGACTCACGTGAAGATTTTCCAAGCAATGTCCAACTCATCATCTCTTACAAAGTTTGATCGATCTCCCTTGATAGCATCTAAGATCAAAGCCTCATACCTAAAAGCAAAAGGGAATCAAGTTTAATTTGATGAAGCTTCATAAACCGATCCAAAGAAAATTGCTCACGCCTCGGGAATCTTCAGGTCACTGAACCTCCGCTTGTAAGTCAAATCCATCTCCGTGGGTACCGTTTTCATGGCTAGACCTGGTGCTTTGGCATTCATCTTCATATAAACTGCCTCGCCAGGTTGGACTCGAATCACCAATTCGTTCCGTGCAATATCTTTGAAGATACCTTGAGTGACGTCTTTGTATCTGTATTAGGTTTAGAAATCTCATGGTCAGCTACCAATAAATCAGTAACCGGCAGATTATGGTCGCAAATTCCACTCAAGATGAACCAGCGGGAAGTAACCTAACTGGATTCGGATTTCAGTCTTTTGTTCATTCAAAGCTTTCCCAGCCCTCAACACGAATGGAACGCCCTCCCAACGTGGAGAGTTGATGTAAAGGACCAAGGCTGCGAATGTAGGACAGATAGAACCTTTGGGAACGGTATCATCATCCAAATATCCTGGTTTATCACCCGATGCTACATATTGACCTAAGAGTGAATGTTCCTTGAGGATTGGAGGAATGAACCGAAGCACTTTGACTTTCTCGTCACGGATATCTTCAGCTGAGAAGGAAACAGGTCTTTCCATTGTCAAAAGTGACAAGACCTGAAGTAAATCTGGAAAAGTACTTGGTGATGGTCAATATTGAACTTAAATCCGTGTGTGGCAAAAAAGTTTTTTTGATTTATGGAATTGACTCACGATTTTGCATGACATCTCGGATAATTCCAAATTCATCAAAATAACCACCACGTCCTTCAGTTCCAAAAGGTTCCTTGAAGGTGATCTGGACATTGGAGATGAGACTCTTGTTGAAGGATGCATCTAGGATGACATTTCCGAAACGAAGCACGAGAAGGTTCTTGACCATCTCCTTTCCTAGATAATGATCGATTCTAAAGGTCTGGAATTCAGTGACAGAACATCATCAGATCGGTGCAAGTAAGTTACTAGTCATCTAAAAAGGTGACAAGGATGATCTGGAGCGTACCTCCTCTTCCTTCCAAAGCGCTTTTAGTTTCCCCATCATATCCCGACTGGTGGGCAGGTCCATTCCAAATGGTTTTTCCACTACAATTCGATTCACACCTGTAGTCGAGTACTACAAGCCAAGGGTCAGACCACCTCACTTGATGAATCCAATGAATGAACCAACCCACATTATTCTCTTTAAGTCCTTTTGCCACATCAGTAAACACACTAGGAGGTAAAGCCATATAAAAGATCCGATTTCGTTTATCACCCTTGAAATCCTTTTCTTTTTCATTGATTGCCACTTCTAAAGCTTTAAAACTTTCAGTTTCATTGTATTGTCCAGAAACATAAGAACAGATTTCCAAGAATGAATCGAGTTTTTGTTTCATCGCAGGAATTGGAACTTTGATGTGTTGAGTGACTCGATCATGGAAATCTTTTTCTTCCATCTTAGTACGAGCATAACCAATGATACGAGTACCTTCGGGTAAGAAACCATTGAAGAAAAGACCAAAGAGTGCAGGGAAAGTCTAAAGTCAAGATAGAAAGTAAGAGTCAGCTTTTAAAAGTTAAGGATTCGAGCTATGGGCTTGATTTAGGCGGAAAGTGAAAGATTGAACTTGACAGGATAAAGTAGATGATGAAATCACAAAAGTAAAGAAAGAAGAATAGAAGAAATCAAGTGATTTACTTTCTTCTTAGCTAAATCACCCGAAGCACCGAGAACGACGATGATGGTATTATTGACGAGTTCAGTTGAGCTTGATCCACCAGATGAAGGGATATCTGAAGCCATTTGATCGGATTGTGTGATTTGAATCGAAAGTTGAAGTTGATAGTTGAGGTAGTGGTTGAGGTAGTGATAGTGGTAATGGTGGTGGTTGTGTACTAAAATGATGACGATCGATGACCCAGCAATACAAGCTGAAACTGGTTGCTGCAGTCTCACTGGTAAGTTTGGTATGTAAACTTTAAATCCAAAATACACTCGATCACTCTTTCGTCATCATCATGATCGATTGAATTTTAATGCTAAAACTCACAATCAGTTCTGTATCAGAGACCATGAGACCTTCCTACAAATCCGATCATCATTCCTTACATTATCAATTCTTCTTATCCCTCATTATTCATCATTCACTACATCAAACAAATCTCTGGTCTATTATATTCCCAAAGAAATATCATTCAGAATCACTCGATACATTCTCAACTCCTAATTTATCACAGTCCTTTACTTTCATTTCATCCCTATCCACCGGCTATAATCTTATTGACAATGAAAGCTTAGCCAATCAGATCTGATATTCACCAAAATGGGGAATAAATTTATACATTGGGGTAAATCTGACTATTTAACGCCAGATTCGCAGTTAATCAATCAATAGATTGTTGTGCTGTAAGCATATTTCGTCTTCATCATCTTGAATACAAGATGTTCTTGGTTTTTTGTTGACTATCTACTCTTCAAACATGAAGGATTTCAAATGTTAAAAGGAAATATCATCATCAACGCCAGGAATGGCAATGACTTTCGGATCAAGTCTGCCAAACCTTGACAAGTTGTAATCTATTGGTATAGACAGAAGCTTCAACAACGCAAGAGATTCAATGGATTTCCTTTGTGAAGCACCACCATCTATTGTATCTCACCTATACAAACAGTCTTAAAACTGCATTTCCTGACTGTACATAGATCCTATTCCCTTCATCTCAAATCCACTCGAATCCTTCTTACATATCAACCAATTTACATACACATGTACCTTGGTTTTTGAAAACTCCAAGTCCATACGTGATAACCTCAGGCACGCATGGAAAAACCACGCTCCACCGCACCATCAGCCGCAGATCACGCCTTGATCCAGAAAACAGTTGCTCAACTCCCTAAGTCCGCTGAATTCAGTTCCCCATCACTATACATACAAACTCAATCGATCAGAACTCAATCCATCAAAACTACCCAAACTCAGAGCATCACATCCACTCAACCTAGAATACTCAAAAATGCCAATCACTGGACATCCCGTACATCCCACCGGCACTCAGATTGTAGCTAACTTAGAGCGGCTTGCTGCTGCTGCCGGAGCAAACGGCCTTCCCACTCCCAGCCACACGCAAAACACGAGTCACCTCACCCAGCGTCCCAGTACTAATACCACTGAAGTGCCATCGACAGTTACAGCCAAGCCTCCTCGCAAACGTAACAAGACCAAGGGTAAAAACAAACGCAACAAACGAAAGCGAGGTGACAAAGGCTCCGGCTCCGAAACTGAAGACGTGCCGATATTTGACCCAGCCGACTTGAAAAACTCCGACAAGACCGCGCTTCAGCTTCGTTACTTAGCGGAGGAGCATTCCTCATCCGGAATGTCGGATGAAATACTCGAGTCTGTACTTGAGTTCCATGAAGAAATGCAAACTTTGATTGCAATCAAAGCCCTCAAACTTGGAACCACCGTCTTGGCCATCGAAGCAGTTTTGTAAGAGATCAAATTAGGAGATCAACTCATCTAACTGTTCTATATGTACGTGTTGTACAATACACTGACACTTGTTTCCTGTTAATTAGTGGAAAGTATATCGGGGTTCGTCGCCCTTCGCGATGGAACCGATTCCTACAAAGTCCGAGAGCCAGGGCGGTATTCAAAGCAGGTGAGTCGAGTATGGGTCAAATTCAGGAATGTTTACAATGACATCAATTTCATTTCGAATTAGCTTGCGGGGTAGGTAGCGGCGAAGGCATGAGACAACTGAGTGTGGTATGGAAAAGCATGTCCGAAGTCGAAAAGGAAGTCTATAATGAGGCTACCCAAGAGGCCGATCTGGCCAGTCTTCAAGCTATGGACAAAGACCTGGCAAACCTGGCAGTTGGCTCTCGCTCTCGAGACCAAATACTACAGTCTGCATCAAACACTGTAATCAATCCTCGAAGTCTCAAAAAATACAAGGATAATGCCAACAGATATCTAGATGACGTTATGAAACATGTGAGTAGATTTTATCGGCAACTTCCACATGAAGAAAGGTGATGTGACTGAGGCCTCCATTCAACAGTGCGTTCCTGTCGCCAAATCCAACCACTTCGAGATGATCATTGTAGCTGTTTCAAACCACATATCGGATCATAGCTTCCAGATGACGCGCTCAACGGTAGGAGTCAAGAAGATTGTCGAGGAGATTTACGCGATCGATGGCGTCAATAAATTCGCAACCGAAGTACAAGCACACTTGGTCGGTCGAAAACCCAGCGAGCTGACTAAATCCCAATCAGGTGGGTTTCCATAAGGATTCCATAACGTTGGATTTGTATGTTTACATATCTATTTAACTTATAAATCATTAGAAAATGCACGCAAGTTTCATGCGAGAGTGGTTGCGTCCCTCTCCACTTATTGTAGTAAGTCCTACAGAGTGATAAACTATAATTTAATAGTCACAACTGATATGTACCTTTATTTAGAGGAGGTGACCGGGTTGAAACACTGGCCATGGAGTAATTGTGACGCGACTTTCAAGGAAGCCGGATTCAAATTTGAATTACTCCCTGGCGCCTGATCGACTGCAGAGACCTTCAAGTCAAAAAGCAACAACATCAGCTGTGCCAAACTTTTGGCAATCGAAAGCGACCTCGAGAACAACTTGATACAGCTAGTCCTAATCAATCAACCCACTTCGGCTCCACTCGAAAACACTGAAGATACTACCACTATTACTACCACTGCCAATAACTGAGATGAAATTCCAACGCTGCACTTTAATTCCCCCTTCTAATACCCACAAATACTAATTTGTGATATTGTTTTTATGTTTGGTATCGATTGTCTTTTGTTTTCAATCTCCTTTTCATTTATTTTTTCTCACTCGATATGAAATGATATGAGAATTCATGGTTAACACCCGATGTACCTGAGTTACACGCGCTCAATTAAGATTAACATTCTGATTGACCCCACCCCAAAAGACTGAATGGTAATAGACCAAAGACCTCGGCAAGGATCATTTACAATAGGATATCAGTTCATATCATAACTACAATCATACCATAAGTTGTAATTGATCCTGTAAGAACATCACGGTTGAGATATGACTGGGACTCCACCGAGAGCATGAATGAGAGCAAGTCATTGATGCAATGCAAGCCTTCGATTATACAACGTAAACACAAAGGTTATCTATTGATAGTCGCTATTGATCAACATACACGTCACCACCAAACGCGTCTTCAAGCGTCCTCAAGGCTTATAAAATTCCGACGATCGGAAAGAAGGACATCTCAAGGACTTAAAAGGTGAGAAGTCATTTCGATTTCTCCATCTCCTCATCCCTCCACATCCAAACTTATCTATCATCTTCATCACTCGACTTATCATCCACCTTCACTAACTTATCATCCACCGACACTACTTTTACTTCGACTATCTTAGTATAACTTCTGAACTCTCTAGATTTCTACATCTACACATCTCATCATGTCTTCGTCACCTATTACTTCCAACCACACCGGCATTGATGCTTCCTCCAATCCAATCACCGTAACGCCTGGCACTCCTATTCATATCTCAAATGTTACCCTCTCTGCAGAAGCGGCGAAATCGATCTTAGAACTCATCATGTCTACTCGCGGCAGCGCTGAACGTAACCCCGTTTCAATTCCAATTACTGCTCACCCGAGTGTCAAACAAGGCATTGATCAGTGCATGAACTGTGGTATCTTTGGCCACCGTACATTTCAATGCGCTCATGTCGGACGTACCCCTGAAGGTATTCCTGAGTGGCGCCGTACCACTAACGGAAAGATTTACAGCGTGAAGGCGCTACTTGGGATGCATCCTTACCAAAAGTGGACTATGGATACGCTATTGGAAGATCACTCGAGGTAAGTATTTTTACAAGTTTAAGATTCTTTTGCAATTACCAATACTCATCTACATATGATATATGTAGTCAAAACGTATACGATCATACCCCATGAACATCACCCACCCCTATGACGGCCACTACCAAACCTTCAAACAACTTTACAACCGATCTGAAGATGAAGACTCGATCTACTCCACCTTTTGAGACACCAGCCGTTGAGACGATTGATTTAAACACTCCGTCACCCACTCCGCGGGCTACCACCTCGAAAACGATTACGTCCTCTCGATCGAAGGGAAAGGAAACTTTGCACCAAGCATTCAATCCGGTGGTGACCCCATGGAATGATTGGTCCAAGGTCTGGAGTTGGAAACCGTAAGTGAACCATCTTTTGATCGATCTTTTGGTGTGATCACGTCAATAGGTCATCATCTAACAGCACCCTTTGCTCGTTGTGTAGCAAGCAAAAGTGTCACTGCTGCTGCTGCCATCAGCGAAGCTGTGGCAGGCAGGAACCATATTCCCGTCACCGTCGGGCGGGCTCTTGTCCTATCGAGGAGTGATTGATTCAAGAACCACGTCCTCTATTTCTCTCTCGATATTTATTTATTGAACCAAGTTTATCAAATGTTACATTAGGTTAGATAGGAGTTAGTGAAGGCGGATAGCAAAACTTATTTTCTTTATCTTTACTTTACACCACGATACAAGATGTGGTTTTATTCTTCTGTTTCTCTCAAATCTACGATACACGATGTGGCCGACTGGTTTTCTTTTTATCTCATGCTTTACTCCACGATACACGATGTGGCCGGAAACCTATATGTTATCTCTGTACTCTACTACGTAGAGTTGTGTTTTGTGTTCCAAGGTTACAATTTTTCCCTTTTGTCTATTGAGTTATGAGATATGCCTTTGTAATACATATATATTATATATAGTGAAGATGATACACGATACTACACAAAGATGAATGAAAAGAATGAAATATGATACACAATACTACCCAAAGATGAAAGATAGGATGGAAAATCATTTTCGAGAGGGAAGATGACGAGATACCCAAAAAAGTGATTAATGAATCATGTTCCCCGTACAGAGAAGTATATAAGTCAACGTAACAACATCGAATTTCGCTCTTGTTGGTAGACTTGGGGTATGTTTTGTACCTCAGCGGGAAGGATTACCTCGAAAAACATGTTAAAAAATGATTTTCGAAGGTGAAGAAGAGGAGCTACCAAAAAAAATCATTGATGAAAAATGTTCGGAATACAAAGAACCACCAAAGTCAACGTAAAAACATCAAATTTCCTTTTGCATCATAGACTTTGTGTATGTTTTGTCTCTGTGTGAGTCGAAAAAACGTGACCTTGAGGTTTCAAAGTGTATTTTGAAGCTGAAGATGACACGCTGAGCCAAAAAGTTGATAATGAAAAATGTGCGCAAGATAGAGAAGCATATTAGTCAACGTGAAATCATCAAATTTGCGAGATGTGTACGCACTTTGTGAGACGTTTCTACCTTACCACAAGCAATAAACCTACAAATATTAACATGAAGTCGTTTTTCGAAGCTGAAGATGACGAGATTTGGCCAAAGTGCATTAATGAAAAATGACCGGGATCCCAATTAGTACCTAAACTCACATGGAAACCAAGAAATTGTGCTTTCTTGGTTATGTTTAAGGCGAAGATGTGTCCATTTTGTCATCGAAATCGAAGGAATGAGTTTTCTGGTAAATCTTGCACAACACTCGTTATGGATATCTGATAGAACTTGAGCACAAAGAAGCATAGAAACTATCTGAATTGCACAAAATAGCAGTTTGCACGTGACTTTTTGTGCTTCTTCGTATTGCGGTTATTTTTCATTAATAACTTTTTTTCATAACTCGTCATCTTCAATGTCGAAACCCACTTTGCATCCAAAAATTCGTGTATTACCTTCACATTCAGGTATAAAAATCACACAAAGGTATCGTAGAACTCGCTTATTTGATGTTTGTTCGTGGACAAAGATGCTTCACTGTACGGTGGACATTTTTCATTAGTGGAATTTTACCATATCTCCTCATCTTCACCTTCGAAAAACACTTTCGATCATGATTCTCGAGGTATTCCTTCCTGCTGAGGTACAAAACATACACCCAGTCTGTGGAAATGCGTCAACAGGTATGTTTGTACGTTGACTTGTATACTTATCTGTACGGTGGGCATTTCTCATTAATGGTTTTTTCCCTTAACTCCTCATCTTCACCTTCGAAAACCACTTTCGGTCATGATTTTCGAGTTAGATCTTCCACCTGAGGTACAAATGTTACACCAGGTCTACGAAAATGGGTCAAAAAAGATGTTTGTACGTTGACTTACATACTTATCTGTACGGTGAACTAGTTTCATTAATCTTTTTTTTTGTATCTTTCTGTGTTGTGTGATTTCTGGATCAAGGCGTGATCTGCGGCTGATGGTGCGGTGGAGCGTGGTTTTTCCATGCGTGCCTGAGGTTACCACGTATGGACTTGGAGTTTTCAAAAACCAAGGTACATGTGTATGTAAATTGGTTGATATGTAAGAAGGATTCGAGTGGATTTGAGATGAAAGGAATAGGATCTATGTACAGTCAGGAAATGCAGTTTTAAGACTGTTTGTATAGGTGAGATACAATAGATAGTGGTGTTGTGAAGAAATTAATTATATCATGATATAGAAAAATCAAAAAGAAGAATCAGCTTTTTGGAGAGCATGTCAAAGGAACTAGAGAGACATCAGGTAATCCTATCAATAAGATTGACAACGAGATTTTCCCAACAGGAAAGGTCATTGTCACCTAAACAGACGCACCCCTGCTAGACATTTTTGTTTTCCACTCATTTGTGCATTTTGGAATAAGTCAATCTGTTTCCTTTTCCTCAACAGACATGCACTTCCAGGCTGGGTGGAGTGGGTTTACTCTAGGACCCAATTCAGACCAGAAGCTCTGATGGAACTTGTAGCAATGTAATAGAAAAAAGATTGTTCAGGTACAGCCGTTGTAAGATCTATGGGTAGATTTTGCGATCGTTGTGTTGTCGCCGGATTTAACGTAAAAGTCAAGAACTCGAAAAAACCCTTCTGAGATTGATAACTTTACTGCCCATTGGTCCAATCTAGCACAAAGACAATTGAGTTAGTCTGAGAGTGTCATGATTTCGAGGTTTTTGACTTCAGAAGTTGAATCTGACGACAACCAAACTTTTCAAAAATCTGCCGATAGATCTTACAACGGCTGTAATAAAAATCCCCCCATGTGGCAAATGCTCATACAAAAGTGTTTGAAAAGACTGACTTGTGGGCCAGCTACTACAGGTCCCGCATGTGAGAAGATATGTCCATGTGCAACCTGTACTTGCTAAATATTACAAACACATATGCATGAAAAAGGTCCGTGAAGGTCTGCAGGGAACTTTTAACAAATCCCTTGAAGTGCCCGGCAAGAAAGCGGAAATTGATTCTATAGTTGTGAGAAAGAATAATTTTAATGTTGAGCAGTAAGAGACACGGTTTTTGTAACAATATCAAGCAATGGGCCCTCAGTACTCTTGACTTGATCAGTACTTTGAAGAAACCTATGTATTGCCAGTTAGGTGATACCTGGATAGGTTTCCCAGAGGAAAGCATTGGGGCAATTTATAAGGCGGTGCACCGGCTGGACATAGCTGGCGTTGGCCAGGATGCCAGGCTAAGCATCTAGGATATAGATGGCCAGAACTTGAAGCGGACTTGACCATTTTCAGGCTGTGCAGGGCATTCTGTGATCATGAACTATCCTGTGGTATGGAGACAATTCCTGTGGATGTCCTTGAGTTTTATAAACTTCTACAACTTATCGTATTTGCTGCCATGTATTTGCTCGGTGTTTCCTCATTTTTATACAACTCTGCTTCAAACCAACAGGAAGAGGATGTGACTTATCTGGTGTTACGCTCCTTGATCCTCAAAATCACAGGTCAATTGGAGTCGAGTATCGGTGTTATATTGGTCGATGGTCTTGGCCTCCGAGTCCCATGTCCACAAAAGCCTTTGATTAAATCCACTCTTTGAATGGATGAATGACGAATGGACGAAAAGGTGAGCGGGGATATATAGTTAATTTGAATAGCAAGATGAAATCTCCAAATTGGTGCTAGCAATTTGAGTACTTAAGAGGCGAGAAGTGTATAACCGAGAACTCTCATCGATCACTCTTGCTCAATTGGATTTGGTACACCATAAATAACTCTTCGTTCTTTCGTTCTTTGACTTCTTTATTCGATTTTCATCTTCATCCAATCGTCATCAGTCTCAAAGCCATTCAGTGCTGGCCTCTTTATCGTCATTTCTTTGTTGACAAACAGTTCCGACTCGGCTTCCTTCAAATCAAAACCGCCTTTCTGTCACATAATCTGATTGTGAAACATGAAGGCAGCTGCTGCACGCACATTTGGCAAGAGTGAGTCATTCTCTTTATATTCATCATCTCATACGAAAACAACGATTGACCAGTTCTTTACGTTCTCAGAGGTAAAAGATGCCACATCAGCCCCGGGCAGCACACCAGCCGATGCTTCTCCCGCTACGAACAGTTCTGAGCCACTCAAGGTCTCTTCACCCGGAACTTTAGTCATTCGAATCGTGGAAGCTTCAGGATTGAAACTTCCTGATGGTGCCGAGCTTCCGGAGCGGATCGAACGGGCCTTAAAGAGCGATGTTAGCGCCGCATCGTCTGTGACTTCTTTGGCAGGGGCCAACAAAGCACAGCATCGAGTCAGCGTTTATCGAAAACAAAAGTGGTGGCTTCCTTGTTCGTTCTCCTATTAGCGTAGCTGCTCCATCTTACCGTTTGTGACACTGGATTGACAAATTTTGCGAATGTACCAGATTGTATTTTGACTTATGATAAAAACGAGGTCAACTTCTTGAGTACATCCTTACTATGTCTATCCATGAATTCTAATATGCATCCATCTTAGATTCTCGTCGATGCTGTCAGTGGAGGTTTGGAGAACCCTGGATGGATGTATCGAGCCGACTTGTGAGCTAGACCATTTTAATCACATGCGGTTACCCGAGTTCTCACTTTCGACTTTCTCCCGACTTTGTTTACCAGCGATGTGTCTCGTGCGGCCGATGTCACTGTATCTGCCTATCTACGTACTGCTCCTGGACATGACCGACAGGACATGGGCAACGATCTACTACTTAGTAGCGTCACTTTTTCTCCCAACATCCAGAGCAAGGTAAAGCTCAAGTTTCATGGCATACTCGATAGGCTCTGATTGTTCCACTTTAGGGCGTTACAGATACGTGGTATCCTGCTGGCAGTGGCGACGGCAAGTTCCATGTCCAAGTGATGTACAAGGCCTCAGCGGTGTGCATTTTGGCTATCTTTCAAAGACTTTATGAGATGAAGTCTGATCAGAACCTGATCTGTCACTTAGAGCGATCCTTTGACTATTGACTCGTTTGAGCTGCTCAAAGTCATCGGTAAAGGATCGTTTGGTAAAGTCATGCAAGTCCGAAAGAAGGACACTGGCCGAATTTACGCTCTCAAGACGATTCGCAAGGCTCACATCGTATCCCGATCGGAGGTTACTCATACGCTTGCCGAACGAACCGTCCTGGCTCAAATCTCCAACCCATTCATCGTCCCGCTCAAGTTTTGCTTTCAAAACCCCGACAAACTTTACCTTGTTCTATCGTCAGTGTTGCTTCGCTCTGCACCTGCCAACAAGTCGTATTTAGGATCCTGATGAGACTAGTCAACCCATCACAGTTTCATCAATGGCGGTGAGTTATTTCATCATTTGCAGCGTGAAGGTCGATTCAGTGAGGAAAGGTCAAGACTCTACACCGCCGAACTTCTATCCGCTCTTGAGTGTCTCCATTCCATGGATGTCATTTACCGGTGAGGACACTCTTCAACATGTTCATCAACACGTCCATCTCATAATGAAACTGCATTGGATTTCTATCTGTCAGCGATTTGAAGCCGGAGAACATCTTGCTAGATTATACGGGTCACATCGCTCTGTGTGATTTTGGTTTATGTAAACTCAACATGGGCGAGGCTGAACGGACCAACAGTGAGTTATATTGCTTGCCGTGTATGGTCTTCAAGATACTGATTGTGTACCATTCCCCTGTAGCATTTTGTGGAACGCCCGAGTAAGTCCAAAGCTGCTTTTCTACCAAAACAACTTATAGCCCACAAGTATCTTACTGGCCATCATGGGCGTCTTAGATATTTGGCACCTGAAGTGATCAAAGGTGAAGGTTACGGTAAAACCATTGATTGGTGGACTCTAGGTATACTACTTTACGAGATGCTTTCGGGGTTGCCGCCATACTGTGAGTGGTTTGGATCCACTCTCTGCTCTTATTCCAATACTGTGATATAACTCTGATTGTATCTTTTTTCATATGTAGATGATGAAGGTATGTAGTGGTTTTAGGCGTGTCACTACCTTTGCTGCGTAGGAAATCGATATTCACTCACTGTCATGGCATACTCTAGACCATCACACAATGTACCGCAAGATTTTGAAGGTAGAACAAGTCCCTTCATCCATAAATCCCTTGAATCATTGACCCACTCTGTAACTTGGTGTGACTTTTTGCATTGTGTATCTATTTGCGACAGGACCCCCTCACTTTCCCTGCCGAAATCAAGCCCGATGCACGATCCTTACTCACCGGGCTCTTAGATCGTGATGCTAACAGTCGCCTTGGTGCCAAAGGCGCCGAGGACATCAAACGCCATCCATTTTTTTCGAAGTCAATTGGTAGGTGTTGGTTGGCGGATTGTTTAGAGTTCAGCTAACTTTTGATATCTTTCATTAGATTGGGATCGACTGAACTCCAAAGGCTACCGTCCACCATTTAAGCCGAGTGTAGAGAGCGTGGCTGACGCTAGCAATTTCGATTCCGAGTTCACCAGGTGATCAATAATAAGTTTTGAGCAATTGATTGAAAAGTAGCTGATTCAAAAACTTTCTGGTATCTCTTAATAGTGAAATGCCGATGGACTCGGTGGTTGAAGATTCTCATTTGAGTGAAACTGTTCAACAGCAATTTGAGTGAGCATGATTCTCCGGGTTTCTAAAGCTGTCTGAATTACTAATGTCTGTTGATTGCTGGAACGACAGGGGCTTTACTTTCAATCCAACTGGGGAGTATATGAGTGAAAGCGTTCGAGACTGATTTGTTAGATGGTAAAGGAACCATACTCAGTCCATACGTAGTCAATCACGCCGTAGTCCGTTCTCAGAAGAAAACTGCATTTATCTCGTCACTGATCATACATTCATCGTTGTAATCTGCATGTCTTGCATTTTTGTGTGATCTCATCCTGCAAATCCATCTTCTATTTTGCCTTGAAGACATGCATTGACCATTGTGAGAAGTCATGACACATCTCAGTTAAGCTATCTGTGTGCCCTTGAAGAAGACTCATCCATGAAACGTTCTGATCCTGAACTGTGTTCTTCGGCTGCACATATCTTTTGTAATCTTGATATCAAGTATTCAGATGATCATGTGTCACAGATATTGTTCAATCTTTCACATGTGAGATACTATATGGAGTGGTGGAATTCTTCACAGAGGTGTTCACACTTACTGGATCAATGTAAAGCACAGTTGTGGGATGATACCAAGAAGTGATGTGATGAAAAATCTGTATGGTTGGTAGTCCCAACGATACCGCAACCGCTCCACAATTTTTTGAGGTTGCGGAGCGGTTGCGTTGTGATTTTTGTAACCGCAACAGCCACCCCGGGAATCAACTCGTTTGAAACCCAATTGAGCGGAATTTTGCAGAGCATTCCAAGGCGGAAGGAACAGGCGAGCGATGTGGAGCGGAGCAAAAGCGAGCACAAATTTCGCACGCTGCTGAATTCACCACTTTCACACGTCCCAATGCAGCTTGACGTGTGACAAGCACAGCTACTGGCGTACAATACCATACAGATGTGTACTTATGTGCAATGACAGCCTTATCGCTTTCCTCCTCCTCAACCCCATGATACCAAACCATAGAAGCCCCAAAGTCCGCCAATATTTGATTGCCTTTGCCGTCTGAGCCTAAACACATGCAATTTATGAGCCTCATTGAGATTTAAATAACCAACTAGGAAACGATCAAGTGTCACTGCGCACACTTCGATTCATCAACCAAATGCCCACACAAAATTACATGAGATCTATTGGCCTATTTGAGATCCGCCGCACAGCTCAGAAATCACTGCAAGGCATCTCTACAGAACACGAGACTTCCCAACATTTATCATCTTTCATAAACTTCATCAACATCATGCTTTTACGCCAACTGGTCGAGCAGTTGTATACCCTAGACCGCCGAACTTACGACACCCTCACCATCAAGCAACTAACTGCATTCACCACACTTTCCGCTGAGTTCTTAACCAGGACAGACGGAGTCTATGTCACCAGACCAACTCAACTACCCATAGAGTTCCTGACCTATTCCCTTGCCCCGGCTCAGCCAGCCGCTGCTTGGGCATCCCTATGGTATTTCATGCATGATACCCTTCCCTCCTGCGTCTACGATCCCAGCATCATCCCAAAAAACGGGATTCCCTCCAAAAGTCGTCAAAACAGCCAAAAAGCTCTGACTATACCCAAACGAACATTTCATCCACCCACGTCTCATTGTCTTTCATGCACATCAGATTCAGGCGACCCCATCCGACTAGATATACGCCCACAGCTTTACGGCTACTTGTTTGATATAGGGGGAATCGAAAGTGTGCAGACCTTCTCCGCATACTGTGATAGTAAGTATCCACGATTCATCCTTCATCATGCAAACCAACTCTCCAATGTATGTACTGTTCTTTTTGAGGGCGGTACAGGCTGCGACACAGTACTGTCGAGTATTGACAGCGCTCGCTTTGGCGCGCACTCGGATGTGCTCGCCAGTTTCATTGATTACGACATGCTCTCGAATTTTGGTGTCCGGGTTCGAAATTTCCTCGAATTCTGAATCTTTTTCACAACTCGTTTGCATTATGTTTGCCAATTTCCCTTGAGTACCCTACAATACATACACATACACAGCACTTTCAAAACCTTTGATCCCAACCGTTTGACCACATATTTCACCGCTTATCATGTTCCTGCTGGACTGCTTTTTTTGGCTTGATTGAGACTTGACCAATGAGGATGAAGGTGAGGAATGGTGAAAGGGGATGGTGCTGTATGATGTGACTGTACATACACGGGGCCAGCCAAGTACAGAGTACACCCTGAGGGGAATTGGCAAACATAATGTGAACAAGTTGTGAACAAGATTCACGATTTGAGGAAATTTCGAACCCAGACACTGAAATTAAGCCCAATTGGGTTTCAAACGAGTTGATTCCTGTGGTGAGACTTGTGTTTGATTGCGTAGCCTGCGCAGCGCACTCCACAGGTCTAAAAACCCATAGCGGAGTGAGCGCAGCACAAACCACCGGGGCAGGGTTGACTCCGCTATATTGCGGAGCAAACCCCGGTACCCAGGTCCTGCATTTCAATCAGCTGTATTGATAGCGTGGGTACAGGGTTGGTTGAACTTAAGCCACTTGTTTCACCTTCCACTCAATCCATCATCCTCAATTCATACAATTCATTGCTCAAGATGTATGTGACTTGGATCTATCTTCTTCATGTGGACAACAGCACCTGGCCACCTCGAGGTCAGCCAACCTGTGGTTATTTCAGTACAAGTTTTGTAATCAACTTCTTCAGGTTAGTTGCCAATTCACGATTCTCACTTCAAAGCAATTGACCACATCACTAAGTCTAATCCCTTTGTATCTTAATCTCGAATACCATTACCATCACCATCACCAATATTTCCACCTCACAAAGCTCAACCAAGAGCTCTCTCCAAGTTCCAGGTAAGGACTCAGCTTCATCAACTAGAACTATGCAACCTGCCAGTCCTTCTTTTATCCAAGCTGGCTTCGTGGTCCCTCCAAAAGACTCCCGTACTGCCATTACTTTGACGTTGACCTCAGGTGATGAATCGACTGGTCCTCTTGGTCTTCAACAAGCATCACCTCAACCTCCTGCAAAAAAGATACCAAGTAAGGCTGTTAACCCAAAGGCTAGGCCCACTGCAACCGGCAAGGTATGTTTTTATCTTCATGATCAATCAAGAAGACACCTGACTAAGGCCTCCTTTTACCAAACCCAATCTTTGGCCAGTAAGCGTGCCAGGTCACCAACATCTTCAGGACAAGCAACGAATGTGTCACCCCAATCAGCCAACAGATCAAAAATGAACAAAAGATCAGAATTGAATGTAAGTCATTGCTGTTTTCTAATCTATGACAGAGACACTGGGTAATGCTAACAGTTATTCTTTATATAGCCCTATGAAGTCCCTGACAAAGTTGACCTATCTCAAGATTCTGAAGTCAAGTACGTTGGGACCAACATTCACTGTGCCCGTTGAAAGCGCCCTTGCCATTGAGGGCGCAACAGTGTGTAGCAAAACTCTGCTGTTTTTGTCCATGCCCAAAGAATCACAAAGTTCAGACGGGTGCTCGCATCCGCGCAGTACTAAGCCATCTTCAACTGATTTTTTAGCTGCGCATGTGCTCACGAGCCGCTCATCAGCTCAAACTCAAACTTATGAGCAAGTGCTCAACCTGTGCTCAAGCTGAAAATCTGACATGCAAGAACGGTCTCCATCTAACACATAAGTGAAGGAAGGTTGAGCTTGGTAAGCCCTTGTACATACATACCCGTGCCCCTTTGGAGCTGTGTTTCCATGATGGCGCAAAGACGCACTTGTGAGACCGCGACTGAGATCAGCGTACCAGTATCAAGTCACTGAATTTTTGTATTGTCTGGTTTATGTGTTCTCATCACTTTGTAAAAGTAAAATTCATATTGCAACTCTTTGACCCGATTTTAAATGTGTAAGATTTTGAAAACATACATTTTCAACATATCATTCTCCAGTTGAAAAACACAAGAATTGAAATTATAGCATGAATCAAAGAGGCAAAATGAATCATATGAATACAATCTATGGTAATTGTGGTGTAATTTTTGAGATACAGTCCTGAAGGATAGATGAGGAAATGATTGACATTAATGCACAAAATGATTAATAATGCAGAATTAATGCAGAATTAATCATTTTGTGAAATAAATGTAATCATTTTTCACCTCGGAAAAATACATTATATTTGCAGTGAGAAGAGCTCGGTCGGTGGGCAACAGCTTAGAAAGGAAGATTGGGCAGTAAAAGTTTGCCGGCAAACCTTTCTTTACCCAACTAACTACAATTTTTGGCTTTGGTTGCAGGCTTTTGTTGTGAGTCCAGACAACTGAAAGCCCATCTCACACCGTTGGTATCTTTTTGATACTTGCGAGATAAGGAGTCAATCAGATGCAAAAATTGGGAGTATTTGCTGCTCCTCCAGTGTAATCCAACTGCACCTATTTTGTTGGTTTCTTTGTCTTCTTCAGTCTTGGAGCAACACTCGGCGCTAGGTAGCAATGCTGTCGGAACCATATCTAGACATGTCTCTATGGTATCTTGACGGCACTCAAGAAGCTATAATTGGAAGATTGGAATAGTAAAAAGAAAAAGTGAATATGGCAACTTACCTTGGTTCGCCTTTTCCTCTGTTTCTCCTTACTGCAAATGTTTAGGCCCTTCTTCATCGCCTTGGTCTGTCCTCGCAGCCATCTTTCAAAAACTCCCAGAGCGAGAAGATTGCCATCATGCTTAGGATTGATGCTATAGTCAAGGAAAGCCCCCTCTCCTTTAGCTCTCTGGAAATGTTTCACAACAAAATATAGCACAGTTTGATTCCAGGGGGCATTTTCGGATAGTTTCCATGCAAAAGTCAAACGTGGAATACAAAAAATTTCCAGTTCATGCAGAAATTGATGTTTGTGAATACTCCAGCAATCCTTTTGTCAACATGAGATTCTAGAAGACGGTGACAACGAGGTAGCTGGCTGTGAGGGAAGTGAAAATATGGTCATGTATTCCATTATCTTGTCGTAAGTGAGCTGCGGCAGTTGTGCAATCTTGTCTGGAGTGGGTTTGGGGGGGTAAGGTGCCTCCAGTGTAGTACGACCAAGTAAATACTTCAAGAAGTCAGTTGATGCCTGATAGAAAGCTGTGTTCTGAGGGGGTAACCAATCAACTACGGCACAATTTTTAGCCTTAATCAAGCCCACTGGTCTGTCATCCTTCCAAAACATTGACCCAGTTGGAAGGTCATGGTCTGGGAATGAGAGAGAAATTAGGAAACTTCTGTTGACCAGCATCATCTATTGTCATCGTATGCTCACCGTCTATCGTCCTTATCGGGTTCCGATATTGGTGGAAATAGGTGTAGACAGGTGGAGAGGAAATGGATGTGAGTTGGCTGGAAGGAGTTGATTCAAAGCAGAACAAGTAGGGACATGAAATCAGAAAATATCCAATCCTTTATATCAAGATACCCTTTGATCATCTCAATGGGGTGTCTCAGATGTCTCTTAAGATTTCAATTGGGTGTCTTCAAGTTGACACTTTGAAATAATCTCAAACTTCGAGATAACCTCAAGGCAATCACTTAGATCAGAAGCTTCTGATCATAGAACAAACTATGTTAAATTGGTTCTTGCGTCTCTAAAGAGGCTCAACAATCATTTACGTATACTGCTTTGATCACCTATCATCTGTCTAAGGCAGAGAGATTTTAATCAACTTCCAGCCTTTTAAATCGCACACAATTTCTAAAACAAATAGTCATTGTTATGTCTTGGTCACAAAAGGGAGGTGCAAGTAGATACAATGGAAGCAAGAAGGAGATCAAAATAATTACAGTGACTAGCCAGACACCCATAATTGAATTATAGAGACAGGAAATGTAAGCAACACAACAAAACTTGGGTCATCAATATAAAATAAACAATTTAATGATCTCACGAAAATAACATTTGAGTTGTGTAATGAAGATAAAATGTTATTTGAAGCTACTTAAGAGTCACGGCTTTCCCAGTCTATAGCCCGACAAACCAATGTATCAATTCTGTAATCTGTATTTTAAAGTTTGAGGCCCAGATTCTGAGCCTTAGAGAGTGCAGCCCAGTAGTTCTGACATGTCAGAGATCGTGGAAATCCCTTAGGTGGATAAGAAGTCTCTTTCATGAGACCGGTCATCTCCCGATGGTTTCTGCGATCCAATACTTTGACTGCAGTGCCACAGTTACAGAATGTGGTTTGGGTGGTTTTGTATAAAGTATCAAGATGCCCTAGGAATGTGACAAATGTGGCTGATCTCCACGGTAGAAATAGTCGATAACGCTTGTCAGATTCATTTACTTCATCTTCAGAATGACATCTAACATCTGAAAGTATATTGTATAACCCTTTTTCTGTTGGAAAGAACTTTTTCAGTGCCTTCAAATGGAATTTGCAAACCTATAAAATGGGATTGTATGTCAATTCACTCATTCTATACATACATGCCTTGATGCTTCAAGACTCACTTGTTTTTGAGCCCTTTTTCTTGCTTCTTTTTCTTGATCCTTGTTTTTTGTGTGAGGTCTGTGCTCGGGAATCTCTGAATCCTGCTCAGAAACTGCTTTGTTTGTTTGAGAAACATATTTTTGTTTTTTGTTTTCAAACCACCTTTCCAGAAGAAGCCTGCAATCCTCAGTGGTAACTTCACGGGTATCAACCATATACTTATCTGCACCACCTCTGAAATAACACTTTTCCCACTCATGCAAGAAGAGCATAGCAACAGCATCATTCCAAGAAGAGTTCATCAAACTTGTCCAGTCAAAAGTACACCGCGAAAATCCGGCCAAGGCAAAGGCGCCTTCACATGTCTTGAGCTCATTAATCGAATACTTCAGGTTTGAATTTCTAGACGGTATCTGAGAGGCAAACACTATTGGCTCAAAGTGAGACATTGCTTCTTTGGCGGCATCTATCTCAACAGCACGGAGAAGGCTGGGCTTTGCTGTTGGGTGTAATTCTATGCATTGCAAAAGAGCCAACCCAACATGTTTCTCAATCTCCAAGCGCTTGTCCAGTTTGCGCTGCTCCCATTGCTGTGCCTCTGTCTCTGAAGGCAGATAGGAAAAATCGCTAAAAGAGCTTTTCGACATTTCTCCTCAGCCTTTACGTTGAATACCAAGAAGCAGTTTTACATAATCATGAATGGCTTAGAGACGGGTTTGTGTTGAGAAGGATTTGGTTGAGTATGTGCATACTTCTCCAAGCAAGATTGTTCATGTCTGTGACTCTTCTGCTTATTTGTTGGGATATTTGTTTGTTCTTGTATTTGCGTTGCTCTAAGATATCAAGTTTGCCGTCGGAATTTTTGGGTTGAGAATTTGAATCTTCTGAGCTTTCATATGATGCTGCTGCACTGGTGGAATGATTGGGAATGCTTGAAGGCCCAGCGATGGGCAGATTGGGAGGTATATCGGCTTGAGAGGCAAGTGATATATCAGGACAATTGACTTGAGATTTGATGGATTCCCGGACTTGCGGGGCTTTGCCTTTGTGTGCAGTGGATTGAATGGGAAGTCTTGACGGCCCAGCAACAGGAAAATGGAGGGGCAAGCTGCGCCATTCATCCGCCTTGAGCTTTCCAAAGCTTTTGTTGCCAAGCGATCTGATGGGACGGTTGATCCAAGTCGGTACATGTATTCGGGGAAGTAGGGTATTAATTTTTTTCAACATAGCTTGATCAAAGACGATCTCTTCCGGATCGCAAGGCTCGACCCATTGACCTTCCCAGCTGTGAAGTTCAAAATCGAGATCATTGGATGAGCTGGTTGTCCCAAACTCCATATTCTGAAATTGATCTTCTTGCTGGTTTCCTATTTCTTGAGGTTGAGGAATAAATAGTTCCTTTGCTGTTCTGGCCAAGTCACCCAATAGTTCCCGTACGTCCTGAACGTTCGATGCCGGTGGAAGAGAATCACAATCTTCTTGATCAGACATAGACCAGAAAACTCAACAGTGACGTTGCAATAGCCCCAATAAAAGGTTATGCATTGAATCCACTACTTGACAGTCAATCAGCTTCCAGTAACTAAGCTCATTGAGTACTGAGTAGCGAACACCAAATTTCTTGAAAATCGCTTCACGTTTCTTTGGATCATGGGCGTCACGACACGCAAATGCAAGTTTCTGGTGATGTGATGATGTTTGTCGGCGCCAGGTATTTGGGTCCAGGTTTTTGATTTCTTGTAGGGTAAGGAAACAAAAAGAACAAAAATTTGTCGCGTTGTGACTAGCGAATCCCAACGATCCACGCAATGCTGGAAGATCAGCGATCAAGACAAGCAGAGCCGCACGGATTCGGCGATCATTGGGGTGTGACGGGGTTTGATTCAAGAATATTCCCTCATACCAAAGGGATTGTAGCTGCGTGACAACTGGGGATAGTATATGATTAGATTGTTCAAGGGATGGCTCTTTGGGCCCCGGAGCAATACCAGCCAGAAACAGATTTTCTGGAAGATATCGCATACGAATCGGAAGAGTAAGGCAAACGAGTACAATGAAAGTGATTGACGCTTTGTGGCCAGAGGTTTTATTTCCGAATGGGTTGATACCATCGATAAACATGCCAAACGTGAGATTAACGCTATGCGCGGTGAATTGAGTCCCGTCGTCGTTGCGAAAGTTTTTCCATTCATACGACTGGTGGATGTCATTGAAATCAGCTTCTGAGTTGTATGGTTTGCGAGATTCGTCTAAAGATTCATCTAAAGCTTCTTCTATATTCTGCCGACTAATAAGGCGAGAGACCCAGGTGTGGAGGTTTTGAACACCATATTGGCGGACCGGTACGGGAGTATCTCGAAAATTCTTGAATAGCGGCGTCGAGCAAGTAACCTCTGTTTCGTCGGAACTACCTACTTCATCAGGTGGATCAGGCTGGAACAACCCGGGTACTTCATTCACTCGACGGGTACACGCTTTGGGAGTATGATCGATGTGGTACATCGCAAAACACATAGGACAAGTATTGAAAATGATAAGATCGGGATCGAGTTGAAAATTTGAAAAGATTGTACGGATATCGCGTGGCATCTCATCGAACACAAGTTGATCTAGAAATGTGAGCGGAGTTGTTTCTTCAGTTGAGCAACCAGTTCCGTATGTTTTGACAAGGGTCGTGAAGCCTTGAAGTACGCTTAAAAGCCAGTTGGCAGTGGATAAAGATATGTTTTCGAACACTACTAGAATCGCCGTAACAAAGAGAGGGAAGATCAAGACAGGATTCGCGGTTTCGAGGTGATTTTCCATATACGAACCTACAAAAACAGAAGTGGAGCAGTCTTAAGTTACTTGCCTTGAAACAATTGACAAAACACATAGAAACTACAAAAAAACTTACTTGTGTCATGAACGGGTATGTCTGGGTTCGATCGACCAGTCTCAGCTCCGTGGTTTCTTGAAGTGCTGGACAAAGCGTGATCTGATTGCATCGGCATTTGAATATCTGATTGGTCTGTTGAAGATTCCATCTGAGCAGAGATAGGCAAGCTAGAGCCTTGGGAGAGACGGTTTGAAGATTCATCGCCAAAAATTCCGGTGCTAGATAGACGTAGATTTTGAATAAGAGTATCGAGGGGTCCGGCAACACCTGCCACAGGATCTGGCTTGTTGATGGGCTCCTCGGGTAACTCATTTGTCAATGTGACACGGCGACGCTTGTCGTCAAGTTGATGGGCCCGGGCAAGATGTTGGAAGATCTTATTTCCAAGTTGATGCTGACCGTCAGCGTCAACATATTCAACTTCGCCGCATCTCCGACTGATACACTTGCAGTAGACCTTGCGATAACTTTTACCTGAAGGCATCTTCACGTTTGATGATCAATATAATTTAAAGATATTGGTGTGGTACTAGTCAGGATTCTTAGGAGTTGGGAAGGGTGGAGAATCAAATGTAGTCGGGATTGAGGGAGTAAGCGAGAGGGTCAGTTTGAGATTGGAAGGACGGGTGAGTTGCTTGGACCTAAATTTTGGGAATGATGACAAGAACAGGATATCATTAGCAAACGAGAAAGGGAAGGTGGACTATGATAGCAACAGGATAACAAAGAAGTGGTCAAAGATGGGACGTGGGGCTCATTATCATCAAGAAAGGGCTCGAACTATGTATTGCATTCCTAGTGTCTATAAGCTTAACAATCGATAGCGCCGCTATCATCACATTTGTTTCAACCCCCGGCGGTTCCAAACCCTCTACCACCCTGGATCTGTTGAGGTCCCAAACTTCCCATCTCTTGCTGCAACTGCCGAGCAACAATCATGATCAGAACAAAAGAAAAGTGCATTATGTAAGCACATGAACAAAGGTAGTTTGGATCCGAGGGAGATAGAGGGATACGTACTTGAATATCATGATTTTCGCACATAATAATGTACTCCGTGAATGATCACATCCGCCTCAACCGTCATTTTTAGGATAAACTTCTTGTAAATTTTTGTGCAGATGTCAAGGGTCAAGAATTTTACTGGGATGAAGATATCAGGTCAAAGGAATTGTAAAGCTGATCTGATGTCATCTCGATGCTTTCGGAGAAGTTCCTGGTGAGGCCAAACGCCGGGGTTGGTCATGAATCGGTGGTTGGTGGAGGAATCTCGAGTTAACTCGTCGCCAACTGACGGATGTTTTTCTAACAATACAGACGTTTGATAGGTTCGGATGAGCTCTCCCCGATCCATCAGAGAGGTAGTTCTCATTGTAGGGACATGTTTCTTGAGCTCCTTACAGAGTTCTTCTTTAGTTGTAGATGGTGCCTCAACGTCAAGCTTCACTGTATTTTGAACGTCGATTTCAATTTGGCTTGAGGTTTTCTTTTCCATGAAAGGCTGGATGATAGGGATAAGATGTTTATGATAATTGTCAAAGAGAATTTGTTTGTTGGCTGTCGATCGTCTGTACTGGGGTAAAATTCCAAATTGGATCATGAGGGAGCGCATTTCGTCACGTCTGGCGTCGCGGTATTCCAAATCCGGATCGAAGTGTTTAATTAGGTCCTTGTTGCTAGAAGCTGCTTGGAATTGAGTCCAGGCGGGGTGAGATTCTAACGTGAGATAATCGGACATGTTTTAGGTATTTTGGTATTGATTATTGAAGATTATCTGAATTATAGTTTGTATGTTCTCTTGAGTGGGGGATGACAAGGATAGATCGGGTGAACAAGAGCTTCAATCGTCGTAAGAAAGAAGCCTCTCTTTATATCATCATGATGGGAAAATGCTGAGGCGAGCACTGATTACAATGAGAGCAAGATAGCTCAAAAGTCGAAGATTTTCAAATGAGTCACATTTCACAATGGAAGCTCAGCTGTGAGCATCCATTGCATGATCCTTTTAAATAAGACAAACAAGAAAATGTCAAGCGACATAACAAAAGAATATCATCATGAGGCTGGTTTCCGCTGAACACCCTCATCACATTCAATGAATCACACAAGTGGATAGCCTCAAGGCTGTTTTTGCCTTGTTACTCAAGCAATTGAAAGGAAGAAGAACTACAAGATACGCATTCACACAACTATAGCAGATAGAGAGGTAAGATTCGAGACTTGGATATCAAGCGCGTGTAGATTCATGGTCGGCGGATCTGGGTTGTACGTCATGTCAAAGTAATTCAACAGAACGGGGTTAGTTAGCTTAAATTTGGGATTAGGGTCAGATAGGCTTGAAAATATGTGGCCGGGAGACTCACGTCTTATTGATTCAAGTCAACTCAGGTATCTTGAGGAGTGTTCGAATGACTGTCTTGATCAGAGTCTTGCTTTTCAGAAGTGCTCGGATAATTGCTTGGTTGACTTTTGACAAACAGGTTCCTACAGAATGATGCTCAGAATACGCATTTGTATGATGACTTATTTCATAGGGCTTACCGATAATGGTTTTTCAAAGCTGTAATCAATCCGACATTTTGTGCACCTTGATTAAATGCGATCTGATGAGATCTCAAAGTAGTGATGGCAATCTTGAGGCGATCATGCAAATTTTTTTCCTCCTCAGATTGGAGACCAGGCTGATGTAGCTTGAGGTGGATGCTTTCAATGTTTGTATGAAATTCGGTGAGATCGCTGTGACAGTCTTGAAGGTCTTCGCTGGCTTCATCTAGAGCACAGCCAATTGAATTGAGCTCATGTACATTTAAAGTCTTATAAGTTTTGCAGAAAGTTTCGAGACCTCCGACCGCACGACGGTACTTGCCGTTCTTGAGGTAAGGGAGACAATGATTATTGAACAAGCTCGTCCTTTTGAGTTCGAGATCAGCTGCCAAGTTCACGTTTCTGTCAGGTTCTTGATCGACGAAGGCTATGCTGTGGAGTGGGGCTTCGATATACTTGGTGTTGTTTTGAGAAGGAATGGCTACATTTCTCAGGCGCGGAGCTACCATTTCGACGAAGATCAGACGGAGAAGCTCGTGATCTTTTTGAGAATTTTTAGTAAATTTGTAATGGGGGTAGAATGCGAGGATCACCTCTAAGAGTTTGGTAGGTGTGGCGTTGCTTAAGAAGGTTTCAGGATCAATCCTGGGAGTATCTCCATCAATAACACTTTCAAGGATATATTTGGGTAAGAAGATACTTGTGTGGACGTAAGACATGATGAATATGGCGAGTGGTTTGGGGTAAGAAGGAAATCACAGCCAATTGCCTGTCGTTATATGACCACCTGAAGGGTATTCTGGATGCCGATGTTTGTTCAATCTTTAGACATTGACTGATTAGTTGCGCGGGTCAACAAATCCCCACCTCCGATTGGAGATTTCTATTCTTATGATTCACATTAAGAGAAGTCGACCCACATACACACCCATGTATAGAGCCATGACTAACACCACACAAGAAATCCACCTAAGATTTACGCTGACAAAATCACATAGATCTCTGATGATTTAAGATATATGGAAATTACAAAGTTTCACAAACAAGCAAAGTACTTGAATCAAACTTGAGCTGTGAGCAGGTCTGTGATACTTTCAGACAAGACAAACAACAACACGGCAAGAGAGTGAACAAAAGAATATCTCATTACATTCAATCACAAAACAGAGAAAATCCAGCAAAATTGATCAAGACTTGGATATGAACTTAAGTGTGTGTGATATTTGATGGCGGATATATGGTGGTAACGATGTCAAAGGGATTCAAAAAAAGGTGTCAGTTTAATTCGAGACTGTGATCAGATAGGCCTGATATGTAGTCAGGAGACTCACATCTTGTTGATTTGGGTCAAATCATGTCTTCATGGACAAACGGGTTTTTCTCTTGCGTTCCGGATGGGCCTGGAGCATCGCCTTTGTTATGTTTGTCATGCAATTTCCTAATTTTGATATCATAAGATGATGGTCAGAATAACGAGCCATATGACAAGTTTTACAACACAACTCACTTGTGATAATCGGCCAACGCTGTGATGAACCCGACATTTTGTACACTATTATTGAATATGATCTGACAAGCTCTTAAGGTAGTGATAGCGTTTTTGAGGCGATCATGAAGAGCTTTGTTTTCAATTTTGCAAAGGTTGGGCTGACGTAATTTGAAGTAGATGGTCTCGATCTTGCGATGACATCTTTTGAGTTCAATGCTACAATCTTCGTGGTCTTCTTCGTCTTCAGTTTGCGCACTGTAGACCATTTCAAGCTCGTCTTCATTCAAGAACGTATAGGTTTGGCAAAACGTCTCCAGTTTTTCGGCGGCAACACGGCACTTCGCGTTGGTGAGGTGAGGGAGAACATAATCACTGAAAGTTGTGATTCTCTTGATGTCAACGTCAGATAGGGAGTTCAAGTGTACTGGAGGGTGTGTTGGTGGGCCGAAGATTACGTGTTGGAATGGCGCTTTGATATACTTTGTCTCGTGTTGCAAAGGAATAACTACGTTTCTTAGCCGCGGGGATACCATTTCGACAAATAACATACGGAGAAGCTCGTGATCATCTTGTGCATCTTTAGTAAACTTGAAATGGGGATAGAATGCTTTGATGATCTCTAAAAGTTTTACAGGCGTGGCTTTGCTTAAGAAAGTTTCAGGATTAATCCTGGGAGTATCTCCATCAATAACGCTTTCAAGGATGTATTCGGGTAAGAAGATACTTGTATGTAAGATAGACATGATGAGATGAGTATATGGAGGAGATGGTAGAAAGAAGGAAAACACAGCCGATCGCTTGTCTTATATGCCCATCTGAAGCTCATTCGACTAATGCATACCTCTGTTTCTTCAATCTTTAGACTTCAATTGTCCCTTTAAGCATGGGTCGACAATTCCCCGCCTCCGATTGGAGATATACTTACATTCATTTGGGTTTCCATTGAATAGCACACGACCCACATATCCATGGAAGGAGCCATGATAGTTATCACAGAACAAACAAACATACGCTGAAGAATCTCATAGATGACTACACATGAAGAACAAGTTGGAATGTGATGAAGATAGAGATCACTTGCCGTACCCACTCGTACTAAGAAGACAATAAGCACTCATTACATAACACATTCACAAACCCACACATTAGAGAACCAGATCTTTAACAGATTTGAGTCATTTCCGAGGGTTTTCTCATCGATTCTAATGTGATCTAAGGTGTACGCAATAACAGTGAACTACAGAAGAAAATATTAGTTTTCTCCGCTCTAACAGTTGAGAATATATGGAACAAAGAAACTCACCTTTAAAGCGTCGAGAAGAGAATCATTGTTAATTTGAAAGATCAACGGCGCAGTACGTCAATTTGTTATCATGAAAGTTGAATGACAGGGCATGGCGAAGGTAGGGTAAGACCATCAGATTGAAGACTGGCATCATGCTTTTACCAGTTCTGTTGAGTTCCCAATACTCGCTGAGGTGAGGGTGAAAGATGTGAAGGATCTGATGGATTTGCTGATTGGTAGGTTCAGCGAGGACGCTGACTGGGCCTAAATATACTAGAAGGCTATGCAGGCTGACTGGAAGTGTGACAGCCTTAATTGGACCCTTTTCTGGTCGGCTGAGAGGAAGAACTTCGACGGTGAGAAAACGGATATAGCCACTATCCTTGTTATGATCCACAAAGCGGTGAAAAAATGGGAGGACAATGATATCGAAGATGCTCCTGATAGTTTCTTGATTGACAAATCGAGGAATTTGCAGTTGTGGAAAGAACACGTCTATCATCGTAAAAATTTCTTTGACAGTGGCATCGAATATCATATTGGGATCATCGTAAATGGCAATGTATTTTTTGACATTTTGAGGGAGCACTAAAGATCGAGTAGGATAAGGTTTCTCGTGCTCGGTATGCGCGACTATTGAGATATAAGAGAAGACGCAAGTGTCCTTATCAAAAGATTTTTGACGACGTAGGAATGGAAGGACCATAATTTGGAAGAGTTGTATCACAACTTCCTTCCCTAAGTTCAGCGGTAGAGCAAGCTTGGGATGAAAAACTTCAATTATTTGATGATATTCTCTAGTAGTTGCGTCTAAAATAGGATCCGCGACATGATACGAAAGGAATCTATGGAGCCGTTTTGGCAGGACAACTGATTTGACGGGGTATACGTAGAGTGAAGTATGATCGGCCATGATGAACAATCTCAGGTTGATGTTCCCAAAAGCTGGACGTTCATTTGACTTATATATCCTCTACATATTATCATCGGATGGTGATAGATTCGGCTTGATGTGGGTGGTCACGATCCGAAGATCTGCAGTGGCATACCTCAAGATTTGCACCAGAAGGATTCAATATCGCTCGAGACCAAAGCCTTTGGCACCACGTAAGATGAATACGAGAATCAACAATCTGGAACATATTAAGCATGACTTGCAATATCTAATTTCACATTAGATACATTTAGATACATCGGGAGAGAAATTTTTTGAAGATATGACAATATAGAGATGTTTTGGTGTAGAGACTTTTACTTTATCTTATCTACGTCTATATACATAAAAGAGAATGCTTGACAAAGATGATCAACGAGTGTTCAGACTTTCAGGAATTTGTCAGCTTGCCTTTCAAGATCATCGAGTATTGGGGTGTCCTCAACCTGCAATTCTTCATATTCATCGGGATGATTATTTCAAAGGTCTTCCAGCCATTCGGGGTCATAGCAGTCAATCGGTAGACCAGGAGGAGCCCTTGACCCACTGATGAGATTGTCTGTTGTATTTCGAATTTGGTTTTGAGGCTTGGCTCCCGGGGTGTTTTTGGGACTATCCTTCCTTTTCTTGTCATCGTGAGCTTCTAATCGGAGAAACAGTGCCTCCAAACAAGCATTACGCCATCAAAACTTCTTGACCTTGTACAGTTTTTTTGCTGAGTCATCGAGTTCTGTTTCAACGTCTGTTTCATCTTCACTACAGCACGTATCAATGACTTCACATAACGGTGCAAGCTTGCTTCTGACGGCAATGTCGTTTCGACGGAATTTCAGCTATAGAACAGGATCAGTAATAGAGTCAGTTACAAATGCAAATGTGAGATCTCTGCCTTCAAGAAGCACTCACTGATCTCACTCTTGAGGCTCAAACACCCTGCTTCTTATGAGCTCGAATCTTGGCCTGTGACCATTCATTTGTCTGTCGGAACCTGAGAAAATAATAGTCGATCAATATCTTTGACAAGATCCCAGCAAGCACATCTATGAGTAGAATACTCACGTGCGTTTAAGGGATGATCTTGCGTGCTCTTTCAGCGCTTTGAAGACGATGTCAAACTTTGAATCTTCAGCGCTTATATCATTGTACTCCCCAGCCTTCACGAGGTGAATGAAAGTCGAGGTAGCGCGGTTCCATAGAAAGGTGTTGGTTGGAGAAGATGGACTTTCCTCCCAGATTGGATGAAATGATGAAACTCCGACACAATTCATCATTGTCCACATGATCAGCAGTATCTGCGGATTTGAGTGTTCTCCGCCCGGCCCTCCTTTGAACGGAAAACGCGGATCATTCGCCGAGCTGTTGAGACCATTTGCGACTTCACGATTGAGGCGACACGGTAAAAGCATGCTTTTTCGAGGAGTATGAATCTTCCATGACGACCGCTGAGCAGGAGTGGCGCTTGGAGGAACGGCGTCATCCTCTTTCAATCCCATCATTGTTCTTATGTGGCTCCGAATACGAGCCTGTTGGATCAGAAAATTATACATGTTAGAAGAGCCCGAGTTCGTATTCCAAATAACATAACCACTTACTCGGAAAGTACTTCCACGAGGCTTGTTATTGTTGACCTTGGTTCTTGGTTTTGTACTTGAAGATGAGTTGGATACCAAATGCATGACGAGTTTGGTGAGATCGCGAACTGTCTGGCGCAGATCTTGATTGTCGGTATCGTTACGATTTCTGTCTCTTGAGCCGGAATGTGCTCCTGGTCCAGAACTAGTATCATTAGCATTGTCACATGCTTCCAACAACCTCGAAATGGCCGCTCTTGCACCACCATCGTCATCATCAGTCTCTTCTTTCAAACCGGAGGCTCCCGAAACACTCATTGAGTCGTCCTGATCTGCACTGTCGATGTCCATGCCAGCAAGTTCCGCGCCTTCATCTTCATCCAATCCCTCGAGTTCCATACTTGAGCTACCCGGACTATTTCCATCTTTGCTGGCCTCTGGAACCCAATCATCTGAGCTTGGGGATCGTCGGCGCTGTTTACCTTTGGCGACTTCCGACAGCACAGTTGGACGAGGACGGGGGAGAGCGGTGCCTCTGCCGCGGCTTGGAAGTGGCATAGCCTGATCTTCAATGCCTACAAAAAGAAACTTAGTATCACACAAAAATACGTAGCGCGCGGAATAGAGTGATGACTTACCTTCATCAATCAAGCAGCGCTCATCTCTCTCTTCCCGACTACCTTGATTATGATGAGTGTGTCCTTTCACAACCTGCACGTCTGGTGTCGTGAATATCTCAGCATCAATCTTGATATCGGACTCGTGATCTGGTCAAAAATCAAATCCTTAGCTTCAAGAGATTTGTCTGGTCACATTATTTAACACAGGAAGTAACTTACCTTCTGTTAAAGTATCCAGAGGGCTGAGATTTCGGTTAGTTGAACATCGCCGGGATGTAGAACTAACGGGGATACAATTATCATTTGATCTGGAAGTTGAACCACCTGGATACCGCTCCTTGTCAGATTTCAAAGATCCGGCCGTGGTATTAGAGTTATCAGCCGCTGCTGCCCACAAAAGCACGAGGTCAGTATCAAACTTTCTGGGTCAAACCACTGGAATATGAAGAACTTACCTCTGTTTGATGGTTCTAGAGTGCTGTGATTGCTGGAAGTCAAACATCGCCGGGATCTAGACCTGGTCACAGGATTCTCTTTTGATGGGCCAGTATCTGCGTTTTGATTCTTGTCAGATCTTGAAGATTGCACCACGGGATCAGAGTCATCAGCAGTTGCTGACCAAAATTAAAAGAACCAGATTAGTATCATGATCATAAGGTCACGCCAGTGTAGACATATGTATCTAGCTACTCACCAGTCAATTCCGAGTCGTAGAGAAGAAACAATTGGAGCAATTCATCCTTGCGCATTTCTCCAGATCCCGGTATACCAAGAGGTTTTGCTATTTGTCGTAATTTCGGAAGACTCATTCCTGAATACTTGTCCAAAGTAGGGTTTTGAGTTATTTCTTGATGTCGCTGTTTGATGGTGGTGGGTCGAGCTTTTGACGGGCCAGATTTTGCCTTTACAGTGGGACGTCCTGGTAAGAGAAGTGAAAAGTAAGAATTAATTGAAAAATGCTGAAGAGTATATGTTGACTTTCGATAACATACCTGCGTCACTGTCTTCTGTGTGGCATTCGCTATAGTCTTCATCGGCTCTCTTTTGTTTTTGAGATCTTGTTGAGGGTCAAGGAGGCATTGGTGAGCTGGGGAGTGGGTTATGGGACTTCAAGATCTATAGATTTGACAGGATATTGTATTGCTTGAAAGCACGATTGTGATCTTTAGAAAGAGTAAGTATTAGAAGAAAAAGTGGACTGCGGATTCAATCATATAAGTTAAATGCAAACCGCGTTCGCTGGCAAAACTCACTAAAACTCCCAATCAGTACTTACAATTTTGCCGGTTTACACACATTAACCATTTAATCTCATCCTTACGCGTTTCACCCTAATTCAACGTACCCTTCACTTTATATTTTGAATTCAATTTACATTTCAATTCACAATTTCATCAATTCTCCAACATCCGAACCTCGATCCTACAAACCTTCCACTCGCCGACCCTTCAACTTACCCCATTTCTATTGACTTCTCATCATTTCAGAACACTCGAATTATGTAACGACAGAATCCCATTCCATTCAATATAATTTACACGCACCAGCAAATGAGTCCTCAACTCACGAAATTATCCGCCATCGTTCACTTCAATCTCGACAACATGTGACCTCATCTGACACGCAGTTCCCCACTCGGTCTCCTGGCAACACATACAATTAGGTATACTATCCGTAATCAGCAGGGTTTATAATGTGTCCCTCTGAACCACCATTCTATAAATTCTAAAATAACTCTTTCTACGACCTTATCACCTCCCGTTGGAATTATTTTGCCACGTTCCATGCATTCGTGTGACCCAGGTTTTGCTTGCACATCCTAGCTCGGACATTCCATGAGTCCAATCATACTCTCCGTCACTAATCTTTTGTTTTTCCTAATTAACCTTCCATCACTCCGCATGAACGCTTGATCAACTCACCTTTTCACCTGACCACTTGATTGCTGTGAATACTGGTCCTAACAAACCGAGGTCTGCTCCGCTTCAACCCGCGGTAGTCTTGATATTTTCCTCTGCACCCCCGTAATCCTCTTCACGTGCCAACAATAGTTCCAACTCATGTGCCCTGGATATGCTGCGATTACTGCAATCCCCCTGTTTTCAAACCCACTGCACCAATGTGTGATTCTCTCTTTATCCCAAATACCCCCCCATTGTATTTATCCCGACTGTCGAATGAGCGACATTGTACATCCTTGAATACTCCCGGCTTAACTTTCAATTGCATCGAATCGACTCATCTACCTCGTTTGATTGTCGCATGTCGGTCTCTGAATCAGCGCTTAAATTTGCGACATCGACACCGGCCACATTCAGTCACAACCAATGACTCACAATCTCACTTCAATCTGCTCTCACCCCGACTCACTAAAGATATAAAGCATCATACAATCGCAGTCTACTCCCACCCTTCATCACAAGATAATTCGTGGTCGTTGAACTTGTCAGTTAGCACTTTCCTATCGTTTATTAATTCCCACTAAATCCACCTGTGATGCATGTTTTTAATTATTTATTCAAAATCTAGAGGCCTACCTACATAGATCCTTTCCGTGCTCACAATCGATCTTCTTTTTCTTGTTCAACAATCATACACATTTAGGCACCACCAGTTTTTCTATCACAATGTCCGAGCCCTGCACTGGCCACGGTATTTATCTTTCTGGAATCTTCGAAATCGGAGAAAAGGTGAATCTTTGCTATGTCTCATTCAGCAATGAAGTCGGTTTCTGACCCTTTTATCACTGCCTCTCTTTGTCAGCTTACTCAAGAGCAACTTTTAAAGGTCGAATTTAGATCCTACGCTCTTGCCATCCACTGCATCGGCGCTAACCGTATCCAGGATCTAGCGTACGACATCCGTGGTACCGGTTTTAGTAGCCCGGCCTTCAAGCTTGAACCCGGTACCATCTGTCTCCTGCGCGGTGCTGTCTTTCCCACCAACACCAAGGACACGCACAACAATGAGTTCTTTTATGAAGGCTCTGATCGTTTCGTCATTGGTACTGCCGACACCTTCTCCGCAAATTTAGACAATACAATTGGTATTACTGGTATTGGAAGAGTTCTCTCATTCTTGTTCAAGGTTGAAGAATCGATGCAATACCTGAAGACAAAGGCCAATGACTCCAATAAGGTCACCATGCATGTCATTGTTCAACACTGTGATTTTCACCCTCAAGTGAGCTGTTCCGTTTTATGCTGTTTAGCATTTGTCTCATTACTACTGATACCTGACACCATTCATCCCTTTTATCATCCATTGTTGTCCCGGCAGACCAAGTTGCCCAGATCAATGACCGTCGAGTATCGAATTCCCCCGTTCAAGCACCTTGCAGGTTCACCTCAAATCGTCAAGGAAGGACGAGAATGCCAGTTTCACGGTTACATCAAGGACTTCAACGAAGATACCCATCGCTACATCGTGATCGTAAGTATTGTATGCTTTTGTCCAATATCTTCCATGGCTGACCACCTGCCCTTCCAGGTGAACAAGGTTTCTCCAACTTCTGGCCATCAGGAATTGACTCCCAATGTTCGATCTGCTCAATCCAACAAGCAATCCAATTCCGCTGGACGCATGAAGTCAAAGTACGCATTTCTCCTGTTGCGTCAAATTGATCGATTGTTGACCAACTTTATCTAGGTTTGCTTCGCGTGCCCCAAGCACACCGTTCAAGACTCCTCTCACCGCGTCTGATTCAAGCCCTGACATTCCTTTTGGTCCCGGGAATGTTACGCCTTCATCCATAGCATCAACGTCTGGAACGTTGGCGAGTAGTATGATTCCGGACCCACCAACTTCTCAGCCTGCTAAGAAAAGAGCTCGCGCTCCCCCCAAGAGAAAGGCCACTAAAGACGTCGTCATTCCGAACTCTGATGAGATTTAATGGCCTGATAGGTTCTGGGCAAGCCTCAAGTAATTTGCTAATTTCAACAAGCTGTCCTCTTTGCCCTGATTTTCTTGATGCCACTTTGTGATCCTCCATGTTTTTGGCTCTTTGAATTATAGCCCCCATTGTGACCTGCATGTCTGCGTTTCAAATGTCCCTGAATGACATCGTAAACTGATCTATCTCAAGTGACTTCAACATGGATTTTTCTTTCTTCATCTTCACACTTATTTTTTTGTACCCGGCCTCAGCTCAAATTATACATTGATTTGTTTGAATGGCTCCAATATAGATTCCCCATCTTCTCATCTTCATCTTATGTCTCTGTGCTCCGCCTCAGCTCACATCAACACCAATCCGTTTTGATGACTTTGAGTTTGTTGAGTTAATTAAATTTCCATTTGGCAACCTCCCAAGTGTACAATGTTCATTGAGCTCATTCACCAAACACTTAAAATTACAAGTCAAGCCGTGGTAACCACTACTCCAACGCCAGGGGTGTCCAATACGTTTATTCAAGATTGTCTTCGCTTCCCAATTTTTTCATACTCACAGCCTAATAAGAATCCCATTTACCCGATTGGTTGCTGACATTGTCCCATCTCACTTCTTTATCTATTATCCATTATATACACATTAAGCACCATATATGCAGTGCACAAGATCTACATCACGTGAAGAAACAACATCTCCATTCTAAGAGTCAGACAAGCACACAAAGCTTCCGTACCGCCTCCAGTCTTAACTCTTGGCTCATCTTCTGCTTGATTGTACATATCAAGGCCACAACGTCCCATTACAGAAACTCTACGTAAGGAAAGGCACTTCATCGTTTATTAATAGTGAGTTTTTAATTTCCTCTAATCATATAAACGTAGACTAGATCGTGCCGTGGTTGTAATCATTGCACAAGGAGACAAAATCACAAGACCCAATGGGTACACTATATCACAATCTTGATGCTGGATTCACTCTCTGGAACAAAAACACGGTAGTATCCCAACTGGAATAATTGTGTACAAAGCGCTTAGTCTCAGAAGAAACAAAACTGTAACAGTGGTATCTCTGACGCTGTACATAATCAAATGTTAGTGTATATGGAAGCGTGGCCACAGAGTGTTGAGAGGTGAACGAACCTTCTAATACCTATCAATGTTCCGAAAGTATCACCTCCGGAGATTCATGATACGGTATCATGATGGTGAAATCATATTTAAGGCCACGATCTAAGTACTCGATGGTTCCCATTTGAAAGGCCGGCCGAGGTTTTCCATTTGATTCTATTTAATACATATGCTGATTTCAGCCCAATTCTAGATTCGACTTATGAAGCACTGACCTTCCACAAATTCAACAACCAGTTTTGCCATATCTTTTGGCTTAACGCTGTGTTCAGAGAGATACAACGTAGTCCAGATTACAACCCCATGGCCTTTCACAAAATAACTATTCATCGTGTGTTTCATGCTCCTCACGCACTTGAATTTGGCAGTGTACAGCGATACACTAAGGATACAATTGATATATGTCTATAATATAGGATCACAGAAAACAATTGGAACGTGGTAAAGTGTGGTGTGTCTTGATATTGTTTTATTTATCTTCGCTCAATGATTTTATTCCATCACAATGACAAAGACCTTCCCTTTTGAATGAAAGATACCTTGGAATGACTTCGGCTACCAAACTACGGACATCGCACCCTGACGAGAATGAATTACAACTCGGAGGATGCGACTGCCGAACATTCGCGCTGACGGTCGGAATATCAATGTTCACCAATGCGACTAATGATATCACTTGATAAATCATCACGCGTGAAACTGTGTTCAGATACTCACATATTGCCTTGATACTCCCATTGCATGACCATCGAACAATTTCTCATCCATGGGTAATGGCGTGATATCGCGATAGGACATGAAATGCAAGTAATTTCAGGATTGGTTGATGATTAATTGCACCAAAGTATCCGCTATTTACGACTTGGAAATTTGAATATGCGTGCCAGACACTACCTTCGCAACAAATCCGAACTTTCAATATATACCCTACAAACAAATCGAAGACCTATTCGATCTCTTATAACGATATAACGATCAGATTTGGACCACAAGCCTTCAAGATCATATTCAACCAAATTAATCAAGGACATCATGGACATCGTCCGAATCATGCTGTGCTATAAACCACCGCCTGGGACAATCATCACGGCAAAATAGGCGAGTGTTACATCCATTCATGCACTACCTCGCAAAGTGACGGGGGATTACAAAGCAAAATTCATTTCTTCAGTACTAACTATCCTTATTGTAGCCGACTAAGTACCCTTCAACACAATGTCATGTCGTAACACAACACAAGAGCTTAATCGCCTTAATCCACTTCCTCTCCTATGGTATCAAACTGGTTTATGAATCACAAGCTCTGGAACTTCCAGGAACCGACTGCCGCTAGATGATACCGCATGTATTGCACCCAAGCGAGAATGTTCATTTCACGAAGTCAATCTTTCTCCGTTGATCTGAACCAACAATGTAGTCATAGGATTTGTTATTCAACTCATCTGCCCACTTTGTTACACGGTCTTTCTTCAGATATAGAATAATTACTGTCAACTTCGATTTTTTTTGAAGATACCTGCATAATTATATTGAGTTTTACTATCACTTGGTGAAAAGGCCAGTAATTAGTTTCAAACAAATATTTTACATCGTCTATATACCTTGAAATCAACTTAGAGTCAAGTAAGTCCTAAAAAACTTTCTCCTACCGTCTTTGATCACATGTTGATCTGTGAATTTTGGTTCTGAAAAACCAGGAAATCGAAATGCCCCCGAGACGGAGTGCCCGAGGTCCAGCTATACGCATTGAGAAACTTGGTTCCGAAGCCAATCTTCTGCAACGCTTTCGCCTCGAAATGCCATTCTCTCTTGGACTCCAGGATGATCCATGCCAGGGTTGTGGAGCATTCAGGTGGAGATTAGAGCGAAGACAAAAAGATGCACGTAATTTACGTGCAACATTCAATAATTGTTGTCGGCATGGCGACGTCGATTTGCCCATGCGATATTTCCCTCAATTAGTTGATGAACCAGTTCCTCAATTTTTACGAGCGTTACTTACGGGCAAAGATCCACGTCAGCTGTTTTTGTTCTAAATGCTGGTAATAAAGCACTGAACCTTGGTTGTCTTTTCAGGATCAACGAAATTCCGTGAAAAGATTCAAAAGTACAATAATGCTCTATCTTTTACTTCCCTTGGTGTAACCCTCGATACCACCGTCTTGAACGACACTGGTCACTACGTATTCTGGGTTACAGGACAAATCTCACATAATATAACGGCTCTGATGACCCCCGCAGGGGCCGAACCTGGGTTTGCCCAAATCTTCACGTACGGTGGAGGAGGTGAAGCTGAAGCACATCTCAGAGTTTGAAGGTCTGGCCATAGGCTTGATCCGGATATAATTCTTGAGTTCCAACAATTCATGTATGAACATAACCCGTATGCAAAAGTCTTCAAATCCGCGAGTGATATCTGTACGGAAGAAAATGTCCGAACTTTAAGAATCAAGACCGTACTAGCTCCCGGATCTGATCATCGATGTTACAACCTGCCTACGGCGAACGAAGTTGCTGCGATCATCGATGGCGACGGGCGGGTAGGGGGTCGTCAACGCGACATTGTTCTGGTCCAACAATCGGGTGACCGACAAAGCATCTCCGAACTGCATACCGGGTACTTTGCGCTGCGTTATCCTTTGTTATTTCTTTATGGATCACAAATGTGGTCTAACTCTTTTCGAAACCCAACTCCCACCAGTACGTTTGTTTCAATATCTAATTGAAAATTGGCAACTGACATGTGATGCTTCATAGATCCAGAAGGCGATTTATCAAATCTGGACTGGTTCGCGTATTTGCTATTCCAACGGCCAGAGTGGTCTGTAATCTTAGCTTCCGGAAGATTATTCCAAGAATTCACAGTCGATATGTACGTATGCGTGGAGCATTCACAACTACAATACCTCAGGTTTCACCAAAAAGAAATCCGAGCTGAGATGTACCATGGAGCAATTGAAGCTTTGGGTAATGAAGTAGAGGACGAGATTGTTGGACGTAGAATTGTATTGCCTTCAAGTTTTCGAGGCGGTCCGCGACATTTACAACAATTATATCAGGATTCTATGGCTATGGTTGCTGAATATGGAAATCCAAGCTTATTCATAACCATGACAGCTAATCCACAATTGTCTGAAATTACCGATCAGCTTGAAGAATACGAAACAGCTGATGATCGACCCGATTTAGTTGCTTGTGTCTTTTACATAAAGCTCCACGAAATGCTCGATGATCTTACACGACGGAACCGATTAGGAGTCTGCGCGGCTTACGTTTATACCATCGAATTCCAAAAAAGAGGATTGCCACATTGCCATCTTATCCTTTTCCTAGAACAAAAGTCTCAACCAGTTACTGCTTCCGATATCGATTGTTTAATTTCTTGTCAAATACCAGATCCTGAAAAAGAATCAACACTTTTCCAATTGGTAACTCAGCACATGTTACACGGACCTTGCCGAAAACACAAGTGCTGGGACAAAGAGAGGGAGATTTGCACTCGTGGATATCCTCGACCATTTTGCGATGAGACATCAATGCCGGACGATTCATATCCTACTTACAAAAGACCTGATAATGGCCGTTACTGTGTTTACAAGAATGCTAGGTACGAGAATGGTAGCGTGGTACCATATAATCGTTTCTTGCTTTTGAAATTCCGCTGCCACATTAATGTTGAGGTGGCCGCTAGCATCAGAGCTATTAAATATCTCTTCAAATATATCTTGAAAGGCAAATCGGGACGAAATCCTTGCATTTGTGAACGCAAGGTTTCTCAGTGCCCCGGAAGGTGAGACCTTTCTACTATCCTCTCATGAACATGAACTGACACCTTTTCATAGCGGTGTGGCGTCTTCTTAGGTATCCAATTGCCGGTCGATGGCCTCCTGTACAATGGCTCGCCTTACACCTAGAAGGAGATCAAATCATATATTTTTACGATGAAGCAGGCTTACGAAGGCAATTAGACACTGGACGAGCAGAGAGGACAAGCCTCACCGAGTTCTTTCGACTTTGCCAAGAAAATGCTCCTTTGCGTGGATGTGATCGAACAATTAGAAGTTTAAAGTATCAAGACGTTCTGAAATACTTTGCATGGAATCAAAAAACTAAACAATTAACAACACGAGCTAATGCGACTTTTGCTATAGGAAGGGTCTACTTTGCGAATCTTAAACGAGGCGATGCTTATTACTTAAGAATGCTTCTCTCTCACGTTCCTGGTCCAACTTCGTTTCAAGCGCTGAGAACGGTTGATGGGATAGTGTGTAGTACCTTTCGAGAAGCTGCAGACAAGCATGGATTATTACTCAGTGATCGCCACTATCACGAAAGCCTCACTGAAGCTGCGGCTTGGAAACTGGAATCAGCTCCGACATATGCTAGCATTAATACTTTGCCCACAGCTCACCAGCCGACCCGCCTCTCCTGTGGTCAGAACATGTAACCGATCTTTCTGACAATTGTGAGTATCAAAATCAAACAACTCAACCCTCACATTATTCCGTCGCGCGAGCAAATTGAGAACTATGGACTTTTACTTACTTTGAAAAATGTATAATCTCAATGGAGTCAACCCTTGAATTGGTTGGCTTAGCGCCAGTGAACCAAAGACTAATTTTCGAGTTAGGTCTTGCCGATGCAGAACGAACAGATCGTCAAACAGTAACACCTGATGAAAGCGCTCGCAAGCACGGGGCAATGATTCAATTACTTACGACGGAGCAAAAAGCAGTCATCAGTCCAATTCTAGAGGCATTGAATAATCAGATCCCATACTTAGCGTTTCTTGATGGTCCTGGTGGCACAGGGAAAACTTTCGTTTTGAACTGCGTCCTTCACTACTGTAATGCCAACCATGTCCCTTTCCAATCGGTATCAGCAGCAGGAATCTCCTCACTTCTGCTGTTAAGAGGTAGGACAGCGCACAGTGCTTTTAAGATACCGATTCCGGTCAATGAGGAGTCAGTATGTGCGGTGTCATCAAGAGACAAAGCCGGTTGTAACATGAAGGACATGTGGTTTATCGTCTGGGACAAAGTGGCTATGCAACATAAGCATGCACTGGAGTGCGTCGATCAAACGATTAGAGATTTGACAGGGGTTGATCTCCCCTTTGGCGGTAAGGTTGTGCTCTTTGCTGGTGACTTCCAACAAACTCTACCAATAGTCAGGCGATCAAACTTAATGACTCAAACTGCGGCAACGTTGAAGGCGTCATATCTATGGAACCATGTTGAAAAATTCGCTCTCACTCTCAACATCCGCCTTGGAGGTGCTATGGCGCCACCTGTGTCCCTTTCATTTTGCCTTATAGTATCCGAAGGTAGAGAAAGTCCTAGCATCGGATACGTTCCGTATATGCCCTTAGATCTAGTGCTAGATCTCAAGTTAGAACTTTTTTCGATTTTTTTTTCACAAGTCCATTCAGAAGTCTATGTAGATAAACCTCACCACTTCCCCACCAGGTTCACCAATCTCTCACCAGGCTCACCTGTCCACCAGTAAATCCACCACATATGAAAAGCTCACCAGATCCGCACCACCAGCTCACCAGCTCACCATCCTCACCATAGATACACCGGTTCTTCACCAATTCCTGCCACGGTACGCTTTGTGATCACTTCCTCCTCCAGCCCCTCGATTCAACCCTTTCACATCCATCCCACCCAAACCAATTGTCTCGATGCTAGCACAAACCAACAGCGACACACTATCACCAATGCTACCACCACCACCCATATCGACTCTCCCCAATCCTGATCCAAACGTGACAGAACCTTTCGACCATCGCAAACAACTTGACAACTTCGTCAAAGAATTTGCCCCACATCAAGGGTACGGCATCATCATCGGTCACTCTGGACGTGATCCCCATCTTTACTGCAAATACGAATGCCATCGTGGTGGAAAACCCGCCAAGCGAAAGGGCCAAACTGATGCTACCGAGTGTGATCCACCCAAGAAGACCAGATCAATCAAGATCGGATGCCCCTTCAAGATGAAAGCTACTTTCCACAGAGAACGACGCACCTGGACTCTCCATCACGAGAACACATATCACAATCATGGGCCAATGGAAATGGAAATTCTAGACATCACACCTAGCATTGCACCAACCTCTGTGAGTCCTGTATACTCTTTAATACAGTATGTACAACACGGGCGAGCTGACAACTTTTGTTCAGCTTCCAAAGAATGAACAACCACTTTCTCTAGAATCGAGTCACGAACCAAAGAATGTACCTTTAGAGCCTAGTGTTCAATCAAAACTGCTATTGATCAACAATCGCATCCTATCAATGACAGCCTGCCAACAAGAGGAGATTGTTCAATCAATCCACCAACTACTCGATGCGGTATGTAATGTACCTGAAGATAAGATATCAACCACTATTAATGACCCTCATACAGTAAGTCTGCTTCAACAACCTCGTCACCATTTGAATTCTATCCACTAACCAATACCAAACTCCAACCAAAAAGGAAGCTGCTTTACAAATTCTAGACGAAATGGAACACTTCCAGGACCTCATTCAACTTCGATCTCCTTTGCATGATGAAGATAACGATATCAGCATCACATATCACCTTGAAGAAGAAAAATCACCTACTAGGCCCAACAGAATCAATATTGATGCTCTCAACATCACACTTACCAACAATCAGCCACTTATGAACGACCAGCCATCCTTGAATTCAATAGACTCTTTTATATATGAAGATCTCCTTCAGACTACATCTCTACAACCAGGTGCCCAGACCAATTGTCAGGATCTCGATGTAACATGTGACATTGATGTTAATGCTGTTGCCAAAGAACACGAATCTTCAAGCCATGAAAATGCGACAAATATCAACCAGGAGGCCCATGTCTCCACCACACTACCTCTACCTACCCCATCGATTAACAATGAACCACATCCACTCCGCCCTGTTGAAAAGTCATCGCATGTTCCTATCCCATCCACTAGATCCACTATCAAGAACAATGCAAGTGTATCACCCTGTTGAACCCGAAGTAAAGTAGACCTTGTGACAGGAGTTGCAGCGCAGAGTGGCGTCAAACGCACTCAACTAACCAGAACCGCCAGCACTCTCAGTGCAAAGAAACGCAAATGATGTGTAGATTTTCTCAACTAAACATGTTTGTAGTTTTGTAGTCACATATGTTGCTAACTATAACCTACCAAGTTATGCTCGTCTCCAAGTTCTTGCTCGTTTTATTAATAAGTGCAATAAAACGACTCTGCGTCGTCGTGAATAAGACAAATAATTTGGAATTTAGGCGCAACATGCCTTGAGCAACCTTAACCACAGATGAAAGCTTAAAATTCAACCTTATGTTCACCACTTCAAGTCATAAGTAACGCAAAAAAAGAAAAACAATTCCATTCAGTAAAAAACAAGTAGTCGGCAGCTAGCAGAGTGAGTCTCAAGAACAAAACGAGTGCACAGCAAATATCACACTCTGATATTTAGCAGAACAATCACATCTCAGTGTGATTCTCAAAAAGTCGAATTGCAAATAACCACTGATATGACCAATGATATGTATATCAAATTGTACAATTTGACCAATTTGAAAGGCAAGTTATAAACATTCTATATTTGCTGTGTTTACTTTTCAGTTAATTCAATTAGATCAGGTACCTATCTCAGTGCGATTCTCAAAAAGTCAAATGGCCAAAATTGAATGGTATGTACATCAGATTGCACAGACTAATATTTGACCAATTTAAATGTTTTTAGTCTCTGTCTGTACTTTTTCCGCCATTCAATAAGAACTTATTGCTGTTCATCTCTTGTGATTTTGTTGATTTGTTTTCACTTTTTTGTTTATTATTGATTATAATACAACAAATCAGTCTTATTTTATATGTGTACACACTTTTTTTCATCTGTGAGAACTTAGGGGTGAAGGAGAAGGATTTGAAAGAAAATGATTTGTAATGGCTGTATTCAAAATTTGTACAGGTACACTAGATCCAAAAGGTACACTAGATCCCAACCTATTTCATCTTTGGTGGCGCAATTGACTTTTTCACCTACCGCAGTTAGACTTTTTTCACCTTCACCTTGCATCCACACATTCCCCATCTGTTACTCATGGCACCAAACCCGAAACCATACAAGCCTCTCAAAAATAGGAAGCTGCCGGCCACTGGCTTACAGGCGGACTTTCGAAAGCAGGAGGAGCAAGACGTGAAGGAGATGGAGCAAGTACGTCCACCACCGACAAATGCCCACCCTCTTTTGGACCCCGTCACTCACCATAACGGCCAAGGCAATGTTGAAAATGATCAAATTGACGTTGACAATAATCAAATGGATGGACCTGCTCCTGACGATGGCGATTGGAGAGATGTTGAAGAAGATGTTGAAGAATTCAATAATCATTTATCAGAAGAGCATAGACAAATTATTGCCGCACTCAACTCAACTCTGTATCAAAGCAAAAGGCTAGAATATGAAGCCAAATGGGTAAGTGCTGTTGAGGCAATGGTTGATGTTTATATTATAGCGCGAAAAAATACTAGAAATTGGGGAGACGGGGTACTTTGGAAACACGATTATAAAGTGTCATGTCAGTGTGCACGGCCGTCACGTGTAGTTACCTTAGTGGACATTCACAGTATGTTTAATTTCTCTAGATGTTCAAGATCTAGACTGAGAACGACATGTTCTAGCTCGCAGGAAGGTATCAATAAACTTTTGCACCTGCCAACCCAATGCTGTCCGGCTTATTCAGATGGGATACTTTCCAGCTTCACCGTCTTTTCCTCGAACTGCTTTCTCAATCCGGCTGCTGTTATTGCATCATATCCTGTGGAAATACTGTAGTGTCCGAATGCAAGGGTTCGCTCTGGCTCTTGATGAATACCTTGACACCCACAATCCACTGATGCTGAGTACCAAGACTGGTCGAGTGAGCAGGGGTTCATTGATTAAATTGTTATATTGATGCTGATTAGGTTACATTTGTGCACTTTAGCCCCGTCAATGGCGGAAGCCACTGACAGCCGCAGTCACAGCCCATCGACAAGTGCTCAGTTTGATACGCCAGAAATGCAATCATCACAACTTGACCAGCTTGCCAGCAACTGCCCGCGTTGCTTTGGTCCGCCAGTGGACAAAACTACTGACCCAGATGAACCGCACATCATAGTATGCGTTGATGGGAACTTTCAACATCGCCGTCACCAGGCTGCAAGCCATGAGATACCAGGTCATAAACCACCAACACCGGAGCTCTTCATGGATCCGGAACGTGTTGAAAAGATGGCTGAGTCAATGGCTGGCGGTCCTAGACGTCGTAACCCACAATTAGATGAACTCGTAGTAAGTTCTCAATGCTGTGTGATGAACCCCAATACGCGCAACTGTGTACTCTAAATGCTATTGTTTATTGGAATAGGATCCCTGTTCCGATAAACATACAGCAGCCGACGATGTTAGGGGAAAGAAATCATGGCCCGGGATGGATGAGACCGGGTTGCTGGTCATGGCATGTCGCCACGATCACATCTTAAGATTTGTGAACCTTGTACAAACTGGAGAAAAGCTCGTAGAATTTTATTAAGTTCATGTTTTTGTTACATATTGATTGACTGTTTCTTTTCAATAACACAGGAGTCACTACGCACTTACTCTTATTGACTGAATTCTAGAAGTAACTTCGGATCATCCAGATGGGGCTCGTCAAGTTGGAATACTTTATGATATAGGTTGTAACATTGAAAAAGGAATTTTGAAGGTGATTCCGCTTTTTTGTTGTTGTTTGGTTTTTCAAACAATTTAATCCCACACAGGATCACTAACTGCATTATAGCGGAAACAATTCTCTGCCGAGCGTGCTGCTGGGCGCTTAAAGTTTGGCACAAGCGTCTTCCACGCTTATGTGCATGAATGGCTATGCCAATTGGACTATAACCCTTGCCTCAACAAGGGTTGGGGTCTCTCAGACGGTGAAGGGTCTGAGCGTGTGTGGTGGGCTCTTATAGTCCTAATTGCAATGCTTCGATACGCTACTAAGCAGAATCGACTGGTTGCTCTGAATGACCGTGGACTCCATCACAATGAAAAGGCCCTGTTCAACACGAGTAAGTTATTTTGCACATGTAATGTCATTGTTTGGCCACACAACTGACCTCAGAAAAATGTTCGCACAGTGTTGGGTGTGCTCTCCTGGACCACCAAGGTAGAGACAAGGTTGATCAAATCCTCTGCGATGCTTTCTGATTTGGCCAAATCAGATCGTAAGTATACCACCAACTTCTTTGAGCAACAATGGGAGAGGCAGCAAAATATTCAGCAAAACATCATCAATGCCCCTACACGCAGACTCAAAGAAAGAATGAGTGTTCTATTGGATCTTGAGGAAGATTTAATTGAGGCACGGTTTGTAAAACACTTATCAAATGCACAATGCTAGACTTTAACTAATGTGGTCAATCTTTAGTAATACCCTGGCGCTTTTGGAAGCAGGGACAGCCCCTCTACGGACTCAAGAGCAACAGCACGAGCTTTTGGACTTGCCCAGAACTCTTACCCAACTGGAGAACAAGATACAAAATGTAGCTAATGAGTTGGGCTCCCAACAGTTTCGAGAGCTGACTGGAACAACCGGTCAGTCTAGCTTCAACAAAAAACACGCCAGTTGCTTACCTCGTACTATTGAGTAACAGACGATCGAGCTAAACCTAGGATGTTACTCCAAATTGCAAAGTCAAAGATGTACGGCGCAAAGGTTGATTGCATTGAAATGCAATGTCGAGCGGATGGCACTACAGGTCAGAGTATATAATGCCTTGGAAGAGCCACAAAACTACGATAGTCTGACCACTTTCTAATCACACTATATAATCATATAAGCAGACCAAAGAAATCGAGCGCGATATCAGGGTCTTGCCTCTGACAAGAACAAAAAATTAGCCTGCCGTCACAGGACTTACCTACGACATGCAACTTGCTACAACGATACTTTCCGTCCAGCCACCTTGATCGAAACACCTTCTTTTGACTCTGTAAATAGAATGGACATTGGCAACCCATTTTGGGAAATAGCTGACCTAGCTCATCCTAATGAAGACTGGGCTGTGGACCCACAGACTAAATCCGGAATTGATGCATGGCGGACTCAACGAAGCGCGTGCGAGGAGATGAGAAGAATCGGTCGAGAGCTTTGACAGCAATTGCAATGGGCGTTAGTATATTCAGCAAAGGTAAAAGAGCTTGAACATAACAGTAAGCCTCCTTTTCAATACCAAGCCCAGAGATTAAATGTAGTAGCTAATCATCCTCAAAGGTATTGATCCAGTGACATTGGCACTTCAACTGGGTATAGAAAAACGGTCATGCAAACTTTGGATAATGTGGAAATGGGGAATTGAAGATGTGATGTCTCGGACAGCACTTTATCTTCAGCTTCCAGGCGGTTTTGATCGTGACTTGTTATCAAAGTGGCATGCTTTGGTCAATTCATGCCCTGGCCAATGGGCTGAAATGATTGGTATACCTAATGAGATGGATGATGATGATGCGGACGACGCATTATTGGATGTAGACCTCCTTGAGGATCTTGTTGGAAATCTCCAAATTGTATCGTAGATTTATCCATAGATTTGAAAGACCCATAGCCATTCCACTTTGTAATTTCTGTTACAGTAGTGTTGTTTTTTATATTTCCTTATACAATACTTTCAAATGCTTTATTTTCCTACTTCAAACATTATTGGATAAAACAAGATGCTGTACATGCTATTCCTTGATGGTGTGATAAGTCAAGCAGCGATGCATTTTCCATAATGATGGCTGTCATTGTCCTCATTGGAACTAATTTGAACCATGGTATACCGTGAAGTCAAAAGCCCCTTGTGCTTTGGACTTCACGGTATAACATGAGGTTGGTCCAACTTCCAGTACGCATATTTGGATATGCCCATAGATTCAAATCGACTATATCATATTTGAATATACTTGTCAACATGTGAACAACTTGTCATCACTCAGAGTATAGTCTGCCAGCATGACTCCAATCAATATACCAAGGTATATATTGGGTGTTATATGTATCCCTGCTTTGGGCTTTGGTATGTATATTTTCATTACCTTGTGCAAGCAAAAGTATGTATATTTTCATTACCTTATGCAAGCAAAAAGTTATCTTACGCACCCAAATGGGTTATCATATGGTTATGACAAGTGATTGATTGTCTGAAATCAATTCACTTGACATTATACATTACCATATCATATATGTTACGCACACATGATAGTAAAAAGTCAAAAGACATCATGACAAAGATCATAGCGCTATAACAAGTTGAAGTATATCAGTATATGTCTTTAGGTATATTCTCATCAAGAGTTCTTGTGCAAGAACATCAAGTCATCATTATAGTGTATGCACATCAACCTACAGCCAATTAAGTCATCAGTATGGCGTACATGCAAGCCATCAGTATAGCATACAAGAGCAATGGTTAAGGAATTAACTCACACATGTTTATAAACAGCCAAGAAAGATCATGAATCACCTGAAAATCTGAGTCAATGACTTGTTCTTATCCAAATACCTGAGATAAGACTGACTTGACACCAATTGATAGAAGAAATTTACTGGTATATTGTCTTGGTGGGATTCCATCCAGAAATAATTAACAGAGCTCCACACAAGTCCCAATGAACAGACCCCTGCATTACAAAAATGTCCACCAAGCAAATTGATGGTTCCGTTGCATTCTTATACACTTGTGTAGAATGTTGGACCAAGTCCTCCAATGAAATCAGTGTTTCATCTGACTCTGACAATAACCATGATGCTTAACTTCTTGAAGTGCATAATATAATCAACTGATGTTGACAAATATCCCAATACTTATGACTTGTTACTTTATTGGCATGCCTATATATCCTTCAAGTACAGTAGAAACTTACTTGACTAATTTAGACAAACATCATAGTAGGTACAAGTTGTGCAAATATGACTTCTTCAAAAAACTTACTTGACTAATGTCTTCTGCAAATATCAATTCTCAACTTGTGTAAATATCTTTTCTTGAAGTGGGGTATGATATTTGTCTACATTAGTGGATTATAATGTAGACAAATATAGGTACACATCCTCTGTTTGCCTTGTGCAAACCAAACTCAGTCTTTACTTTGGTAAAAGAAAACAAGTCATATACAATACTTCACAAAACATTAATTTTATCAATACATAAGAATATATACATTGACTTGCAAAAAAGTTCATCAGGACAGGTTGAGAGAGAAATAAATATAACTTCTTAAATCCCAGTATAAAATTACTCAACTGATGTAGACAAATATAATAGTAGGTACAACTTGTGCAAATATAACTCCTTAAAGTCTAGTATAAAGTAAAAGTTACTGGACTAATGTCTTGTGCAAATATCACTTCTTAAAGGTGAGTATAAAGTTACTTGAAGAATGTAGACAATTATCTTAGTAGGTACATATATTCTGATCAACTTGTGCAAATGTCACTTCTTAAAGTGGAGTATAAATTTACTGGTCATGATAGGTACACATTCTGATACTGTGACAAAATATTAATTTTACCCATAGATGAGAATATATAGAATTCTCATCTATGGGAATCAGGAGAACATCAACAACTTTGCAGAATACAGGGACAATGTTATTTATTTCGGAAGCATCTGAAATACCATAAGGTAAATAGACAGTGAAATATGTTGAACCCAAATCTTTGGACTGATACAAGAAAACGCATATGAAATTCAATGGCAGGAAAGCAAACATTTGGAGACAACAACAATCTCATTGAAATGAGAAACAGGTGACACCAAAACACTACAAACAACTCTAACATAGATGGAATATGTAACGATTTAGAAATAAACTACAGTGTTACAAGATTTTACCCACTGCTTCTTCCCTGCGTTTCTTCTTCCAAGACTCTTCCTCCTTTCGCAGAAGCGTACGGCATGTGGTTATAGAAAAATTGGGGGGAGGAAATGGAAGCCACAGCAAAGAATCACTGAACTGAGCCTTACTGATACCTCTGCGAGCGGCCGAAACTCTGGCTGGGCCAGCATAGGTTTCAGCATGAGCATAGAGCGCAAGCGATATTCGCAAAGGCGGCAACTTGATATCAGGGCCTTGTAAGATATGGCTTACGCCATGATCCAAAAGTTTGAAGCGTGCGTGTATTGAGTAGCCAGGATCAGCACACAGGCTGACACCAAGCGAGCCAAACAAAAAGCGGCCACCAGTGTAGTTTTGACCGTAAAAGAAAACCGAATCGAGGAGGTTAGAATTCTTCCCATCTCGATGGGTTCCAACTTGCATATTGTAACTAATTTGTTGTCCTATCAAATATGGGTGTCAGCTTTGGTCAAACACAATACAGATGGCAAGATGAATGTCCTGACCCTGAATTACTTTATTGTGCAAACCTTTGATACGCTCGACAAGCAGCGGGCCAGAGTTTTTTTCCAAGAAGGTTGTGACTCGCTCGGCTGCTGCGTAAGTCTCGGGGTTTACTGCTGCATTGAGAACTCTTGAGATCTCCTGGGGCCACAGGAGCTCTGGGCGGATGCGACCATTCTCAATTCGTTGGAATACACAGCCCTCCCCAAGTCCCGAAATCTGAGGCAGGTGCTGGTCGGATTTGGGACCCTCTCCAATATCGTCGGTCGTATATCCTTGGCGTTCCATGCCCAATTGCATCTTGGTGTCTGGCCTATTAAGTTTCTAGAAGAGCCATGGAATCAGTCATGCTTTATAATTGATTGGGATTGTGAGAGTGTTTCATACCGATCCTAATATATAACCAAAAGACTCGTAAGGAATGAATCCATACACAGCACCTGGACATTGAACAGGCTTGTTCTTTGCCCGAGAAAGACGCGGGTGTATGGAATCACTAGAGGGCAAATCTTCTCTCATAGCATCATCAAAAACGGGAAGGGCATGTACTTGTGCAGCACCTTCGAAAGCATTCAGAGCTCTGTCCTAAAGGAATAAGTTTGACTTTGTTAAATATTGAACATCTTATAAGGTAGGAAACCAACTGAGATGAAAAGATGAACGTACATAACCTGACATTGTGTCACTATCGCTGTTTTCAGGTGAAGTGCAATTGTTTTGATTCGAATTTTTGGCAGAGTGAGGTGGTAGATTCATGACAAGCAATTGACCAGCCAAATCTACAAGTACCACCGCCTTATCAGAAGGAAGTGCACGCAAAGACTTGGATCGTTCAGAGATGAGGATTTTCAAAGCTTTGAGGGTTGGATACCGAAGAGCAAAAGGTTTCTGATGGCCGGGGTTTAAGTTGTAGGAATCGATTGTTGATTTTATATGTAAAGCGCACACCCGGAGATCGTCTTGTCTACCTGTGACAGATCGGAGATTATTTAAATCAAAGAGTATCTTGTCGACGGATTGAGGGATGCACCCAATGGGAAGGTGATCTGTTTCTTCTAGGAAATAAGCAACTGCGATGTCATAATCAATAACTTCAGGTGTGATTTGGTGTAAAGATTGTCGGATGTATTGATCGCAGATTGAACTACGCATGTAGTTGTTAGGATAATGGTGACCGGGGATTTTAGGTTTGAATTTCTTGTCGACATGTGGGGTTCGTGACTTTTTTCCTGTTCAATACGAACGACCAACAGTCACATATGTCAATTATGAGAGTAAAGGGTAGTTTAAATTGAATACTGACGATTCTGAGGTCGGTCATATGGTCCTTTGGAATGATTATTATTGGTCTTGTCACGCTTCTGAGAGGGGGCCATTGCTAAACCATAATAAGGTGATAAGTCAGTTGATGCTGTTGAAGTGTGACACATTAGTGAGGTAAGTGGGAGCATGGTGGAAGATGGCAATATAGAGATGGAATAAAAGGAAGACGATGTGGTATGAAAACATAAAACGGGCTGAGATGAGCTTGAAACCTGTCAATCCTCATCATCAGCCCTGCGATTGGTGGGAATGAGGCAGCCTGAAACCTGTCGGTCCTGCCTTTATTTCTAAAACGAAGGTTGATAAGATAGGTGGAGAGAAAAGAGAAAGAAAAATACAAGGAAAAAATGAGATCGTTTGAAAAACAAACCAGCAGTATTAATTTTGAAGAGATTGTGTTGAAAATAAGTTGGTCAGAGGATGAAGGAGTTGTTGGTCAGCTGGATGGGTTTTTGAAAAGGAGTGGAACAAATATGTAGTGTACCGGTTACCGTGTGAGGGGTAACATCTACAAGTCTTTACACTAATAAACTGGTTGACAAGGCGCCGTGTCTACCAAAGCAAAACCAAATTTACATATGAAATATATTTGTGTGATGAGATATCAGCACCAATTTGTAGATCAGTACAAACTCCAAATTGCGTTGGAGGTCCTACCTGCGTCCAAATTTGTCACAAAGGACACATCTCCTTGAAAGCGACCCTAACAGTCACTGGAATCGATCATGAATTAAGGAAATCACCACCGAAAGAGGGTAGGTGCGAATCAAAGGAGAGTGAGAAACCCTGAGAAACACCGTGTTGTGAGAAACCACAAGTTTCAAAGATTTTGGTTCAACCTAGAAAGAATTTGATTAAACATGATTATATGAATGAAAAACAACTCGTCACTCACTCCTGGAGAGCTATGCCAACTTTAGCACATGCTCTATCTAAGCAACAAGTCGGCCACCACTCTGTCGGCTCAACCATTCATTCGGACCTATTCGTGTTGATTGAAATCAAAAGTAAAGAAACAAAATTAATTAATTACAAACAAATGAAATCAATTCATAAACAAGGAGAAGAATTAAAACAAAAAATATAACTCTCTTTTGATCCAATTCAAATGATTAAAACCAAACATCCAATCATGAGTTTTTTTATCAGTTTTCTTAGTTTTGATCTGAGAATGGATTCACTCGTTGACTGTTTCTTTTTTTGATACCTTCGCAATTTCAGATTTAAGTGTCTTTTAAGAAACCTATCAAAATAAATCTCAGTTCCACTTTTCTTCCTTGTGTAGCCATCAAAATGTATCATTTTTATGTGTATTCTTAGGCCCATTTTCTTCTAACAATTATCAAAGGTTTTGGAATAATTGAATAGTATCGGATTTCTATCTCTCTAGAATAATTGATTGCAGTAATGGATTTAGTGTTTTTCACTTAGTGGCAAGAGGCACGCGAAGTCATAACTCTTTGAGAGCAGACGGTATTGAAATGTATGTATCATCCTTTTCTTCAATCACAATGAGGAAAGAGCCTACAACAGCGAACCAACAAAGGGAAAATTAAAATGAGAAACCAATAGCTGAACATACTTCCTTTTATCCTTGGTTTCATGGGACTATCCTTTTTCGGGAGATTGAAGCAAGTCTCTTTGTTTCTCATTTTGATCATCAAATTTATTCGAAACAGACACAATTAATATCCCACATTTTCTCTGTCAGAGTGTCAAGGGAAAGTGCTGTTAGTGAGGTATCCAGTTTCTGGGTATGATCGTCAGTTGATGTTTAAAAGATAGCTTACATACCCTAAGTTTCTTTCAAAGCATGTTGAATCAGAATGATATGTCCTTTCATCCGTTGTTGGTTGCAACATGGATGGAATATCGCCCATCTTCGATATCTTTGATCCAAGCTCCCACTTGTTTGTCAGTTAGACGCCCCCCTTTGGCTCCTAGAGCCAACATCTCATCAGTGACATACGAGTCAGGGGCTTGGTGGACAGCCAACTGGATTCCTTGAAACTTGCGTTCAGCTATGGTTGCATGCGGATATGGGGTCTTAGGAAATACGTCTTGCTTTGGCCCCTCAGGGGGTCGAGGTAAGTTATTTCCTAAAGAATTGATTGAAACAAGGCACAAGGGTTAGTACAGGTTGGCGTACAGGTGAAATCCAGTCACTTACGTATCTCGTGATTGAGCAAGTTGGTGAGCTTTTTCCTCATTGATTCCTGGGTGGTTTGGTTGTTCTGATTACTGGATTTTTTGTTTTCAGTGGTTTCGATTTGTGCTGCAGTTGATCGAATGGCAAAGTCCCTAGCAAGGTGGTGGGTCTTTTTAGCATATTCAGCCCATCGAGGGCATGTTGTATATTCGGGATTCCACATGGGATCATCCAGCTTGGTCTTTGGGTTCCAGCTGGCAACCAGAAGGTGTGAGTGAATCCCAAAGCGTTTAAATATACTTTGGAGCTACATGGGAAATGGAGTTGTAAGTTTGGATTTTGACTTCTTGAGCATGCGAAGTCTGGGACAGGTGGCTTACCTGGATAGCTACCTTTCCAATCTCTTCACGACCCCGCTTTTCAATGACAGCAAGAGACTTTGCTATAGTCTGGCCCAGTACGCCACTTTGGAGATGTTTGTATACCTTGTCCAGATTAGCGAGTTGGGTGAAATAAGGCATATATTGGCTTATCTCTTGATCTGTTGCACGTTCTTCATCAGAAACTGGTGTGGCAATGTTTGAGACATGCGCGTAGGCTAGCTTTTCAAATAGTTTAGGCTGAAATATCTCTTTTTCATCATCAGTCAGTAGTGTCCATTTGCGGCAGTTCTGATTATGTTCAGCAAAGCCTTTGGTTTGTCGGCCTGCAGGCACTGAGATTTGAAGTTCATTAGTATTAGCAAAAATTGTAGGGTTGCATGTGAACTGACTCGAGATGTCCACTGTGTTGGCCAGGCTGTAACTCATCCATGTTGTGTAGCCATTGCGGTCGCGCGATATAGGACCTTCAAATCTGTGAAGGTTCAATAAAGAATATTCTACATATATCAGTTGACAATAAAAGGTGGAGAGTGGATGTGTTGATGGATAGACAGATAACAATTTGATTGAAAAATACATACAGTGCCAATTCCAGAGTTGCAAGTGAGGTGTTGCCAACCAATGACAGGCTCATCTTATCCATTGTATAGTAACCCTGTAGCGCCTGAGCTTCGGCGAGGACTTTTGATGGAGGTCGATTTTGGGTCTTGCGTTTCGGATCATTCAACATCCCCTCAAGGGCTGGTCGTCCAAGCTGTCGACCATTGTTTGAATAATTATCAAGTGTTAGGGATGTTGTGATGGGAGTACGAGGTACAGCTGCTGTGGTAAGACGTGTTCTCTTCCTAGCGTTGGAATCAGTGTTTGTTGGAGGATTGAGTGCACTTGAGTTGTTGGTTGAAGGTTGGGGTCTAGATAGAGATGTGTCAGTAGGGTTTTCGGTTCTCATGTCGTCTGAATCTTCTTCTTCAAGTTGTAGGTTAGGTTGGTAATCTTCATCATCTGGGTCTGATCTGTCGAGGGCAATTTCTTCAGGGGTTAGAGATTGTGTGCTGTTGTTCTTTTGTCGTTTGGGAGGTGGTTTGGAAGATGGTTTGCGGGGGATTGAAGATTGTTTTGATGTTGGTTGTCGCTTGGTGGGTTTGCGCTTGCCTGTAGGCATGGTGGAGGAGTATTGCCAGATTGGTGAGGAAGAGAAGAGCCTGTTTGGTAAAGGTAGTGGGGGGCAAGAGACTGTAGTCAAGAAAATGGTGAGCTGGTGAGTATGGTGAGATAGCCCGGTGAGCTGGTGTACATATGGTAAGGTGGTGGACCTTGTGGTGGGGTTTGCAGTGAGCCTGGTGGACTGGTAGACCTGGTGATATCCTGGTGAGCATGGTGAGCTTTAGCTACATAGCTCACCAACGGACTTGTGAAGAAAAAAAATTGAAAAAAGTTCTACCTAAAGATCTAACACTAGATCTAAGGGGATATACGGAACGTATCCGATGATAGGAGTTTTTATATCATCGGATACTATTGGGGGAAATCAAAGGGACACAGGTGTATGGCGCAACCAAACCCTGTAAACAAAGACTTCACAGCTTGGTTGTTAGCACTGGGTTCCGGCAATCTACAAACGGAGTATGGATCAGACCTCGAATTGAAATATTGTAATGTATCAATAACACGACCGCCATCATCATATAATCCTGAATTCATCGATGCCGAGTATGCAGGAGTTAGACCGTTAGTCGTAGCCCAAGATTGGAAAACTTTGATCGAATTGTATTCTAGTAGATGTTTGATAACACTGCTCAATGCAACGGTCGCCCTCATCAACAATCACGTCATGCAATCACTTCGAGGGGATTACAAATTGTCAACTTCGATTGATCTCATGGATCAAGCCTTTTATAACCAGGTATCGGTTGATGTCTTGAATAGTTTCAACTTCCCTGGATTTCCGTCTCATAAACTTTATCTGAAGGAAGGCGCGACTGTGATGGTTCTCCGTAATTTAGATCTTGGTGTTGGATTATGCAGTGGTACCCGTTTATTAATCACCGATTGCGGCATCAATGCCATGCAATGTCGCATTCTGACCGGCGAATTAAAAGGTACAAGCATCAGTTTACCTAAGATGAGGCTCAACCACGATGGTAATGAGGATGGTAATGAGGATTGTCCGATTCCAGTTTCCGGTAGTTCCCGCCTTTTGTATGACAATCAATAAAAGCCAGGGTCAAAGTCTAGAACAAGTAACCGTACTATTACCAAGTCCAGTCTTCACCCATGGACAACTATACGTTGCACTTTCTCGATGTACCTCGGCGGCCAATGTACATGTATGTATTGTGTCAAATGAGGATACCGTGACTACAAGAAATATTGTGTATCATCCAGTGCTACGGAACTGATGTTGAAAAATTTGCAATTCCACATCTCAATCAAGACAAAGGGTTATAATTCACTGCATATATCTTTGTTCTTTATGTTTTCAAGCCTATTGTGTCATTTTCCTACTGAGTTGTGTTCTTGTGATGCTATCACCACAAAATTTAATGCTTTGAGACATTCAATCTGATACTACGAGAGCTGAAAATGATTGTAAATTGAGTCACTTTTCATCGTGATTATCAATGTCTTCGATCTGATTTCCCAAATGCCAAATAAAGTTAATACAATACTGACCAATGGGATTTCTCAAGTGATCAAGACCATGCTTAAAACCCATCATGAACAGACCTACACCATCACCTCATGAGGACACGGCCAAGAGTCAGCTTGGCTCACCGGTTCCCAATAGTGAACTGGTATAATTGCCGTGTCACGGGCTCAAGCCCAAACGGGCCCAATCTATTGGCCCTGTATGCAAAACCCGACTACATCCATCTCCCTTCAACCTTCCAAGTTTCTGTTAACGCGTTAACAATATTCAACTTGGCATAAGCTTACGAGCGCTGATAAAGCATCAATTCACGCCCAAAATATATCGATAGCAATTAGTTCCTTAATCAACCGTACGTTCCTTTGTATTACTGATCCGAAATAGCCATTAAGGTAAAGCTCACTGTTTCCTATCCACATCAGAATTGCTTCTTTATCATCGCCAATCAACGAGCGAATCAACGAACGTCTTTGACCTCTGTTTGGCGTGCAGTTATCCTCCATCATCTTGGACAGCACTCAAGACTGCGCACACAAAGTGGGATTAACTGGTAGGAATCAAGAATTCATGAAATCAAGCCTGCAGTTATATACTGACCACTTTAACTATGTAGATTGCTACCTTAGATAGAGCATTGAATCGTGGGTACCATCTACAACCTATTATCAAGTTTATGTGAAAGCTAAGTTTACTTTTAGCATCTTTGTGTAGAATCGATTGAACCTATACCACCAGGAATTTCCGGTTCGGCCAACTTCAAGGTCATTATAAGAAACTTTGGCTACCTCACGTCTTGGTACGCACCTCTCAAAGATACATTTCTTTTTCATTACAATACCACGACCGGTTCAAGACTGATCAGCATTGACAATTGTTCTACTGGAACTCGAATTACTACCTGCCGATTGAAACTATACCAGAACAGATTTAACAAACCCCGACAGATCAACATTTCAAGGCTCACTCCATTAATCGATTGGGGTTACATTCCGTCATCTTGAGGCAGCTTCTAACGGTTTGTCGATTCTCTTTTGATATGCTCTATTCTTTTGTGTCTATCAAGTCAAGAATGCCTACAATTTGAGACCTATAGAACTATGGATGAACACACTTTGAGATAACTGGATCCAAGTTCCAAAGGTGTGAGGAACCGTAGTCTTGAATGTGTTCAAACATAGATCTATAGGGCTAGATTGAATGTACTTCTAAACACTTCAGCTTTGCTGATGGCATGATTCCCCTTTTCATCTATTTCAGTTGCATTCTCCTCGCTCATAATCGAAATGCCTAAAAAGCGATCTTCAAGCAATAAACAGTATAATCAAAAGAGGGATAACAGCCGAGGACGATTGAGAGCAAAACGCAAAAGTGGGAATCATCCTGAAAGGAACGAACTGCGACGAACAGGCTTTGATTCATTACGCGCCGAACTAAGTAAAACTTTTGGAATTCCTCACGATTGTCGTATATACTTTCTCAAGAAGCATGACATGAACTCGTTACCTAAGACACCTCGACTCAAGATCACTTTTGGGAATTCGGTTCTACTCGATGCTGATACCTGGAAGGTCCTCCAGGTGAACCGATTTATTCCATTTTCCGAAATGTCGCACGAGAAGAAAGACGACATGCACTTTGTAGTCCAAACCCTCTATCAGCACGCGTTGGCTAGGGGAGAGGTGAAGATCAATGGTTCCGTTCAAGGATTGGAGAATTGGGGTGAAATGAGGTCCGCGGGATTTCGGGGAGGAAGTGACAAAGGTCGTAAGATGGGTTGAGTACTTTTCATCTCTCTTCCAATGTTTTTTGATCGTATCATAACACTAAAGGCACAACCATGTTTCTCGGCAAAACTGGATTAAACCCCTAAGCCTTAACAACATGTATATGTACCTACAACACCAATCTCCTCAGTCTCACTTGCTCCCTACCACTGCTGACCCTCTTCAAACCCCTAAACCCAACAACGTCTTACCTACTTCAACTTCCAAGAACCGCTTGGTTTGCCTTCAAGCTGTGATTGTTTACATCAAAGTAAATGGCACAAGTGTATCCTCTAATCTACTTCATTCTGTCTATCTTCTAATTGATTTTATTATGCCTGCTTCCTTTGATCAAATAGAATTGTGGTTTGTTCTTGTCACAAGACATTGTTGATCCTTTCCAATTGATTGACTGTCTGCTCATGAACCTCCTCATTCAATTCAATCAGTACTCAAACAGAAAGCTGTATCTTCAAAACTCCGTCATTGTCTTATATACGGTGACATTCCGACTCACTACCATCTTAAGTAAGTCCATTTATATCATTTCACAATCAGACAGAGCAAAATAGATTAACAACACTTGATCTCTTTACATCTGGAAGCCCTATTTCTCTTTATGTTATGCTTGCAGTATAGAAGATGCGGTGCCTGTGTAGTTGAAACCGATAATCAAATAGACAACAATCTTATGCCAATTCAGCTAAACAAAGCTCTACGCCTTCAGATTGACCGAACTTGACCCAGTTTAGTCCTTTTTGCTCATGTCATTGTTTCAAGAGCACAATCATCTCATTTTTTCTTACCTGTTCTTCTGCAATTTGTGACCCAAAAATTTGGATGAATCAAAGGAAGATATCTCAAATTTGAAAGCCTTCAAATGAGACCCAAAATGTTGATATTCGATATTGACGCGTTGTAGAAGACTAGACTTCAAGAAATCTTTCAAACGAGCTGTTTCAGAACCAAAATCGGCAGTTGGCAATTGAACAGTCTCTATTGAGTGATTCTTGGACAAACCTCATCAAATTGAAGTACGACTGTTAGAAGAAATCAGATCATCCAGGTATGTTGTTTTGTTGATCACTGTATCTCTGTCTTCATGAACCGCTTACTGAAACTAAAGTTTTCAATTCCTAAATTATTGGCTCCTGTAGCTCATAGATCTATCAATTGGTGCTCTTCTCAAATCCCAAAAACAAGCCAAGACATCAACTCAACCTGAAACAAAACCATCAAAGCCAAAACCAAAAGTAATCGAAAAAGTTGAACAATCTTCTGAATCTGAATCTGAACCCAAACCTAAACCTGAATTAGGTCCATCGTCTTCATATCCTAGAATACAACAACGAACCAATAAACATGCACCAATGGCAATGTCAAGTAAAAGATCAGTCACCAGAAGAAGAACAGTAGTCGCAGTACCGAAACTAGGCGAGATCCAGAATTTGATTCATTATCTAGAGCGATCGATCCAACCTTACATTCAAGATCACATGGATTTTTGAAAACTGAAAGAACATTAGAATTAGAAACTTTACAAAAACCCTATCAAAAAGCTAAATCGAAACCTGGTACGATCTCCGAAATCAAATTAAAACGAATTGAAGAATCTTTAATAAGAGCTGAAAATTTCGAAATTCAAAATGATTAGATTGAAAGAGAGAGAGAAAGAGAAGTGTTAAAGAAATGGAAAACTGAAGAAAAGGCTAAACAACAGGATGGCGAGAATCCATTTTATCTTAAGAAAAGTAAGTCTTGCAATTTGATGTCATCCATTTTATCTTAAGAAAAGTAAGTCTTGCAATTTGATGTCATGATTCTGTTCTTTCTAGAGTTTTTACTAAAGCTTTGGTATCTTATTGTGATGTTTGTTAGAGGAACACAAGGAAGTAATTCTGGCTGATCGATTCAATCACTTTTCTCAAGATAAGCGCAAGTTACAAAAAGCTGTCGAACGTAAGAGAAAGAAAGTCGCTGGTAAAGAAAAGAAATCTATGCCTGCTGAAAGAGCTCGGTCTTGATGGAAAGATCATTTGATTGAAAGAAGTGATCTCTTGGGAGTGTTTCGATCTCTTTGGGTTCTCCTTTTTTCATTGCTATCCTCTCAGTGGATTCAGATCTCTCTGATCACATGTTACATTCACGGTTCCACTCAACCTCACGACTCACTTGTCATAATATTATCCCACCCTATCTCTCGAAAGTTTGTCCCCTCTATCTTTCATTTCCAGGGTCTATATGATTTCTCTTTTTATGACACAGAATCATACAAGTGCTACTGATAGTGCAAGATCGGTGGATTCCTTCAAGACATCAATGTATTATATCATGCTGTGCAGTAAAATCACATCTTCTTTTGATACCTTTGCATATGCTTGCATCATAGAATATACACCATGCGCTTTTGATCCCTTGACTCAATCCAATTCTAAAAGGCATGATGGGAAAGATGGAATGATCAAATTGAGACTGTTGGGATGCTTGACGCACATGATCCTACCTCATTCACCTCATATCTAAAGCCTGAACTATCCTTCCAAAACATCTCTTAAATAATACTTGTTGTATGTACCAAAGTCAGTTGAATGAAGTCTTTGATAGTGATTTACACATGATTTTCGACCAATCTTGGGGGGATTCAGAAACCAAAGCTTAGATTGCCATCTTGAATCACTTCATACAAAGTTTCTGAGTCAGTTTCACTTCATTTGTGCTCATTTAGTAACTATGACATCACACTTGACTTCAAAGCACACTTTCAACCACAATCCTGGCCTGAGGATCAAATTGACAAAAAGATCATCACTCAAGCTGTGTTTGTTCTCTCCACCTTGATTGTCAGTCAAGTGAATCCGGTGATTTTTCTCATCCAGTGTCTGATAGGCATCTTCTGAAAACGTTTTGCTTTACAATCATCCCAAGTTTGTAAGAATCAAATATAGACCATGTCTTAAGAAGTAGTAAGCCTGTTTTCAGTCAGCCTCTATGAAGGATTTAAATCATATTGATTTCTTTGAATCTCGAGCCACAAACAGTTATATGATTGGTAAGTCAACCAGTTTTTGAGTTAAGGCTGACATAGATCTCCAGATGAAGGAGCATATGGACCAGTATTTAAAGTAATTCAATCTAATGATGGGGAAACAACAACAGCTTATGAGAATGGTGCAGTCTATAAAGAAATGAATGTCAAAAATCCTCCTAATTCATGTGAAAATTTAATATTACTTCTTGAAATCTTGTCACCTTATTTATGTACTTTGTTAATCTTACCTCATAAATCATACACTAAGTCATATGAAATCTTTTTGTTACTCCATCACTCTGATCAAAGAATGCTATTGGAAACTGTTAATTGAGCTGGAGAGATGTGCATCAATCCAACAAATGGCGGTGCTGCTGGAGGAATTGATGAATTACTTGTGATGTTCTTTAGTATTGAATTGATAAGAGTTATACAAGCTTTACAAAAAGCAGCTTCTATTCATGGTAATTTAAAAATTGAAAATTGCTTAGTAAGATTACAAAGTGTACCAGAAGGAAGTAAATCATGGTCATCAATTTATAATTTTTATTTTCAGAAGGGATGCAAATCTAAATGATCAAATAAATTGATTATGGAAGATCAATTGCTACAAATGTATTCCCAAATCAAGAAGAGTTTATTGTAGAATGGGAAACAGACGAATATGATTCTCCTGAAATGAGAGTAGTTAAATAAAGGAGTTTCCAGCCTGATTATGATGGTATCCTTTCAATTTTGTTTCGTTTATCATTTGGTACATTGACCAAAAAAGCTTTGATTAAACCGTGGTTTGAAAGGTATCATCAAATCAAATGATGGTCTAAATTGTTTAGGGCCCATATGGTTGCCAGAGATTATCATATACTAGAGTAAAATTGTACTGTATTAAATGACCTGAAACCACAGTAAAAGTTGCAACTCCCAACTAATTGTGAGTTGATAGGTAATGGGTGGTTTTTAAAAATAATTGTTTGATAACTCAGAACCACCAATCCTACAATTTCACTTTTGCATACAATTATGCTTTGAAACCAATGTTTTTGGTGAATTAGATCAAAACCCAGTGCTGGAGAGAATTGAGATCATGGAATGCACTCTCCTTAAGAGATACTTACTTGCTTGTTGGTCAGGAGATTGTTTTGTATGTACCTCTCACATTGTACATGCTCAATTGTCACTTTGTCACTTTGTCACTTTGTCACTTTGTCTCACATAAGTCTCTTGTTTATCATCTCACATTTTGTATTGTTGAGATCATGTTTATCATCATTTCATCTTTGTACAATGCTGGCTTATCTCACACAATAAATCACCAGCTTCATGTGATTCCAAATCACAAAATTCTTCTCAACATCTCTTCAATTGCTCTGGTAAGATTTGAAACCAATCAACTGTGTCTAATAAATCATAACCTTCATGGACCTGCTCAATGAGGTGGGGAAATTGAGTAAGTGGTTGAAGATGTGATGAGTTGAATCTAAAAAAGCATTGGAGAGAAGATGAGAATTGAGACGAGTTGAAACAAAGATGAGATCAGTGTGTCCAAAGAACTGATGAGGTTGATCAGAGATGCAATGAGATCAAAGATAAGTTGATCAACAATGTGATGAAGTTGAAGAATTGATACATACCACAGTTGGTCAAAGAATTGTTGAGCAAGCTGATGAATAGATACATGTGTAATGTTGATGGTGGTGAGGTGTGGGAGGTGAAGAGGTGAATTTTTGACAAGTACCGTTATCACGTACGGAATTAATCCAATTATGATCCAAATAAACGGAAAAAGGTGTTGATAGAATTAATCCATAATATGAGATTATTGAACAAATAATGTTGTATGTACAATAATCTGCGTTTGTGGGATACCAAACAGTGAAAAAATAGTTGCAATTATTTTACTGTGGTATTGGCATAATTGCAGTAAATTTGTTGCAACCAAACGGGCCCTTAAGGTTTGTTTAAATCTAATCAATTACCTGATCTTTTGGATTTCAAAAACTTGTAGATTGGATATGGAAAATTGGTTCACTGAGAATTGTGAAAGAAATGAAAAAAGTTGGAAAAGTCGAAAAGTTGTCAGAAAAATTGAACTTGCTTCACTTTCTAGATGAGAATTGTTTTTTCTTTTTCGTTTTTAGTTTTGTTTGAAAGGATTTTTTTCATAATTATCATGAGGATGTATAACATATTCTATGTTTTCTTTCTTTCTTTCTTGGAATTCATCTTTCATGTTGTATTTGTATTGTTTCCTTTTTTCAGTTTTGCATGGGTTTTGATTTTGTATTTTACTTTTTACATCTTTTGAAACAAATCATGTGACTATTTTTGCCTTCAATTTTGTTGATTCACTTGTAGTCACAACAACATAGAATGGTGATGTTAAAATTGCATTTTTTTCATTTGGAGTTGGGTATAAGTGACTTCAAGGAATTGGTTTATTTTCTTCAGACCAAATGAAAACTGAGGAGTTCAAGTTTTTACGTTTCTGGCTACAAATTGGTCTCACCCCAGGTATCAAGTTCAGTAGTGGTTGATTGGGTCACATATGTGAGTGATTTCACACTCGTCACTCTTGGGAGCAACAGTGTACTCATTGAATTATTCATTTGATCTGGAATTTCAGGGCCTCTTGTCAATAGTATCACACTTGCCAACCAACACAAGACGGTATTCTGACAATGACGCCAAAGCAGCCAGACTTGTGGTGGCTTGAAAACTCAACATCAAATTGTTCATTCAGGATAACAATGTCACATTTGCTGGTCACTGTATCTACTATCTCAAGGGTTACAAAGTTGGAAAGACATTTGAAGGACATGACTTGAAAATCTTCTGAGCAAAGGGTCAACACTTAGACACCCTTTGGGGTGGCCTTTGTTCAGTGATTCAACACGATGAACTGGCAGCATTGATTGTCAAACATGTGATGGGCCCTGCTATTGAAGGCCTTGAAGGCACTTTACATGGTCATGACACCATAGATGTTGATAAAGCCATCAAATGTATGTTTGACTCATCCAGATTCTGAACATTGCACTTGTCTTGGTTACTAATCACTCGTCCGGTTATGTGTGAAGACCTCAACAATTGTCAATACAGTGATAAGATTGCTAAGATCCTCCAGTCATTGACCTCATCTGCCGCACCATACCTATATACTGGCAGTACCAAGGAGTTGTGTCCAATCCATCATATCCATCAACATGGTCTTAGATAATATGTTGAAAGAGGTTGTTAAGTACAAGGTTTGTTGAATCAACTCTGATCTCAAAGGTTCAACTGGTCTCCAGGCCTGTCATCAATCTCATCTTGAAGTCTTTATTTCTTCTGGTATCATGGATCATAGTAAATTATGTACTGCTGATGGATCTTGTTTGACAAGGGAAAGGTTGGTATCTTTAGTACCTTTTATGCTTTCTTAGAATTGTGTTGTCCCAGAATCACTGCGGCTATGTAAGCCTTATATTTCTCTAATATAGGATACTTTTGAGAACTTTGCTACTTGGTTCTATGCTTCTTTTTCAAACTCAACATGTGCAAGGTCCTTTGCCATTTCTCTCACAGTGGTGATGATGGAAACTTTGATAACACATGTGAGTCATATCTGCATGTCTTTTCATTCATTTCCTTCATGCCAATCATTGCTGATAATGTGGAATACTACAGGTCACTTTGAAACATACACTTTTTTTGCCAGCAATGGTTTTGAGGATGTTTGCTCCACCCAAGAAGGCTATTGTGACCAAGTGTTTTGGTGACTTAGACTGATATTGAGATACTTTGAAAACTTTAATTTTCCACTTCAATTTGAAATGTTGAGAATCACCTGGAAAACTTTCATCACAATTAGATCCTGTCAGTAGACTCAATCTCAATGCCCTTTTGATATTTAGATGGTAAGAATAGAAAGGTATATTTGGTGGAATTCCTAATTTTTCAAAATGTCACCGGTGCAGCATGTACAGGTTTTCCTGCAATATTAACAATTACATTAAGCTTTGAAATACATACAGCCCTTTGCTTACCACTTTGTCAGTGTTGTATTGACCAAACATATCCAAGCATTTCACTGTGTATCTTGATTTTTTGATCTCTCTGTTGCAAACAAGTTCTGTCAGGTTGGGGTCACCAAGGGTGGTGCCCACCACTGAAGTGTTAGTATATATGTAATTGTATGGAACTGTGGTTGGTGCATGTTTTTGGTTTACATGGGACGTGGGGCGGCGTCAGCCGCTGAAGCGGCGCCCGCCGCCAGAGATTGCTAGTGTTGTTAAAACAATGCTTTGTCTCTAGGGGTTACCGCTTTGAATGCTAAAACAAGTAACAAAAAAGAGCTAATTCTAGAAGATAGAGATTGAATGCTTGATCTGCCCTTGATCAACGAGATTCTGGCGGAGTGGATGTCAACACTGTGTTTACGCGCTTTCCAATCGAATCGGGATTTGGCCCTCAAGTATGAAGTACCATCTTTCTCTGATGCAACTTGGTCGAGATCACCTAATGCAAACATCTTCGCTTCAAGCGTCGTAGTCACACGTGATGGCTTCAATAACAATCCGCACAACGATCGTGATGTAACAGCCTACACTTATGCAATTTTTACACGCGTCAATCGACTGACGGGGAACTTCATTGGGTTCAAGTTTCGGATTATCTGGGTGATACTGTTGGAACAAATTTCATATTAAATCAATATCATGTTGAACTAGCATTGGATGCTTGCGACGGAGTGGTGGAAAGCATCTGGGCCTCTGATGAAATCCATCAAACCTGTCGTTCAACCACGTTTGATGAAGGGTGGAATCCCATTGATCCCAAAGACTCACCGATTACTCGATTTGGATGTTCTCTTCAAGTCAACGAGGCATTGTTGAATAGGATTGAAGGACTGCTCAAGACAAAGAAAAATATGACTCAAGACGAGTGGGAAATTTACAAGGAGCAAGTTGTGAAGTGCTACAAGCAGGAAGTGGAGAGTAAACTGAACAAATTAGAATAGCTTAATTTTCATGTACATTATCATCGTACTGAAATGGATTGTGGAATTGTAATCAGCCCGCATGTGTCTTTAGGATATCTCTCAACTTCAAATGCAATGCAATGGAAATCTATATTGTGCCATTTCGGTTTACAACTTTTGATCCTGATGATAGTAGATACAAGAAACCATGATGAGCAAAGGTATTGTTTGATTAATAAGCATGATCCACACTGGAAGTGAGTTGCCCTACGCTGTGAAGTTTTGACTGTCAACTTGGTACCACACTGCTAATGATGCGACCTCATGAGTAACATGTTGTGTGAAATAGCGAGTATATGATGCAGCAACCCCATCATGAATATCCCAGACCCAGCTAACCGAGTTGCCCCAATATATCGAATTTCATTGTTTATAAGAGTGTGGTAGTGAGTGAGCTTTCACCATTTGCGATTGATTGCATTACTTCATTGCATACGTGACAAAGTCATCATGGGTACTAATCAACTTCCGGTCGAAATAATAGATTTAATTGTAAACCATTTTAAGGCTGGATTAAAACAAACGGCTCCAAATCCATTGAATACTGCCGACAAACCCTTCTTAAAGCGCTCAGCCATGTTTGAATTACTGAACTTGCGATTAATCAACAAAACGTGGTCGATTGCAATTATACCACATATATATCAAGATATGTCTTTATCGGCACCATCGATGATCGAATGCCTCAAAGACACTTGGAATCACTCTAAAATCATTTCAATCACATCTCGAGTCCAGCGCTTATGCTTTGATCAAGTAGAATATCCCAACTTAAAGTTTACTATACATTTAGATGGGCAAACATTAGATCAGATGGCAGAACCAAAGGTTAGATTAATTAAACGTCACCTTGATTTCTCCTCGGGCATGATGAAGAATCTAGAAGATATTATCAAATTATGTAGTCATACTTTACATGAATTGAAGTTCAGTTTTTATGGTGCGGTGGGTTTCTCAGCAAGCCTAATCGAAGCTACAAAACAAGTGCACAGCCTTGATAAGCTGATCATTGAAGGAAGTCCTTTTGGAATGGATGTCAACCACTCCGACTCAGTGAAGGCTCTGCTTAATGTCACTCCTCAACTGCGATCATTATCTTTAAATTTCAGTTACTTGGACCATCTGAAGATCAAGCCTGGTTCGTTATCTCACCTAGAACATCTCTTTGTTATGTGCGACCGTAGCAATCTTTATGCAATCACTCAGTTGTGCAAAAGTCAAGGTAAAAACATCAAATATCTTGAATATATACCGTATGATGGTCACAAGCGGCCAGATCCGGTCATCCAAGCTTTAAAACATTCGCTTGAATATCTGTTCTTGCCTCACCTTCCAACTTCTCTTCCAAGGGGAGTCCTTCATGAAACGTTTCCAAAACTGAAGGTTATACGGTCAAATGAGGCAGTTTGCATGGGCTCAAACTTCAGGTGGTTAGAATTAGGTCTATTTCAGAATATGGAAGTTTTGGTCACTGGTTATGCTCATTCAAAAGATTCTTGGGGAAAAATGTTTACAAAACCTATAAATTTCAAGCATATTGTTTTCACTGCTGACAACAACGTCCCGACACAAGATCAAGACTTAGTTAAGAGCTTTGGAAAGCATGGAATACAATGTCATTTCAAATGCAATTGGACATACCTGGATGTTTCAGTAAGTCTCCTGATTTTCAAAGTCTGATGAGCCAGACATCATCTAATCATACTACGTCGTTTATCACGAGTCACAGGAAGAGTTGTCGAGGGTGAATGCGAAAAACGGAAGATGTGATTCAGAGAGCGATATCAATTAACATATGGTAAGTTGATTTATCACATCTAGGGTGAGGGAAAGGAGCATAATCGAGAAGTGACGCTAACTAGGAAAGCCGTAATTGATTCTAAGGTTGCATGATCAGGTGAACCATCATAGATACAAACGAGAAGATCGATGAAACCTGCAAGGAAGTCTTGCAATTTTTAATTTCAAAACTTTGAAAACGCGAAATTTTGTAGATCAATATACTCGGCTTCTTTTATTTACTTTGCTTTCTGTCATTGAGTGTGGTCAAATGATTTTTTATAGCAATTTACCTCTTGATTGTTGAATCACCTATCTATAAAATGCAAGACTTTGTTTATTCGATCAAGAAAATAATATAAAAGTAGATGCCTACTTCCAAATTGCGTTAGTATCTAAGCGTAGTTTGAAGTTGAGAATTTAATTGCGGCGCCAGCCGCTGATGTGCTAGTGTAATTTTAATTAAAATATATATATATATGATTTTGTGATTTTGTAAGATTCTGATATGGCTATCTGCGAATGAGAAGTAGACAAAGCAGGAGTTAATATATGCTAATTTCTTCTCAACTGCTCAGTCTGAAAACCACCATTGTCTTTATCACACTCACATGAGAAAGACAATAGTGGTTGGTGAATAGTTGAGCCGAAAATTTGCTCAGCAATAGCCAAGCTGGCGGCATTTCTGAATTGCAAGGCTTTGGATATGTAGTTCAGGTATTCCTTATAGCCGTACACACATCAAGTCCTTTGAGAAAGACCAACAATGGACATCCCTTTCACTGACCCTCAGCACCCGACATTACTCAAACATAGGTTTTCATCATGGAATGTCCTTCTCCTCTTCGACATCCACTTTCCTTCTCCTCCACGTTTTCCCATCTCAAAGATTTGCTTACCTCGAACTCTTATACCACAATATTCCACCTTGATTTCGAGCTTATGATCAACTCTTCGATAACAACTACGATGCACACCTTCGACCCATTCCACCAGAACGTCACTTCATCCAAATTGACCTCTTTGATGCGCCAGACCTTTCCAATGGTCGACATTGATCAGGGGATCCCGATGACCGAACTACAGAACTTAGTTAAGAAATGAATCGATATTGGTCAGTACATACCCTCATTTGACAAACCATTTGAATTTCGCTCATATTTTAACATTGTCTTCTTGATTTGTCTCTTAGCCAACTGCGCCCCAACACACAAGAACCATACTAAATTGGTCTCGATCACCAAACCTCAAGCTTTGTCTAAAACGAGACATAACAACAACGGTAGGTTTGATCAAACGTATTCTGTCGAACATCCCCATAGCTGATCACGTCGTTCTCATCACGTCACTCTGAACCGCAGCCATCATCCCTGTCTCCAAAAAAAGGGTCCACGACAACGACCAAAGATCACAATCGACCAAGCGGGGTTGAAAGGGAGTAGAAGCAAAGGATTCCGATGACAAAGCTGTCAAAAACAACCGTGAGTTCAAAGTTTGATTCATTGCGCTGTTTACATCCGAGCTATATTTCTTTGCTTACGAAGGTTGTGGGCTTCAACAGCCAGTTCCACTACACAAAACAATCCATCTCGGGCATTGAAATCGGAAGCAAACACCAGAACAACACTCATGTATGACATGAAGTACGATCAGCCCACTCACAGACGCAGAAAAGTGTTGGGTACTGTACGTGACACAAACATTGAGCCACATCACACTTCAAGCCAGCTTTGCAAACTTGTAAAAAAAGAGGATCTACACAAGATCAACGACAGCAGCTCCCTAACCAATCTGTCGGATCACGAGGATGATTTTGCTGGTAAGTCGTCACTAGGTCCTGCTGCTCCTGAGACGGAGTTCACATTTCTTACTAGAACTCTCTCTTTCACAGGTGGGCTCGGAGGACTGCAGTCTGTGCCTCACAAGGCAGAAGTAACTGCGACACAAGATCCAACTGTCTGCTGGGATGCAGATGAAACCTTACTTGACAGCTTGGACAAGGAAATCCTTGCGTTGGCCGCCGGGACTGAACCGGAGAAAAACCTTATTGATTTTGGAGATGAGGATGTATCAGACAATAAACGTCAGTTTTTTTCACCTATCACAAGGCCTCCAAGTGATTCTGACGTACGCCAGCTTCAATCACAGCCGGATTTATGGATTCACATCCTGTTCCTCCTTCAGGCGTATATAATATCGACTGTTGCAGTGAAATCAGGTATATGAAGGCTTGGATTGATAAGCTAGAGGACCTTGTTTATGCTTCACTTTGCCTGCCTCCACCAGAGGTCGCGGCGATGTTAGAAGATTATAAGCGTCTTTAAAGGCCTTTAATTCCAAATACTCTCTCCACTCCTTTTGGTCTCACATATGCTCACTACTTGTTGCTGTTAGAGACTGCTCTGTAAGGTAATCAATAAATTACGCCATATGATTTGTATTATAGATGTAAATATCATGTTGGATGTTGCTTATGAATGATGTTTTTGGATGAAATGGAATGTATATTTGAAAGCTAGATACATATGGATGAACAAAGTTAAGATACATATGGATGAACAAAGTAACTCATGATTTTGCGTCTCAAATCTGTTGTGGCTTTTTGCCATCACGTATAACTCATGGTGGTAGTCTCATATTGAGCCAGGGAGAAGATTTTGATGCACCAAACCCTGCATAGTGAAAAAGTAATTTATTTTTCCATATGGAATAATCAATAATTATCCCAGAATTTATTTGAGAATTTGATTTATTTTTCCCTAGGGAAAATTACTTTTTCCTGGCAGTATATATGAAGACCTAAGCGTGGTGCCGTATCATTTCCAGCAGAAAGGTACGGTACTATACCGTATTGTGATATAGAGCAACGGTACGGTACATTACCATATTGTGCAAAAGATACCGACAGAGTGTCCGTACTGTATTGTGACCTTGGTTGGTTACTACACATACATTCCACGAAGCAGGTCGGGAGGGAAGGAAACACAAAGAGAGACAAAGGAACAAGATAAAAAAGAATGAAAATAATCAACAACATATTCACTTCCTCCTCTCACGCGCACCCTGATCCTTTGCAATACATTCCACCATCATACTTTCTGCTGATTCAAATTTTCCTTTCATCTTAACACCTTGTACAGTCCGCAAACGTCCCCCAACTGTGCGCTCAATGGTTTGTGGCTTAGGAGCCATCCTATCCTGCAAACACACATCAGCCAAAGAAGAGAAACTTTGCTCAACTGGGCATGAAGTGGCGCAAATAGATAGGTGGTTGCAAGCAAGGGAGCTCATGACTGGAAATTTACCTTCCTTCAGCTGTTACATTATGGAGACAAATGTTAATATACAACTTTGAAAAATAAAAGATACTGTCACTGACCCGCCAGCATTCTAACGCCAGATGAGGGTTCTCACCCACCTCAGGTGCAGGATCTTCGGCCATTTTCAAATATGAACAAAGTTCATTGGTCGTGTTGCGTTGGTTTTGTTCCTTGTGCTTGCAAAACTCCTCTTCATCCTCGCATAGCTTCTTGCTGTGACCCACAGAATTGTTAGTAGATAAATTGCTGGGATGCGCTCCTCCAGTATCCTCGATTTGAGATTTCGGTTTGTTGTAAGCTGTTTCAATCAACTCTGTTGCCATACTGGTTTCAGCTGAACCCACTCAAAAGGCAAATTCAAAGTAGTCTAACTGTAAGCTTGGATGCAATACCATCGCAGGTATGATTATGTGTGATCCCAGGGCTTCCTTGAGGTATGACTTGACACGCACAAGCATGGCGTGGTGCATGGGGAAGAGGGGTTCAGCTTGTGACCTTGTTGCATTGATCTTCTTTTGCAGAGCTTTCTGCAGCTTCACATACTCCCGTATGACAAGGGAGGCAGGGGTACGTCTTGTCCAAAAATTTTGGTTAAATGTTCAAACTCCTACATGAGTCAAAGTGAAAGTTTCAGCATATGAGTATTATTATACAATATAGTCAAATATACATAACAAATGTACATTTAAGAAATTCACTCACCTGAAGCAGTTCCAAAATATCTCCTACTTGTCGCCATTCATCAGGGGAAATCATGATCTTGTTGAAGATGCCCTGTGGCCAATGGACATCCGGAGGTAACACACTCTCACCAGCTTGACCACTTTGACCTCAACATGGTTGCACCATCTGATCCTCTTTCAGGATTTGATCGATCACCTGATAACAAATGTAATCACAGGGCAATGAATAAGCAAGAGGTGATAGGAAGATAGAAACAGGATAGAGTACACTACTTACCTCTTGGGAATTGTATAACCAAGTCCAACACTGTAACTTGATATTCCAACAAATTCCGTAGCCAGGAATCGGCCTTGGAAGTTTTTGCGATAAAAGCGCCTGGCTGAAACCATCAAATATCATGCACATGACTGCGACTGCTGACCCTCTGATTTTCCGCCCAACCACATCAAGCTATGGTTGTTTGAGCCCTTTATCAGTTTTTCATCAATCCATCAACAAACAATATTGAAACGTATATATATAATATCACTTACTTTTGTTGTAAGCAAGTGAACAGCATTTTCTGCGTTTCGGTTGGTTGCAGCTACTTCTTGAACCTTGTGTGGGCCATCAATCACCTCATACCATTCACAAATTTCTTGAGGTAAAGTCATATTGCCATTGTCTACTTCGCCGTCAGAATCGGATTGGTCATCTGATGATATCTTCACTTCCTCACCGCTTTCATCTTCTTCAAATACTGTCTGTGGTGTGTTTGTTGGAACGTGGAAATCAACAAGCATTGATGATTTAACCAAAGGAGGGGGAGGTGTCTGAATTCCAAGCGCTTGGAGACTGGTGTTGACGATCAGTGCTAGTTTGTGACATACACATCTAACTCTGTCAGTCTTGTGATCCCCATTGAGCTCTTCATTCTGCTCCTGACAGTGCTTTGTCAACCTGATTTGCATTGCTTCTGCAAACGTGTTGTTATCACTGCTGGAGTTGTGAGTTTGAGCTAACTTGTGGATCAATAAGAGACAATTAGTTCGATTGAATACAATAGAAAGATATATAAAAAGTTGAATTAATTAATGTTACTTATTTTGGTATGTAATCTGTGTTTGGTCAAAAGGTTAATCAATGGTTCAGCCAGCCATTTGCCTGTATGGCGCCAGGCAATGAGCTTGAGATCAAAATTTTGTGTGACGAAAGTCCAATTATTTACAAAGCAATTGAGAGTTTTTGAATGACTGGTGATAGTAATGGTATGGGAGTATGAGATACCAAATGATCAGCAAAAGGTGATGAAAGGAACAGATTGGAAAAATAAGAATTCAAAGAGGGAACACCGGAAACAATGTGGTTGGGACAAACATCTTCAAGGAGAACGGTGAGGTTATATAGCGTCTCACCAGGCTTGCGCTGCTGTGTTTATGTTGCCATAGTGTCAAAGCCATGTCGAGTTCAGATCTGGTGAGCAATAATACGATGAATCAGGTGAGATGTGAGCTATAAGTCCCAATGCAGGGACTTCAAGAATGGAAGGGGGAAAGTACTGACCGATGTGGCCAGATACAAGGTGGGAAAAGGGGCTACTGGTACTATGTATACAGCATCTGTATACGTAGCTCCAGTATTTGTAATATTACTAGTACCGTACCCCTGGAGAGGGGTACGGTACTGTTACCATATCCGCTCAACGGGACTTCCAAGGGTGGGTATCTAGTACTGTACCTAAATGCAAATATGGTACCATGTACCATACCCTACGGTGTACGTGTAGACTCATACCAACATATAAACATGACATGGGTTACACGTGTAATTTTTCCATGTCATGTTTGGTCGAAATTCATCCCCGAGCCAAAAACCATACGACATGTCAGGTGGTGGGCGCGGCACAATTTTGGCGCCCAAGTCCGCGCCGGGCGCGGCCTTTTTTGCCTAAACAGGGGTGGGCGCGCCCCTGAAACCTAAGCATGTGATAAACGTGGTTTTCAGCCCTTTGCTGCCTTGAATTTCTTCCAGGTACACACTTATATGGGTTTTCTGACCACCCCACAACGTCATGGCTACACCTAGAACCTGGATCGAACCTCCAACTGGCAGCTCAAACAATCGGACTGGCTTTTTGGCCTCCTCAGACCGGAATAATGGACGGCGTCGAGCCAAGTGCAAGCATTGTAAGGCACAGATGGATGGCAAGCTTCCAAAGCTTCATGCACACATGACAGAACATTGTAAATCTATCTTGCTATCAGACCGTTCAATCTATGAGGAGCTCAATCCTCCATCTACTGCCACTTCGAAAAATACCCAAACAACTGCAATACCATCAAACTCGGAAACCTCAACAACCCTCTCTTCAGCAAAGCGCCCTAAGATTGTGCACGAGTTTGGCAACCTCAGTGCTTGGTTCAAGGGTCACACAAAGGAAAAGACGGAGGAAACATAAGAAATTCTCCTCAAGGCTCTGATTACAGGCCATGTGCCCTTCCGCTTCCTTCACAATCAATTTTTTCTTGAATTTCAACAAAAGCTGTCAATTTCACCTTACACTCCGGTTTCAAGATATGTAATGATGGACAGAATACTCCCTCGAGTCCATGCACAATATTCCAGAGCAACAAAAGCCGAGCTCAAGCTCCACACCAACCTCACAATCTCCCTAGATGGATGGACTGACTGCTCAAAGAACAGTGTCTATGCAGTACTTCTACTACGTGGCACTGAAGTCAAAAAGTTAATTGATGTACTTGACCTGGACAATGTCAACATACATCTGAAAACACATTAGCTGCTTTGAAGAAAGTTCTAGCTGGACAAGATGTAGCTTGGGAGCAGATTGGTGGAATTGTCACCAATTCCCCAACTCCTATGGTCAAGCTACGTGTATGTTTTCCTTGGTTAATCCTTGATTCTTCTATTTCAATATGACTCATTCCCATTCTATCCTCTTTCTGTTATCCTATAGAAACTGGTGAAAGACGAGTACCCTCATGTGGTTACATTAGCTTGTTGTTTACATGTCTTCAACCTTATAGCGAAAAAATGTCTCGATCATCCCGATATGAAGGAGACAGTCAATAATGGCAAAGTCCTTGTCAACTTTTTCACTCCTTCTCACTTCTGGGGTCAGAAACTCTTTAATTGGCGTACCAAGGAAGGTATTTCACATGGTATTCGGACCTTTTGCGAGTCCAGGTGGTTCTCAATGGCAAAGGTGGCATTATCTGTCGAATCTCATGAACAAGGCTTTCGGATGTGTCTTACGGTGCTGAGAGATAAAACACAATCAACTCCAGCTATCAACAAAAATGTTCAAGTTGTGATCGACAATCGAGACCACTTCACATCAAATTCTGTCTTAGTCAAACTTCTTCAACCGGTCGTTGACGCTATTGGTTGCTTAGAACGGGCCAATACTTCTGTGTGTGATGTTTGGAAGGAGATCGGGACGGTTTACAACCAAATTCTCAAAGTCGATCTTTCTAGCTATCCTCGATTTCACGAGTACAAATCTCATTGTCTTGAAGTTTTACACAATCAAGTCAAGGTTTTTGATCAGCCAATCTACATTGCTGGTTTCTTTCTCAATCCAAGATATCGACAAGTTGCTGTTTCACAAAAGTATCCGATCGACAAGATGTCAACTTTACTTCTTTCATTAGCAAAGTCGTGGGGCTATAAGAAAGCCGAGGCTCTTGCCCTCAAAGCACAAATCATTCATTATTTTCGCGGTGAAGGAGCGTTTCAATCAACTGGAACAGGTAAGCTTTCCCCGACGCTTCTGATGTGTTCTTCCCAATTCCTCTCAATCTTTAGTTTTTTCATAAGCTCAGCTAATGATCATAGTTTTTGATCTAGCTTCAGTAGCACTGAATCATTGGCTCGCTCTTCCATCAACTCCGCAAACAATCATCCTCAAGAACTTTGCAATCAAAATCTGTGAACTCATTCCACATGCTGGTGGCGTTGAAAGCATATTTTCAATCATGGGTGCTACAAAAACAAAGTCCCGGAACCGAATGACAGTAACACACTTAAAAATGGTCTCACAGATTGAGTTGCACTCAAAGGCTGAGCATGCTGCTCAGCAGGTGGACGATGAAGAAGTCAAGATTGTTAACTTTGAAGATGAATTAAATTCAGGTCTGTTTTCAGGAGTTGAAGATCTTGAAGATTTTGAAGCGGGTGTGTATGCTGATTGTGGCGTGGAAGGTGAAGAAGACATACTGGTGCATTTTGAAGCCTGATTCATTGATACAATTTTCGATTTTGTTTACTTCTTTTGTGCAAGAGCTGATAAAGTTGTTCAGGAGGATGGAGGGGATGCAGACAAGGATAGTGATGGTTCGTGGGATGCCAAAGACCTGGGTGATGAGTAAATTAGTTGTCTTTGATAAAATTGTGAATCAAAATGACTCTTGTCTGTCTATTTTTTTTGCGCCTCTTGCGCCCTCTCGCGCCCCCAGCCAAAACCGAGTCGCGCCCAACCCCCCCAGGCGCGCCTGGGCGCGGACTTTTTCCCAACCTCGCGCCCACCACATGAACAACATGACTCATACCGACACACATCGACATGGATTTTTGTTTTCCAAATCCCGTGTCATAACGTGAGTCATGGCGGATGGTCTGACGGCCAACAAGTGTCATACCAACAAACAACATGACACCATATCACATCTAATAGCTTTACCCAATTCACCACCGGTACATAGGTTTCATATATGCCTTTTGTTCATATATCCACTCTTTTGCCGCACCTATCAAATTGTATCACTAGACTTTGGTCACATATCACAAAATAACATAAGCCATCTATCATCGTAGTTCATATTACCACAAGCCCTTCATAAACATATTCCTTGAAGATGTCTAGCGTCTGCAAAAAATGCCACATGAACTTAGTCAAACAACAATACACCAAATTCAAAATATGTGGAGACTGCCTCAAGAAACTTAGCAATGATGTACCACCTGCCACTACCACCGCCAATCATCTGCCAAGTGCTTCCGGAAATCATGCATTTAATAATCACATATCAGTAGTAGACAAGAAGAAGGATTCACAGGCACTTCCAAACCAATTTGCTGCAGCAAAATCACAGCAACGTCAAGGGCTCTCATCTTTGTCTTCTGCTTCAAATCAAGCAAAAACAACAGCCACTCGACTATCATACACTTTCACTGCGAAGTTGGCAATGTATCACCGTGGCCGTATCAGTTGAACATTCTTTCCTCACCATGCAGCAACAATTGAAATGTCAATCACTGGAGTTGAATCTGATCAGCTTCTCTGGATCAATGCTTGCCGTCAAATCTTTGAACAGTTTTCTAATGAAATACAAGACATAAGGAACAACATTCCAACATATCCACTCTTTTTCCAATCTGATTACTTCTATATCACATCAACTACTTGTCCTCCTGTTAAAATCACCGCTGAAAAGATCAAAGAATATCTCAGTAACACGCATAATGGACTTGAGCTTATCTTTGGGGGCAATAAACACAACAAGGATTATCCTCCAGCCAAAGAAAAGCTCAAAAAAGAAAGTAAATAGAACAAACAAACACACCAAAAAACAAAAAGAACCTTCAACTTCTGAAGAAGAACTTGATAGTGTTTCCAGCTCAGAGTCCTGTGTAAAAAAGCAAGTGAAGAAAACTAAATACAATGCACCAGCCTCTTCTTCAACCAAGATTTTGGATGATCCTAGCCCAGAAACTCTAGAACTACCAAGCAACATTCTTACAATACAAGACCAACACAAGAAGCAACTATCTGTCTCAACCTCGTCTCAAAATCAAAATTCTCAGGCCAATCTCATGGCTTTCTTACCTTCAAGTATTAAAACGAATACATTCACCTTGAACAACAGATCAACACACATCATTCCAAGTCTTATACACAACATACCTATCTTACAAACCGACTACAACCACCAAACAAAATTCACCACTCAGAAAGGTTTCAACTTGCTTCTTACAGTGAACAATCATTCTCTCGCACAGCCAGCAAAGATGCCTCGGATTGAAAAATCCGAGGCATCTATGTTGGCGGTGTCGGTTGTATTGATAACAATATGCTCACATTGACAAATGAGGAATCCATTGGTGAGAATTCCTAGATTTTCTATCTTTGTCTGTCTTCCAAATGCTAATTACCACCTTGTTAGGCGCCTTATCCACATTCAACAATCTTGGTATCACGGAATTTGCCACACCTTTTCCAGTAATACCTCCCTCAACATCTTCTACACCAATCAAGCTTATTCATGGACGAAAGCTGGTGCTCAAAGTTGATCCAAGTACCAAGTACCCAGGTTGGACGCCTGTCAATTTTAAATATCATGTATTTACTGATCAAGAGATATGTAGAGGATCTTGTCGAATATGTTATAATGCACTTGGTGAAATGAACGGAAATGTTTGCAAGATGGTCGCAAAGCAGCTCATAACAAATGACACTGTTGGAAAAGAACTTCTGCATTCATATACCCAAACTCAGCAAGTTTATATGGCTGTATCAAAGTATTTGAAGAAATTTCAGGCAGTGTGTGCCTCTTCAAAAGATAAACCACTCATAGATATAATCACAAAATTACAGGTATCGTTCATTAATTGACTTATATATATATATCAAACAACTGACATATATATTTGTTTTAGGTTGTCAACTCATTTGTGGCATATAGTGGAAAGCATGATGGTCTTGATCCAAAGAATGTCTGGTATTTTGAAGAATCACTAGTTGATCAAGGTAAATTCCAGAAATACACTTCAAATGTATATTTCAAAACACAACGATTTGGAGATCCAATTCACCTATGCATTGCAGCCTTCACCCACTATGTTTACGAGATTACATCACATAAACATTTGGTTGCTGATTTACAAGGATCTGGTCTATATTTGACAGACCCGTTGATCCTTGAATCAAGGTGAGATAACATTCCCTTTTTTAACCAAATCATTTGGAATAAACTCATGAATGGTTATGTTCTATTCTTTTAGGAATGCTTGGGTTGCTGAAGCAAATACAGCAGAGCAGGGGTTTGCCAACTTTGAGGACCAAAATTGGTGTTATCCACTCTGTTGTCAATTAGGTCTTCCATTCCTTCCAAATCAATCATCTTCCCAAGATCATAAACAGAACCACGATAATGATTACATTGCTGAACATGTCAAAAACGGTGGTCAGCCTGATTTGAGTGAAAGTATGGCATCTTTGAACAACCTTCTTGACGACAGAGATTGGGATGAATCACCACTATAGAGTAACAATTTAGATCATTTATTGACCATTTTTCTTTAACTCATGATTTTACATTCTCTTCTTTGAGTATCTCCATTGTGCTTATGAACCAAAGAGACATATGTTAAGCCTATCATCGTTGTTCCTTTTCAATCTTTGACTCAAAAAAGCACAGAAATGCAGTGTTTAAATGGAGTTGTTCTAAACAGCATTTAGTCACAATGTATTTCATTTTGAAATTTGGAATTCAAAATCAAACTTTTAAAACCAGCTCACCTCCTCAATCATCAATCCTTCCCACTACCAACTCAAACATTTCATCTTTCACTTTTGTTTCTTTCGGTAAGTATTTCAACTCCTTCTTTCTACTCTTTTGTGTTCAATCAATTCTACTTAAAAACTACTCAAATCAATCTAGTTCATAGTTGAACTGTTTTCTTCCTCATGTATAGTCATCCTCATTGATTAGTTCATCAATTTTACATTGACCATCTTTGTTTTTGAATTTTCTTAGTGATCAGATAGGAAAACGTTCTGTGAACTTGGACCAACCCAATCCAATTGTTTCCAATTGATTTGACCTACAAGGATCACTACTATTTGAATCAACCAAAACAAATTGTTCTCTTTTGATTTAACCCAAAACAATCACTTTGATTTCATTCAACCAAAACAAATCCTTCTTGTTCAATTAAACCAAAAACGATCGCTTTGATTTGATTCAATCAAAACGGATTGTTTGTATTCAATTAAACCAAAACGGACCGTTTCCATTCAATTCCACTGAACTTGATTGTCTCAACATCTCATTGTTCAATTCAATCAAATTAGATACATACAAACTCAAAACTATGATTCTCAATTAATTCACATTAATCAAACTATTGGATATTTAGAGTCATCCATTTAAATCACAATCATGATGTGAGATAAAACTTCATTCCTTCTTCCATGATGGTCAGATACCAGTACATGAAGGCAGAAGTCTCACAGGTCAATTTGATAGAGGATGGAATCAGATCTTGCATGTTCATTCTTCACTTGTGAATGTGGAACTACTTGATCTCCATTCCTATATCAAACTGGCTTTGGATTATGATGATCTACAGTCTCTGCTGAGGTTCAACGGTACTTGTCCTCCCCAAGACTGGGTTGGCTCCACGCACCAGATTCTTGTGGGTAGGGTTCAACACAGACCTTATGCAAGCCTAATCATCATTATCCAAGTGGTCATTTTGATAGAGGATGGAATCAGATCTTGCATGTTCATTCTTCACTTGTGAATGCGGAACTACTTGATCTCCATTTCCTCTATCAAATTGGCTTTGGATTGTGATGATCTATGGTCACTGCTGAGGTTCAACGGTACTTGTCCTCCCCAAGACTGGGTTGGCTTCACGCACCAGATTCTCGTGGGTAGGGTTTGACACAGACCTTATGTAAGCCTAATCATCATTTTCCAAGTGTGGGATGGAAGCTGAAAGTGGGTTACTATCTGACTGTAAGGGATCTTTAGCTGATGATCTTCTAATTTTCTTTTTTATTAGTGATAAGAAGAAATATAGATCTCCATCCCAGAAACGTGGTTGAAAAAAGCTCAAAGCTGATCAAGTAGAAATTCAAATGGCCATCAAGCAAAGCAAGATCATTGCTCATTGGGTTGATCATCACATTACCAAAACCCCATCTTCTGATCCGATGTTGAACATGAATCGAGATGAGAAGCGAGCTCACATACATGCTGAATTCAAACAAAAGATCTGTGATTGATTTAGTCTTCCTAGGGATGCTACATTCATCTTTCAAACTGAGCATGGAAAACAGAAGTATTTGTCTCTCAATTTTGGTACTGTAGGCTTATTGAATAAATAAGGAACCAAGCTTCTTGCTGTGGTCCAGTTCAACAAAAGCAAATATCCTGGAAAACGGTGGAACAATGGAAAATTGAAGCATGAACTTGTACCTGAATGCGCAAAGCTATTTGAAAACTTCAATAACTCACTTATGACTTTATATCAACATGAAACTGCCCAATATTGCTGTGTGACAAATGGTGCAGCTGAAGCCCTAAAGCACATGAAATCTGGTCAGATGTTTGTGGTAGGGTTTTGTGGTGGATACAGGAAGAAAAAGTATGGTGGTTCGTATCTATCATTATTATCATCTTTAATTTTCTATGATTTTGAGGCGACTTATTTTATTCTTCTGGATACTAGGTCCTTACGTTCTCAATCTGACCACTGCACGACATGTGGCTTGTATGGAAAATGACTTACGCCGTCAGATGTATCTTCCTTACATCAATCACTTCCTAGCTGAACGATTTGCCTCTCTATCCATTGGTGCCTTTCAATCCAACTGTAAACAAGCTGCACAAAGTAATGCACCATCCTGGGCATCAACGTCATTTTTTAAATCACCCAATGGGCGTGTATTTGGATCCAATTTTGTTGTCACACGTGATGAGTTTGCTAACAAGGTGCATGTTGATAACAATCATTCTGGCTATATGTTTGGATTATTTAGTCTGATTCATTGAGATACTGGTAGACTCTATTGACGTGGACAAACTTCAAAGCATGGCTATACTAAAGGAGCTCAATTTGTATTTCCTGACTACAATTTTGAGATTGATTTTGATCAATGTGATGGAGTTGTTGAAATGGTTTGGGCATCAGACATCAAACACTATAGTACTCACTCCAAGACTTTTACTCATGATCATCAACCTATTCCACGGGAGGACGCAAAGATAACACGATTTGGATCATCTTGTCAAATTGCTAAAAGTAGAGTTCAACGTCTTAACCAGATCACTGACATGCAAGGGAACAGGGGTGATGAAGAGTGGGAAATTTATCAAGAAACATTCGTTGAGAATTATGCAGATGAGTTGATTTGTAAATGTGATATGATAAAAAGTTGGAAGCATTCAAAGCAAAATTGAAATCCTTGTAATTCCACTTGATTCATATTTTTTTCTATTTTTTTAAAAAGTTTGTCTCCTTTTATCAAATTATGGATCAGTAGTTTTTCTCTTCCTATACTTCAAGGTATGATTGTGGTGGAGATAAATATAGACCATGAGTTTTCAAATAAAGATGTTCGAGATGTTCACGTTCAAGTACCAAAAGCATTCAGATCCTTTCCTTCAAAGAGAGTGCCTTCCCAGTTGTGATCTAACAAAGCATTACACATAAATCGAAGTGCAATCCATATGTTGGAGTACTTGAGCTTCTCATGTGAGAGATTCAAGGTGGGCATGATGGTATCTGCAACCGATGAAAACCAATCAGGTGTGTAGGTAAATAAACTATGTATGTCGGGATAATCATCTATAATTTGACTATCTATGTCTTCAGCGGGGACACAAATTAATCCATCATGTCCATTAAACAACTCGACAGGGTTTTTGTAGCAAAAGTCAGCATTGTGACCACCGGGAAGGGAGGAGTGAGGATCCTTTCGGCGTTTGCTGTGGTTGTATCTTTCAGTGAATATATCCAGCTGCTTCTGAATAAAAGGAATCCATAAATAAAGGAACAGAAGCCTTCAAAACAAGTATCAGTCAGCTTTCAACATAGAAAGAATATGAGTATCACGTATCATTCCAGTTGAATGTCAGTGTCAAAGACACCCACCTCAAGTGAATCAAATAGCCTTTGAACAACACTGTGGTTATGTCGTTGCATTAGTTGACTCCAAAAGCACTCTATCTTCTGGTTTTGAAGTGATTTTGTAAACTTGTGTCGTTTCAATGCTTGTTCCTCAGTCATTTCACCGTGAATACAATCAAATGCAGAGTGACTGGCTGCCATCTTTCCGGTCTCAGTACCTTGATCAGTATATAGATACTGTGGGGCACCACCATACTTTTTAAACCTTGAAGATAGTAAATGTCAACATGACGGGGTCACTATTGGTGACATGTACAAAGAGACCCAGGATTCGGCTACACCAAGCATCAATGAAGCCGTATATCCTAATACCACACTTCTGGAGCTTGTCATGACTGTCTGCTGAAAATATATAATTTGGACCTGGACATTTGAAATTATGGCAAACTAGGACTGTTCTTTGGCAATGTGAGACTCCTTCCGGATCAATTTGCCGCAACAGTTGTGCAAGACGGTCTCTGTTTGTTTGTAAAAAGGTAAGTATGCGTCATGTTGAAGATATGAGTGAAGGGCAGACCTATGGATGTGGACATTGTGTTCCTTGAGTAAAATGTTTTTGATAGAACAAATACCGGCTTCTTCTGCATTTTCTGACTGGATCTTGGTAATGAGCTGACCTATCTCTTCTTCTGTGTACTTTCCTTTGTTGATATCATCAACCTTGTGTGTTAAGTTCATTTCTTTGCAATTACGAGCTAAGGTGTATTGGCTGATTATAATATTATCCTCATTCTTCAAGCATATGAGCATCTCTTCAATTGATTTGCCATCATGGAAGTGTTTGCTGATGGCATTACGTCTTTCAAGCTGATCCTTGCAAATAGGCAGCTTGGTGTTGTTGTGATCCAAACATTTACGATGTCAATAGAATGTTCTCTCAGTCATTGTGATTCCTTCTTTCACAGGGTTATCTTGTATTTCTCGTATGATGAGTCCATTGTTGAAGGCATTTTCCAGTACTGTGTTGATGATAGCTATGTTGTTTTGTTTTGGCATTATTTGTGGAAGAGCAAGACAGAGTAATAATAATGTAGATGGATTATTGAATAAAGATAGTTGACTGTAAAGCTAGGATTGAGTGTTTAATTTTTTTTTGAAAGTCTTGATTGCAGAGAAAAATAGATCAAAAATTGGATAGTCCAATCCAAATGCAATATTTTGGAGAAATTCACATTTGGTGTCATGTTGGGTTGGTGTGACACTTCCCGGACGGTACGATGTACAAGATGACTCATGTTACAACACGGAATTTGTAAATCAAAAATCCATGTCAATGTGTGTCAGTATGAGTCGTGTTGCATGGTATTTGGCTCGAGGATGAATTTTGACCAAAAATGACATGGA